TGGCCTGTGCGTCCCGCACCGCGTGTCTTTGGCGTGTGTTTCGTCGAGCTCGCCGAGTAAAAGATTGACGCGCCTTGCCCCGGATGAGGCAAAGAAAACCTGTCCCAACCAAAATAAAACTGGATACGTCACAGGGACCCAAGACGGATGGCCCCAAAGCTGCACGACAACAGGGGTTAAGGTTTTTATTTCCTATTTGGTGACGCCATCTTGACTCCTGTCTTGTTCGTCAAACGAGTCTCATCTCCCACCTTTTTCACACGTTTGGATGGACCTAGGCTGTTGCATCTGGGGTCGAGCACGGAGTCGAGAACCATCTGCTCCATAGTTTTGGGTCCTCCATCTGGGGTAATTAATTACAACATACGAATTACAGGGGCTGAGTGCGGCTCAAGGTTACGCATGGAGCAAGAGTTGCTCTCACTCACTGTGTCTCTCGTCTCACTTCCATGTCTGCATTTGCATCTGCACAAATATGCAAGTCGGCATGCTTGCAAGAGGGAGACAGAAAAGAGTCAGAGGGCTGGCTGTGAGAGACGAGCGATTTAGAAGACGCTCAGGTGCATGCGCCGAGGTTCATCCTAGCTTGGTGCCTCTGATGCACTTGTATCTCACGTGTGCCTCCTGGCAACGTTTCCCGGGAAATACGACTTTCTGGTCCTCAAAACTGCTGATGCTTGCATGCAGGGAAGACCAGAGTTGGCCTCTCTTTGTGTGATACCGTCTTGTCTCTTTGCTTTCCCTTTCTCCATTTCTCATTGTTCGACAGCAATGTGATCGTCGTTTCCCCCACTGTCCGATACAAGTCTTCCCATGATTTGTGCTCGCATTTGTTTTTGCTTGGTCTGACCTGCGCCTACAGCTCGATGCACTGCGCCCACGAGGCCCAGTCTAGTCTAGTCACCTACATCGTACACCAGGGTATTTCCCAACATCGGGTCAGCAGTGCAGGTACGGACATCGTAGCACGCCTTGGCGAGACTTGGGCACAGGCAAAACAGGCAGGACAGAATAAATAAAACAAAGAAAAACAAAAGAAAGAAAAACAGGCAGTATTGTAGGTGACGTTTTCCGCACTGTCCTGCTTTTGCTTCCAAAGTTAGTCCGATGGCAGCCTGTACGACGTGCAACATTGTGACCACACAGCTGACGACCAACCAACTGAGCCAAAATATCAGCTGCGCCTGGATTAATGGGGGAAGACTTCCAAAAGAAGTAATATGAGGGTCTAGCATACACACTGACGTGGTGGAGTCTGTTGACTGCGTATTGTGCAATTAACAGATGGAAGGTGAAGAAGATTTTTATTCCCAAAAGCCACGTCTTCACGTGTGACGGTAGATCACAGATCTACATTCAAAGGCCAGCCGAGACGGTGACCGACAAGATCATAGAGTGGGATGCCGCAGCCGTGCCTTGACTTGGTCCCCGTTGAGGCTCTTCTTTCACAGGATTTCGCGGGCAACAGTGTGAGACGTCGCAAAATTTCGGGCTGATCACATTTTATTGACGGGATCATTGATGATTTCACCACGTTTATCCACTTACATTTCACAAAACATTACATTTTAGTTGATGTTTTAACTAACGACAATAATGATTTGATATAATATATCAGTATGTAGACGTTAAATGTAATAAGTCGACGCTGCCAGTACACGTGTATCTTGAAACCAATTCTACTGATTCACATATTGAACGCCCCCTCAACTTGACTTACTCAGTACGAACGTATCTTCACATAAAAAATGGGAACCAAAATACAAGACGACAGCCACCTCACTTTCAAGTGCAGACTGTCCCGGATGGAATATCCCAATGCGTCTTTTTGATAAGTGTTCATATCCACAATTTAAGCGAGAGAAATGACATGGCATCTCCACTTCGACCATGGTATCGTGAACCGAGGAGCTGAGCACCCTGATGCGAAGTAGAGAGTACATCACCGGTGTACATCGTCCGCGTAAGACGGCGGCATGGTGTGGAGGGGTTTGGGGGCTGCAGCAGGCGTGTCACCGTTGATGGACCGGCGTGTGTCCTTCGGCGTTTGTCCTCTCCTCTACGCTTCCCTTCTTCTCTATTCCACCCTCGATTATCCCTCGCCCCGGCTTCTGTACATATTCGCCCTTTTCTATTTGGTGCTGAGTTCATTCCTGGCCGTGATCGGGGGTCTAGCACAATGCGTCGGCAGATGCAAGATTGGGCGAGTGCGTGAAGTGTGTGTAGGGAGAGGCAAGTTGGCCGGCATCGAGAATGAGCTCGCCGAGGTGATGGGAATCAAGTGTAAGCCACCGGGCCGGTAAAAGGGTAAAAGCAACTCCTGCACTCCGTACAGAGGACGAAGACAAAGACGACCTGGCCAGTACAATGGCGAGACCCTCGGTTGTCTCCGGCCATCGGCACGAATTCGGTGTCACGAAAAGGACAATGTACTCAGCAAGAGGCTCTAGAAGCCAACGGCAAGTTCCATTGGAAAAGGAATTCTGTGGCTGAACGTCGATTTCACCAGATGCAACCGCTACGGAGCTGTTGGTCCCCAGTCTCGCCAGTGCCTGGAGACACCAGCCGTGTGGCGTTGCTGTGAACGGCGAGGCGGCGGCAACAAGACGGACGAAACAGACCAGACGTTGTCGTTACCACCAGCCACCGTACCCATACCAGGTTCGGCAGAGTCGGACCAATCGAGTGACGTGAAACGACGTGCCACACCCTTCTCAGCTTCCTGGAAAGTGCCGAAACTCCAACGCTGGTCTCGCCCTCGCTAGACTTGGGTGGCGATTCTGTCAACGGTTTTTTTAGTAAAAAGAAACAAAAAAGAGAAAAGGAAAAAAAAAAAAGAAAAAAAAAGAAAACAACCTTTAGACTTCCGGCTGTACCCAAACCAATCAGAGTGTGCATACCCGGTTTCCTGATTCTTGCTTTTGCCATTGCCCTGCTGCCCTGCTGCCCTGCTCTGTATTCCTTGATTCTGGAAGTGGAAGGTCATCAAATCGTATCGCGACTTTGCCTTTGATGGATACCACACATCCACTACGGAGCACATCTACGAATGTACCTACATCGTACTCACAACACCTGCCGGCGTCGACCAGCTTTGGCCTCGACCCCTATTCGTAGTTTTTCACCCGTTTAGGACCCCGGCTGGCCTTTTGGTGTCGCCCCTGTTTATTCTACTCTTTAAACCATGTCCCTTTCTGTTTACAATGTGTTGTTTGCCCTCTCTCCCTGTTTCCGTCGTCTTCTCGCTCCAACTGCGGATCCAGTTCCGAATCCGTGCAGCTCTCATTCCCATCCCGCACGTTTCTCGATTCCGTATCCCTCGCCTCAGATACTATGTGAATCCGTGTAATGGGAACAAGCGGCAAAGGAGAGCGTAACGTACGATATACAGTCATTTGGGGCGAGACGTGAGTGCGGCGTAGGTTCGTTTTCCTCATTTGTAGTTTAGTTGTTTCTTAGGTCGAGCGACGGGTCCCTAAAATTTCAGCGACTTTAGGAAAGGGACCAACGCAAAACCGGGACAAACACTATTGAAACGAAAATAGACTGTCACTTGCGTCCCGCACATTTTGGACGCGGTGGCGAAAATGGAAAAAATATGACCACTGTCTTTCGAGGACGTGGAGGCGACTCGTGGAGGTGGTGGAGGTGATGGAGACGCAGCCTCCAACAAGCCCAGATCTACAGCCATAGCCTGGAGCCTGGCAAACTTGCATGTTCTGGGCACGTCACCCAGCGAAGTTGTGTTTCTCTTTTTCCTCTTGTAGGTCGATCAAAACTGGGGGCGTCTCATTGTCAAGCTCTCGAGCTCCATCAACGGCTCAACCTTGGCGGAAAATGGGGCAACTGTCAGTGTTCGGCGAGGAACGACGCTTGACGTCGGGCTTGCTCTTCTTGACGATGTATGTTGTACAATATACCAACGAGAGGCGAGTGAGGTTCTGAGGGGAAACGGTGGAGGCGACTGAAAATACGGCAGATGGTTCGGGCACCAATGGAGGATGGAGATTTGGGAGAAACGAAGGCCCATTTGCCTCCAAGTCGTCTCTTCCGAGGATGTTTTGGCGGTTGTCAAGTCACGTTGCGGACGTCCGCTTTGAATGCCGTACCTGCATCCCGTCACAGCCGACGTAGAGGACTCCGATCACACATTCTTCTCCGGTACGGAATATGATTCGTGGAAAGACCTGAGCTGAATCACGGCGGGCTGCGAGCTGAGTGCCAATCGTTGCAGAGTCCAACGACTGTAAGCCGAGATGCAACAGGATCTTGCAGGTCGTCCATGGTTGCCATGTGAGGTGAGATCAAAGCGGTGGCGGTCTGCCGGTATAAACCGCATGGCGAGATTTGAGCTGACAAGTTGTGAAATCAATGTAACTTTATCTATAGTGGTGACTTATTTTATTAATACAAAAAAATAAAAAACCAACGTCAACACATGGCATACCAAGTTTGTGTCCGTCCAATAATAATCCACTCAGCTTAGTGATAAAGAACAAGCAATCGGATGAAAATACATGAGAACCTATTTTGAGATATGGAGATGTCGTGAGATTTGGTGAGGAAGGGCGCAAGGCTCTATGAGTTTCCGTCTTGTTGGACACCAGCGCTTCCATTTCATTGCTCAAAAATTCAGTTATTCGGTAGTTAGGCGTCAAACATATTGAACAGTCAATAGAATTGCCAATGTAGAAAACAGTTTAAGCACGATATCTCAACCATAACGTATTGCAATTATCCTACTTGATGCCGTATGTGGTGCAGCTGCCTATCTAGGCGGGCTGGATTTGGTGGCAGAATGGCGCCGTGCGAGGCAGGCGCGATCCTGCCGCTTTTGGCGCTTGAGCAGCCTCGCCAAAATTCTCAAAACATCACAGCTCCACTCTGAAACGCCATCGACAACGCCATCAGCAACAGCAGCCTCCAAAAGCACATCTATCGCGCCACAGAGACGACAAAGGGCGACCCATTGGCCCGCACTGGACCCGGTCTTGGATAAGATGGCTGCGGAGGGGACGGATGGCGGTCCGGCTGGTGGTCCGGCTGGCACAAACGGCCCCGCCCCCTCAGCCGCACCTCGACGACAACTACCAGAACCTCCTCGTCCAGCAGCTCAGGCGATTGACAGCCTGTTGACAGTCATCCTGACGACCTCGCCGACACCATCAGCACCATCTACAGACCTCGTCGCCGCCGTGCTCGCATCGTTCCGCGCACACTGCCCGGCACTGCTTGCGTGCCCCGTGATTGTCGTTTTTGACACATACGACCACATCGGGCCACAGCTGCGCCTGAAAAAGGGATGTGTCACGCCCGTCGAGGCAGCCAACTACGATGCCTACAAGGCGAATGTCAAGCAGCTGGTCGGGCGGACGTGGGGCGGCGACGATGGTGGCCAGGACGCGGCGACCGAGACCGGCCTGGCCGAGTACGGCTCGCCCATGATCGCCGACAATGCCGTGCCCTTCACAATCACGCGCACGGCGGGCGGGCACATCGCGTTCGTGGAGCCAACGCAGCGTCTCGGCTTTGGCCTGGCCGTGCGCACGGCCGTCCGCGCGGCCACGACGCCCTACGTCTGGGTGCAGCAGCACGACTGGACGCTGGCGGCCGACATTCCCGTGGCGGCCATGCTGGATGCCATGCGGACGGCCGAGAATGCCATGCAGGCGGCCGAGAACGCCGATGGCGGCGGTGGGGGAGGGCTGGCGGAAAGCGCGGGCGAAGACGCGACACCGACCATGGAGCTGTATGCGACGAGCGAGGACGATCGTACGCCGGGCACGCCGGGCACGCCGGGGTCACCCGCCCACTCTGTCGCAGAGCACACATCGGCTCTGGATCCGTCGCGCCCCGTCGCCATCCGCTACATTTGTCTTCCCTCTGTACGGATGCTACGGTATGCCGCGTCCGCTCACGCGGTGGGCTTCCCGACGCTGCGTTCGCTGACGGCCGCATTTAAGCGGGACGTGCCGGTGTCGTCGTCTGTCCTCGCCGCCGGCGCGAGAGCGTCGAGGCCAGGCGACAACGCCGCACACAACGCCGCACACAACGCCGGACACAACGCCGGACACAACGCCGGACACAACGCCGGACACGGCCAGAATCTCCCCCTCACCCCCCTCTTCTTCTGGCACGACAAAACCCACATTGCCGCCCGCGACCACTACCTCCGCCGCGTCTTCGCCTCCCGCCTCGCCCTCGGCCGCGGCGACTTTATCGAAGACCACATTGGCCAGCGCGCGCGGGCCCAGATGAAACGGGACCCGGCCGCGTGGCATCGCTGGGCGTGCTGGCTCTACTACCCCGACAACGGCAACCGGCTGTGTTTGCGCCATCTGCAGGGCCGCACGTGGCGGGGCGAGCAGCAAGAACAGGCCATCCGGGACGCGTACGTGCTGCGGAACCGGTCGGCAGCGTCGGCAGCAGCAGCAGCAGCCATGGCAGCGGGGGAGACGAAAACGAAGCAACAGTACGGAACGACGGATGACGTGGCAGGAGGGGCTGATCACGGCTGGCATGCCATGCCGTTCGGATCAGACGAGGAAGCCAGCTGAAGGCTGGGCGAGTCTGTTTTCCCGTCATTGGACCTTGTTTTTGGATACCTGACTGGTCTTTTTTTTATCCCCTTGTTTATTCACGAACCATAGACTTTATGATACCCAAGACCGTTTATCATTTGTTTTCACTCTGTTTTCATTCTGTTCCAATTTCGTTCTCACTAACCACACTTCTCATTCTTTGGTTCGTTTTGACAATGTTTGGTATAATCTTTGCTCACTCGTTCTCAGCTGCCATTCTGGCAACCATCGCGATCCTACGCTAACCGCCATTCATGCAGCACAACCATCCACGATTCTGCGCAAATGTGCTCAGTTACAGGCCGAACCGCCAATCCGATCCACTTTGGGACGTCAAGCAAAATTCACAGACATGCGGTTGGCCAATGTGGCCGTCGATGAAAAACGATGAATAAACATGCTCATCAGAATAGGTACGGCCCGCGGCCCGCAGGCAATCGACAAGACGCCGGCCGTCTTTACAAAGTCTACAAAAGGGCAGTGGTTGTGTTGACGTCGCACAGCTCATGTCTAGCAAAAAGCACACATGCTCTCCTAGACATACCTGCCCATAGATGCGATGGCTGTCAAGGAAACTGCCGCCGTCACGACCACGGTCGTTGGTCCGCCCGACAATGCTGACAACGGCGACAACATCGACAGCAGCCTTTCCCCCCGCCTCAGCCTCGAACAACAAAACGAAAAAGAGGTCGTCACCAACCCTGACGCCATCACAGCCTCGGCCCAGCGCGGCGTGCAAAAGGCCGAAGCCGCGGCGCTCGTGTGGTCCAAGACGACGGCCTATGCGGTCTACGTCTGGGTCTGGCTGCTGTTCTTCATCGTGGCCCTGCAGACGTCCATCAGCAGCAACATTGTCTACTACGCCTACGCCGACTTTGCCTCCGCGCCGCAGATCTCCCAGGCCTTCATTCTGAGCTCTGTCGTGTCGGGTGTGATGCAGCTGCCCATCGCCAAGACCCTGAATCTCTGGGGCCGCGCCGAAGGCTTCCTGGTGTGCGTCGCCACCTACACGCTCGGCCTGCTGCTGATGGCCGTCTGCACGGGCCCGGCCAGCTACGCCGCCGGCTACACCATCTACCACGTGGGCTACGCGGCGACGAGCTTTGTGCTGGGCGTGTTTGTGGCCGACACCGTCGGCCTCCAGAACCGCGCGTTTGCGTACTCGCTGACGGGCGCGCCGACGCTGTGCACGGCCTTTGTCGGCCCCCTGGCCGCCAACGCGTTTGTCACGTCGTCCGCCACCAACTGGCGCTGGGCGTACGGCAGCTTTGCCATCGTCGTGCCGGCGACGTTTGCGCCGCTGGCGGTGGTGCTCAAGGTGTTTCAGCGCCGGGCCGAGGCGCGCGGTCTCTTCACCCGGCGCACGGCCTCGGGGCGCACGGTGTGGGCCTCCACCGTCCACTACGTCATGGCCTTTGACCTCGTCGGCGCGGTGCTGCTGATGGCGGCCTTTGTGCTCGTCCTGCTGCCCTTCAGCCTGCGGTCCAACGGCGTGACGTCGCAGTACAGCTCGCCCACATTCATTGCGATGCTGGTTGTCGGCCTTTTGTTGTTTCCGGCCTTTGCGGTGTGGGAGCGCTTCGGTCTGCCGCGCACGACGGGCACCCCCTTTGTGCAGTGGGACCTCCTGCGCAGCCGCACCGTGCAGGGCGCCTGCGTCGTGGCGGCCGTCCTGTTCTTCAACTTCTTCACGTGGGACCAGTACTTTTACTACTACATCCAGGTCGTCTACGACCTCAACGTGACCCGCACGGGCTACCTGGCACAGGCCAACGGCGTGGCCACGACCATCTGGTCTGTCGTCTTTGGCGTCTGGGTCAGGCAAACGCGGCACTTCAAGCACGCCTGCCTCTTCTTTGGCGCGCCCCTGGTGGTCCTGGGCGCCGGCCTGATGGTGCACTTCCGCGGGTCCGAGGCGCCCCTCGGCTACCTCGTCATGTGCCAAATCTTCCTGGCCGTCGGCACGGGCACGCTGATCCTGGGCGACGACATGGCCGTCATGGCCGCCGCCGACCGCGAAGGCGTGCCCATCGTGCTGGCGCTGCTGGGCCTGTGCTCGAGCCTGGGCGGCGCCCTCGGGAATGCCGTGGCCGCGGCCGTCTACCAGGGCACGTTCCCGCAGGCGCTGCAGCAGGCGCTGCCGGACATGTCGCCGGACGACGTTCTCGGCCTCTTCTTGGGCGGCTCGACGGCGCAGCTGGCGTTCCCGGTGGGCTCGGCGACACGGACAGCCATTGACGCCGCCTGGGCGACGAGCCAAAAGTACGAGTGCATCACGGCGGCGGCGATTGCGGTGCTCTTCTTTCCGGCGATTGCCGCGTGGAAGGACTACAGCGTCGACCGGAAGCAAGTGAAGGGGACGGTCTTGTAAGGTCTTGGGGCAGTAGGCATGTGTTTGCGTTGAGCAGTCATCGAAGTAACTAGACAATAAATACCGAAACAGTTGATAGAAAAAAAAAAAAATTAATGGACACGGGCCCTCGATCAGCGCCTCCGCCTCCTCCACGTAGGCTACGCCTTGACACTGTCTGCCGGCCCCTTGGCGTCCTCCTCGTCCATGCCTTGGCCGGCCACCTCGTGTGCTTCGAGCACGTGCTGCGGAATGACCACGTCGTCCTCGCCGGTAAAGTACTGCGTCTCGGTGATGTGGAAGAGGGCAAGGTACAGAAAGACAAAGACGCCCGCCGCGTAAAAGGCAAACAGGACGGCGGCCATGGTCAGGAACGAGACGCCGGCCGAGTCGATGCCAAAGACGACGGCCTCGCCGGCGGCCAGGAAGCTGCGGTAGACGCCGGCGTAGTTGGCGGCCTTGCGCGGGCTGTTGGTCATGCACGACAGGAAATACAGGATGATGTACTGGAAGAGGACCGAGGAGACCCAGGTCAGGGTAAACAAAAAGAAATCCGCGGCAAAACCGGGGTCGGTCCAGTCCACGAGGGCGTTCGCCGGCGTCGGGGTGCCACGGTCGTAGTGGCGCACCTCGACCATCTGCCAGACCCAGGCGGCGACAAGGGGCGCGCCGACCAGACCCAGCCCGACCAGGGCCCGTGTGCGGCGCTTCCAGGCGGCGTGGTCCAGGACCAGGCGGAGGCCGTAGGCGGCGGGGATCTGCAGGACGACGGCGACAAAGGACAGCAGCGTGCGGGTGCGCAGGTTGTTGCGGAACGCGTTGGCGGAGCCGCCGTAGACCAGGAAACACTCGGACGGCAGAAAGGCCGGGATCATCAGCAGCAGGTCCCAGTTCTTCATGGCATCCCAGCTGGCGCGGAGCTCCTCCGCGACGGTGCGGCCCTGCCCTCTTGTCCCAGTCCCCGCCGTGGTCGTCGTGATGGCCGTCGCCACCGACGTGCCGTCCTCCCGCGTGACGCGCGAGGGCGGCCGCAAAGCAAAGGCAAGACACGCGCCCACGCCCATAAACGACAGCACGATAATGTAGACGGCCACGGGCACGCCGTCGGCGGACGCGCGGTTCCGGTTGATCATCAAGTCAATGAAGCCGGCGACGGCCGCGCCCAGCGCCTGCAGGTTCTGCGATAGGGTGATGAAGGAGCCGCGCTCGTCTTCTTCCGAGTAGGTCATGGCAATGGTGCCCATGACGACAAAGATGAGGCCGGCCGAGATGCCAATGAGCACGCCGCCCACAATGGGAAACCAGGTCTGGCCGGTGGCGTCAAAGTACCAGAGGCCGGCGACGTAGAACGCGTAGCCAAAGACGCCCAGCGCGGCCGTCCAGGACGGCCCGACCAGGTTGAGAACGGTGCCCGACAGCAGCGATGCGACAAACCAGGTGGCACACAGCGTCGCGTTGACGACCTCGACCGTGTGGGCCGAGTTGGCGCGCAAGCCTCCGGCGCCGAGGGAGGTCAAGGACTGGTAGAGGCCGGCAGTGAGGCCGACGATGACGCCCATGAGGACGTTTTGCCAGAACGGGGAGTGGAGGCGTAGAGGTGGTAGAAACGGTAGTTTGATCGCCATGGTGAGAAGTTGATGGTCGCAGAGCAGCGAGTGAAGTAAAGGACAACGAAGGAGTGAGAGACGGAGTGAGATATGAATGGGGAAAGGATAGAGAGAAGGAGAACGGCAATCACAGTCTCTTCTATATAATCCGAGGGCGTATAGAAAGACGCACAAAGTCGACAGCCGATCTGCCTCGGTGTGCTGGCGGTGAGTAGCAGCATATAGCCGTCTTGACCACCGTCTTGATCACCGTCAAAACACTAACAACGTAGCCTTATCGCCGTATCATAGCGTCAACAAAAGACGATGTCCAAACCAGACACCAACACCAATACCAGCATCAACGTCAATATTGATATGAACATCACGCCTAGTGGATCCATGGGGAACGAATCCTTGTCTGTCCTGCTTGGCTGTATCTCCTCCACAAACTCCACAAACGCGGGGAAAGCAAGCTTGTTCACAGGATATGCAGGGCACAAGGTGATCTCGCGTGGTGATGGCGTTTCGCTTGGGTGGCCTACTCTCTTTTCTTTGGCCCTTGAATACGACCGTGGACAACAACCGAGCACATAAATGCATACAAGTAAAACGAAGGTGATGTCTTTTCGCCGTGTTGTGATGCCGCTAGCGTGGACGGAGTTGAGCGGGCGTCGTTTGCCACGCGCGAGCTAAACACCGTCTTATACCCCATTCCCACTATCCCCAACTAGGTGAGCATGTCGTTTGGCTCTGCACTCGTCGTCATCGTCGTCGTCGTCGTTGCTGCAGCCTCTCCGTCTTCTGTCTGGTTGGCCTGGATCAGAGCGGCAAAGATCTCTTCAAAACCGACGCCGGCAAAGTCCCAGTCGAGGATGCTGTCGTCGTCCATGGTGGCGGCGTTGCTGCCGGGGTCAACTGCTGTATTGGATGAAACCGACGCAGTGGACAGGGACTGTACAGGCAGCATTTGGCCCGGCGACAGAGGTGGCAAGGCCCAGTTGGCGTCAAAGGGGGCAGTCATGTTGACGTCTGTCGAGGTCGAGGCCGAGGTCGAGGCCGAGAGGGGCGGCGTGTCCGTAATTGCTTCGAGGGCGGCAGTAGTGGCGTCTTCCGGAAACGGAGAGAACAGTGACATGTCTTTGAGTTTTTGTTTGAGAGCAGCGACCGTCTCGGCCATGTCGGCCTCTGGCGTGGTATGGGTCACCCACTGCCGCTGCAGTCGGTCGACGACGGCCTGGGATATGGCCTCGAGGGCGGCCGCATGGTGTGTAATGGCCGGCCATCGTCGCGCAACCTTCCACAGATTGCCGGGGAACGTCTTGAGATGGCGCGTCAAGATGGGCACGTCGTCTTTCTTGACTACGCCCGTGTCTGTGGACAAAGTCACTGTTGATAACCTCGCTGCGGTCGGTGGTACACTCGCTAAAACAGCCGCACACAAACAAATAGCTGCTTCCACCACACAGTGCGCCGCATGCCAGATGTAAAACAGCTTCCCCAGTCGCGCAATCACGTCAAACGCGCGCAGCACCGCCACAGACGCGGCCAGGCACTCGCTCTGCAGGGCGGGCGAAAGGCATGGCCGCCGCGGCGACGGTCGGCTCAGTCGCAGCCGCTGCATATGGAATAAAATATCGGCAAACTCCAGCGTCTCGGCGAGGGCGACGCTCTGGCGGGTGGCTTGGTGCCAGGCGGAAAGGCGGGCGCGGATGTCGGCATGCCAGGTGTCAAGGTCGTCCGACGACGACGACGACCACCCCGAATAGTAGAGCCTCGACAAGATCTCGCCCTCCATCTGGCGGAGTGCCCAAATGTGTGCCGTAGGCGATGTCGCGCCCAGGGCAGGCATCTTGGCAGTAAACGCGTCCGCAGCCATGCTCCCCGGTCGGCTGCGCGTGCTGTTGGCCGCCAGGTCGAGTGAGAGCGAGTGCCAAAAGAGGCGCCGGCGGATGTCGAGTTGCGCCGGAGACACGTGCTGGCGGTCCTCGCGCGGCAGCTCGTGGTGCAGGCCCAGCTGCACACACAGCCGCAGCGCCGCCGCGGTGCACCGCACACAGTCAACGTCCTTGGGGTTGAGAAAGCCATAGTGGGCCAGCAGCTGGAGGGCCTGGACGCGCTGCCAGGGTTGCGTCGTTGCGTTCGAGTCACGGTCCAGCGCGTCCAGATGCGCGACGGCCGTGGCCCAGAAGCCGGCAGTGGCGGTCGCGGCACGGCCGGCGTCGCGGTACATGAGCGTGGTGGTGCTGATGGCCAGCGTGATGTGGACGCAAAAGACGTCAAAGTCGGTGGCCGCGCCCTTGGCCGGGCTCTTGTCGTAGACTCGGTCAAAGGCCTGCAGCAGGTCCTGCTCTTCGACGGCGGGATACTGCGGCCGGTAGATTTCACAGTAGTGCTTGAGCATGATGACGGCGACGTGGCGGGGGATCGAGGAGATGGGGACGGCCGACGACGTGGACGAAGGGGACGGCGACATCAAGGGAGCCGCCGCCGTCAGGGTCGCCGCCGGGCCCCTCGTCTCGTCCCAGGCGGTCGACTTGTGCAGATGCGGTGCGGGCGAGCCGACAAAAAAGACGCTGGACGTGAGGGGGAGCATGGGCATGGAAGCGGTGGCTGTGACGGGCGAGACGGGCGAGACTGTCGCCGTCGCCAGTCGAGTCGTCATTCGGTCGACCACTTCCTTCGCCTGGGCGGCGCGGTCGGCTGTCTGGTCGCCAGGCAGGGCCGCGTCTTGGTCCCGCTTCGTCTCTTGCAGCTGTTTTTCCAGCCGCTCGACCTCTTCCTCGAGGTGCGAGATGACACTGCGCGGCTTCTCCACGCCATGGATCGAGTCGAAGCCGACACAGGGGGCAGAGGCAGAGACGCAGGCGCCACAAGCAGGGAAATTGAAGTCGCACTATGCGAGTAAACAAAGTGAGAAAGGAAGGAAAGAGCACGAGTGAGCGCAGGGAGCAAGAAGGAAGGAACACGGGCGGGTTGGGCGGGCGAGAAGGAAAGAACGAAGGACGATGAACAAAGAACGAACGGCGAAACACAACAGGAAGGACCTACCCGAATCTTCCTCTTCCGACAGCGCGTGCAGGCTTTGCTCTGCCGGCGACGACGGGCGCGGTCGGGCGCCGACATGGTGGAGTCAAAGGGAAACGATCGAAGGTCAATATAAGTGACTTGTTTTGTACAAAGTGGTGGAGCGAAGCGGGAAAATGACGGTGATGAAAGATGGAGGGAAACTCAGAATGACGACGGTACTAAAACGCAATTACAGCGCTAGTGGACAGGTGTTAGTGGGCATGTTAGTGAACGATGCTGCAGTGCATTTGTAATTCAAGCAATGAGACACATATGAACGCAGGATTCCGACCTTACTTTTGTCAATATGCCGTAAATATGCTGTAGAAAAATAAACAATATTATGTACATGTACAGCTGTATGCCAGCTGCATCTGTCGTCTCGTTTACATTGCCAGTTTCCCCCCTTGCATCATAACCAGTCCAGCATCGAGCTGCCCAACATCGCAGCCACGACGCTGCCAGCGACGACATACACCCGCCTCCTTGACACGGATGCTGTTGGTGCCGAGTCCGATGCAGCGGCAGCCGGGCTGGTCGTCGCACCCGAATCTGACGACGACGACGAGGTCGTGCCCGGTTTTGGTGTGGCGGCCGATGTGGCCGTTCTGGCAGGCGCCGTCCCTGCTGCGGTCGAGGCCGTCGCCGACGCAGAGGCCGACGCGCCCGAGGACAACTCGAGGCTGTTGGCGGCCGTGCAGACGCCCGTCAGTGTGGAGAGGGACGCGGCCGACGCGAGGGCGGCTGGGGTCGAGCCGCAGTTGGCGTACTGGGCCATCCAGACGACATTGTCGGACTGGTCAATCACAACTGTACGCAGCGCAGCCGCAGGTTAGTATCCAGACTCGTTCTCCTCAGAGCATGTGACGTTGCGAGAACTCACCATAGGCGGAACGCAAAAAGGTGTCGCCCAGCAGCACAAAGTCGGTGCTGGCCTGCAGGCCCAGCATGCAGGTACTGCCCGACTGCCGGATCAGCTCGCTGTAGGGCACGCGTACCGTGGTGCCGCCAAACGTGAAATCGAGGCTGCCGCCGGCCGTGGCCGCCAGCCGGCAGTCGACGGCGTAGAAGCCGTCGCTGTTGGCCGCCGCGGCGCCAAAGTCGGCGGCGATGGCGTTGGCCAGGTCGGAGGGGAGGAGGGTCAAGGTCGAGCCGCTGTCGAGGAAGACCTGCAGCTTGCTGTTGGGATAGGTTTTCGGGGTGCCTCCCGGGCCCGCCGGCGTCAGCCCCAGCGACGTCATGTTGACCCAGTACCGCGGCACGCCGTCCGGCGAGAACTTGGCCGGCGTGATGGGCAGACGCTCCAGCTGGCCGGCAAACTTGCTCGTGTCCACGCCGCCAAAGACAATCACGCCCTCCTGCTCCGCCTTGCTGCCGAGGGCCAGCGAAAAGGCCTTGACGCGCGTGACGTTCTGCATGGCCAGCTCGTCGACAAAGTTGGGATACCGCGTGGTCAGGCCCAGGCCGTAGCCAATCCCCAGGATGCCGGAAAACTCGTCCTGCGTCACCGTCGCCACGCCAAACTGGACCTGGGAGAGGACCGACGACGTGCCCGGCAAGGAAATGTCGTCCGTCACGTACGTGATGTTGGCCGTCCCGATGCCGTACCGCAGCTGCTTGCCCACGTTCAGGGACGTAAACGTCGACGACGCCGACGGTTCAAAGCGGCCCACGGCCTGGCAAAAGTTGGCATCGCCCGACGACAGCCCGCCGGCCGAGCTGCACGTCGGGTTCACCCACAGCTCAAACGAGCCCGTGTCCAGCTGCACGTACTGCGCCTGCGGCGGCGTGCCAAACTCGAGCTTGGCGTAGTAGGCCACGTCGGACCGGTTGGCCAGCGAGAGCTCGACGGCGCGCTTGGTGAAATGCTGTGCGTTGTTGGAGTGGACGATTTGGAAGTGGATGCAGCCGTCTTGCATGTCGACCGCCGATGCGGCGGCGGCGACCGCCGCCGAGACGGTCGACACCGGCACGGATGCACTCCCACTCCCACTCACAACCGACGGATCAACGGTCGCTGCCGAGGCAGTTGACGCCAACAACACGCCCAACAACAGACACAATCGTAACGCCATGGTGGATACAAAATGACTGGAAGTCCACAAACGTGGACGGAAAACCCAAAAAAGGCGGGAAAGGAAAATGAACGAGCTATCTCGGCTGCATGGGCAAAGACAAACGATCGAAATCGACAACGAAGACGAATAAGGCGAAATCGGTAAAGACGACAATTGTCGCTGTGTCGAACGCGCTCGCTAAAATCAAAAAGTCGAAAGGGAAGAAGTGAAAACGAGAAAGGGACGCTGAAGTGACGCTGATGAGTCGAACAAAACGAATGGAACAGCCTGCGGGCAAGGATAATCAAAGAAACACGACGATACGGCTGACAGAACGACTCGATGCCAGATCGTTCGGGGTTCGATTATGTCCTGATTGTGTCGTCGGGTCGATGTCGATATTTGGCCAAAGGTCGTAGAACGAATAAAAAAAACGGAGCAAATAAAAAACACAAATAGGATTGAAAAAGGAAGGACTGAGACGAAGAGACGGGGCGAAAAAAGACGACCAGCGAGGAGGATGTGAAGAAACGACGAGTACGTAAACAAAAAGCACTCTCGTCGAAGGAATACAAGAAAAGGGGGGAGGGGTGGCGAGATGAAAAAGAAAATATACAAAAAGGAAAAAGAAAGAGAAAGGGACGAAAAGAATGAATGAATGAAGCGAAAGCAGCGACACGAGACAAAGACACGAGAAACAAAAAAAAGAGTGAGAAACAGAGAAAGAGGGCAACAAGAGAAAACGAGAGCAAAGTCAAAAGGCCAGGGTCCCAATTGCGAGACACGAAAGCCGACAGGGGCAGGGTCTGGCCAAGCACGCACGAGTGCGTTGTAGCAAAGCGGCCAAGCAGCCGGAGAAGGATGACGCCGCAAAAAGGAAGGACTGGATTCGAAACGCCATGCAAAGCAGCCCCCAATGGAGCAGAGAGGCAGAAGCCTCTGCCCGCAAAACAGACGACCCGCATCTGGGAGGCCAAGGCCAAGGAGGGCAGGCCAGGTGTGTGGGGGATTCCACGGGCGTTTGGGCGTTTGGGCGTTTGGGCGCAGCCCAGAGTGTGCGCTTCGAGGCGGAGGGCCAGGCTGAACGACAATGACCTCCAATCAATTCCAAGGCCCCTCAAATGAGTTCTTTTTTAGAACGGAGCTGTGGCTGCGTGCAACATTGTTGTTTGACAAACGCCATCTGGTCATCTTGGCTCGGGCTTTATTTTGTTTTGCTGGCCTTGGTTTCTTCACGGTTCCTTACGGCAAGATTTTATGTCTTTGTTTTGCACTGACGGTGCCAAGGTCAGACTGGAGAAGGAAGAAAAAAACGACAACAAAAAAGTAAACAAGAAGACTAGAAAGAAGAAAACGAAGCAGCCGAGACGCCCAACTGCGGACGAGACTATGATTTCTGTAGAGGAAACAGAGAGAAAGTAAAGGGGACACAGGAGTCGTCTGAAAGAGGTTTTTCCCTTATCATATCTTCCCATCTCAAGATATCCCCACCATTTTATGCCATTTGACTGTAAAGCTCGATCTTATCTCTCTGAGAATGGAAATGCATGAATCCAAGCGGGTGTTAAATTGAAGGAAGGAGCGAGGCGGGCATTCAGACGGGTTCAGCCGCCGTTCTTGCCTTATTGCAGACGCCATGCATCGCAAGGCTAAATTGAAGGAGACGCAATTCAGATCCTATCATGATAAACTGAGATTGCGAATCTTTCGATCATCCTTCAAGGAGGATACTACAAAGAACCGAAAGTAAATGTGAACAGAGATGCTCATTGTGGGATTGGGTGTCAACAATGTCGCCCCACATGCCCCTTGGCTGAAACGGCCTCCTAAAAAAGCGCTGGGGAGGGGACGTCCCGAATGTGAGTCGCCTAGAAAGGGGGGAAGCGTGTATGTCAAACTCCATACGGGGGAGTAATCAGCGGAACACTGCGACAGCTCCAAACAGAGGGTCTTGGCGTAGATCAAACAAGGCGTCTCCTTCCGACCATCTCCTCAAAAGTAGTAATACTACGGTGTTGAAGACAACACATTCGAGCTGCCAAGAATAGTGGACAGCTTAAAAACTAACAGGCCTTTCCTTCTCCCAAGAATATTGGCGTCTCACCGGAGGTCTTTGTGTTGCACTTCGCCGACACTACAACTCTTTGGGCCTCCTGGCCTCGTCCGTCAGTACGGAAGCGGCGCCTTCCTGATATATTAATACTTGCGACAGCGCTCCGCGTCAAATACATCAAAACAGCTTAAAAGCTTGGTGTCTTGGTGTCTTGGTGTTCTTGGTTCTCCTTGTTCTCTTGGACAAGTCTTGGGACTGTTTTGTCTTATGTGATGTCCGTCTAGGTGGTCTCTTGGCCGTTGACTCTTGGCCCAGCCTTTGGCTGCCAGCGACTCTTTTCCGCCATGTAAACAGGAATGACGATGCTCTTTAATGTCGTTATTTTTTCTCACATTAATGCACTTCAAAGAGGTGTTTTGACTCGCATGCGGCCGTAAAAGACATGTACGGCACGGACGAGAACGAGACAATATCTGTGAACCAGCTGTCAGCGCCACAACGAATGATTATTCATATTTGTCTGTTTATTTTGGAATTTAAAAGGAAAAGGGAAAAAAGAAACCTTGGAACAACACAACCATAAAAAGTCACAAACAATATTGACGTATTGGTTTTCTGTGCATCTCTTTGATATTGTTTACTCGCAGCGGTCATCCGTCTGTCGATTCCGGATCCATGACAGCAAGTGCCTCCCAGCGGAAGAGCAGACGGTCATCGTCGCTACGACCGTGGTTCGTATCATGTTTCTGTTTAGGGGGCCTGGTGATCTACTTTGTAAAGCGTTTGTCCACTCGTCACAATGCGCGTCATGTCTATGCGGATGGTCCGTTATTATTATGGGCGCTGGGAATAACAGATATCCTCCGCAATTAAACTCATACAACAATAGGAATTTTAATAAGAAATTTCCGAATTGCATGAACTGCTCGTCCCAGAGACGGAACATAGATTAGTGTGGTCAACGATAAAGGGTGCGAGCTGTCGGCAGACCAAGTGGCCGTGAAAGTCGGTTGCAGAACGACGTGGCAGAGCGATACGCTATTGAGAGCAGTCAATCAGTGTGGGTCGGCTGTAGGAATGATCGAAAACTAATCGGAAATATGAGAGAGCAAGATATTGCAGCCGGAAGGTTAAATTGGAGATGCTGATGATTGAACATGAATATTCGAAGTGCGACAAGCAGTGAGATGGGGTGCACAGATATGTCGTCGATGGCGGGTGTTTATCGAGCCATGTGGGTCTCGTCTTTGCAATATGTACCCTAATAAGAGCGCTGCTGGTATAAGCTAGCAAGTAGTCGCCCGTATAGCTCAGTGGTAGAGCGTATCACTTGTATTGCCGACTAGCGCGGCAGTCATTGTGCGAGATGCTAAGGTCCATGGTTCAATCCCATGTGCGGGCAAATTTTTGGTTCCTGGAGTTGTTTTTTTATGGCTTTTATTGCTTCTGGTCTCGTGTACCTTTCCTTTTCGCATCGCCCCTTTTTTTTATTACATTTATCATTGTTCATCGATCATCATTCATCGTTCGTTACCCGTCACTCGTAATCGTCGCTCGCTCGTCAAAGTACAACACCAGACATGTGCACGTCTGCAACATTTACGCCTTTTGCACCTCACCCACAGCCTGCTCTGTCACGTACGTTTTGGCTACCCATGCAGCAAAGCCTTCCTGCAGGCTCTTAGCAAAGCCAGAGTGGTACCGCTCAGCGCTGTCGAGGTACAAGACCCGGCCGTTGCGCCAGTGAACCCAGTGGTGGGCCGCCACGCCCTCGGGCGCTCTCAGCAGACCGCTCGCCAGATCAACGGTCTGGCTGTCACCGCGATGGTAGTGGCGGAACAAGACGGTGGCGCCGCAGACACGGCAAAAGGCGCGGAGCCCCCTGTCAGACGACTTGTACGTCGTGAGCGTGGCCATTTCAAAGTCCTGTGGGACCGGTGGAGAGAGACTGGCGATGGGCAGCTCGACCCAGCCAATGACGTGGCTGCCGTCGACCAGGCGGCAGTCGTCACATGCATCGAGCGTGCCGATCCAGCGGTCTGGGAACTCGGAGGACAGAGCAAACCCTGCTGCTTTGGCGATCTCGGCGAGATTGGGCGTGTCGGCCGGCCGGGCAATGGTGAAGGAGGTGCCGCCGCAGTGGCAGGCCGCCCGCAGAACCTCTCGGCCGTTGGCATCGTACTCGGGTGCCTGGGGGTCGTACGGATCGGCCGCCGCCGGTGGGTAAAAGGCATCGCCCGGCTTGGGGTTCCATTTCGAGAGGACACGGTCGCCGAGACGGGGCAGCCACTCGTGGAAACCAAAGGGCGCCGAGTCCGTCATGGCGTGCGTGCGCAGCGAAAAGGCCTGGTTGGGGGCGCCGTCGTCGTGCAGGCCAGCCTCAAACAGCGACGAAGACACGCGCCACTCGGCGTCCGCGGGCTTGGTGCCCGTCGCCGAGTCGAAGTCGTCGTCGCCAATGTGGGCGCCGCACGTCTTGCAGAAATAGCGGGTCGCCATGGCCGTCGCATGCCGGTAGCCCGTCGTGCTGCTCTCGAGCGACGAGGGCGCGACAAACTCGGGGCGGATGCCCGCGGGCAGCGGCGCGTGGAAGCAGGTGTAGGAGCCATGCGTCGTGCGGCAGACAGAGCACCCGCACATGTGCACGCCGAGCGGGAGTGCTGCCACCGGGACGGTGATGGTGAAGTGCACAGCCTTGCACAGGCACTGCGCGACAAGCGTGCGCGACGCCGGTGCTGGAGCCCCGGATGCCATCGGTCAGTTGGGCAGTCGGGCAAGTCTGTGGAGAGGAAACGGTACAAGTGCTCACGAACCCTCACTTGGGTTTTCACGGATGAAGTTCGTTATGCTGTGGAACAATACAAAGATAGTGGATGCACGCTAAAGCGGTGCGGAGTTCAGCGTCGACTAAAGCGAATTCCAGCGCTGTCAAGCCGCCCCCAGCAGCTTGCCTCAGGCCAGGACGCAATTGCCTTAACTCGCTAAGTGCGCCTGTCAGGAACATGCAATTCCGGCACTTTCCCATCAAAGAAAACCCCGTCCGGAAAAATACCCATCTAAAAAGCCGCATCGAAAAAGTACCCCTCCGTTCAGCCCCAATTCTCTCGGCGTGTCTTGCTAAACCGCCCCAAGCATTACTTCCAAAAGAAGAAAAAAAGGTGCACACCATCGCACCTGCCCGAAAACAACGCAGCCACCTACAGCGCGTCATGCCGCCGTTGCTGCAACGCCCCATCTTCCTGCGATCCTTGCTCTCGTCGTCGTCATTGCCCGTCACACACGTTGTGCGTCCGTCTATACGTCCATTTGCTCCCCTCGCCGCGCCTTCTCGCACGGCCTCGTCCAGCTTCGCAACCTCCAGCGCCAACAGTCACCGTGGGAGTGTCCCCTGGAACAAGATGGCTCCCGGCGACGTCAGCAAGTATCTCCAGCAGACGCACGACCGCGTCTTTGAGAGCAACCGTGCGTGGGCTGCGCAGAAGCGCAGCGAGGACCCTGCTTTCTTCGAAAAGCTCGCCGCCGGCCAGAACCCCGAGTACCTGTGGATCGGCTGCAGCGACTCGCGCATCCCGGCCGAGCAGATCACGGGTCTGGGCCCCGGCGAGGCCTTTGTGCACCGCAACATTGCCAACCTGGTCTGCAACATCGACGTCAACGTTATGTCCGTCGTCAACTATGCCGTCGACCACCTGCACGTCAAGCACATTGTCGTCTGCGGCCACTACGGCTGCGGCGGCATCAAGGCGGCCATGACGGCCAAGGACCTGGGCCTCCTGAATCCCTGGCTGCGCAACATCCGCGACGTCTACCGCCTGCACGAGGCCGAGCTCGACGCCATCACCGACGAGACCGCGCGCTACAACCGCCTGGTCGAGCTCAACGTCCTCGAGCAGTGCCGCAACATCATCAAGACGGCCGCCGTGCAAAAGATGTACGCCAAGAACGGCTTCCCCATTGTCCACGGCTGGGTCTTTGACTTCCACGACGGCCTGCTCAAGGACCTCAACGTCGACTTTAAGCAGATTCTGGCCGATATCCAGAAGATTTACAACCTGACGGAAGAGTAAGGCGAGGCTTTATGCAGATGGACAGGTGTTACGGGTGTCTTTTTGGAACGGTAAAAGGGAGACGGGCGACAGCAGCGGTAGATCCATAAGAGCTATACGAAATTATGATCAATATTGGCGTTGAAACATTGCCCCCGCTACCACCCTGAGAGACTTCTCACTCTCTCAACAAAACGCACGTTGAGTCAGACATCGGCGGCAAGATTGGCGGCAAGATTTCGCTGCAGAGCCGGGCTAGCGCGATCGCTGTTGACAACCTTGTTCGACATATTGCGCTGCAGTCATTGATAGTCAAAAAGCTTCTTTTAATAAACAATCCGAATGCCTCTATAATTGGTATCAATGAAAACGACTGTCGAACCTCCCCCCCGTCCCTAGTCATTTTCGTTGCAAAGTCGTGACGAAAAGGAAGGGCCGAACTCAACCTGAAGCTGCCCCAACAAAGCTATCAGCAGCTCGCACAAACCGTAACACCTGATTGGTTGACTCTCCAAGTCTAGCCAACAGAGATACCGTATATATTTACATTTACACTGTATTTGAACGGTGTGGCTGAGAATGCTCGCGCCACACTAGCCATTGCCCAAACGGCAGGCACTGGCCACCGCTTGCCAGCAACGCGACAGCTCCTGTTTGCCTGGCTAGCACAAGAGCTTCTTCTCGGTGCATCCCACGTCGTCGCCCTTTCAGCCTGCCATCGTCAGCTGCCAATCCACCTGTTCACGACGCATAACGCAGCACACTTTTGCACGTCCGATTCGGCTCGCATCCTCGATACTCGACTGCCTTTTTCTCCAGCTGCTTTCCACCCATCCCACGTTCTCGACCGTCTCCTTCCTCCTCTCCTCATCTCCTCATCTCCTCAGCAAACTTTCACAATGGTATGTGCCTATTGACTGTGACGGCCCTACCAGCTCGACAACTACAATGAACCTCGTCCTATACCCAATCGCAGCCCGGCCGATACTGACAAGCTTCCCTTCTCCCTCAGACGTCCATAGGAACCGGCTACGATCTGGCCAACTCCATCTTCTCGCCCGACGGACGCAACTTCCAGGTCGAATACGCCATCAAGGCCGTTGAGAATGGCGGCACCTCGGTCGGCATCCGGTGCCGTGACGGCGTCGTCCTGGCCGTCGAGAAGATTGTCGGCTCCAAGCTGCTCAAGCCCGGCGCCAACCGCCGCATCGCCACCATCGACCGCCACCTGGGCATGGCGTTTTCGGGCATGACCCCCGACGGCCGCCACCTCGTCGACCGCGCCCGCGACGAGGCCCGCAGCTGGCGCGAGACCTTCAAAGCCCCCATCGCCACCAGCGAGCTGGCCTCGCGCGTCGGCGGCTTCCTGCAGGCCTACACGCTCTACCAGTCCGTCCGCCCCTTTGGCGTCACCGCCATCCTGGCCGGCTTCGACAGCGACAAGGACCAGCCCGTGGACGGCGAGGTCGGGTCCGGGCCCAAGGTGGGCGCCGGCGGCCGCGCGGCCGGCAAGACGTACGGCGGGCCCGCGCTGTACATGCTGGAGCCGTCGGGCCTGTACTGGGGCTACTACGGCGCGGCCACCGGCAAAGGCCGCCAGGCCGCCAAGGCCGAGCTGGAAAAGCTGGACCTGGCGGGCGACGGCGAGGCGGGCGGCATTTCGCTGGAGCAGGGCGTCAAGGAGGCGGCGCGCATCATCTACGTGGCGCACGACGACAACAAGGACAAGGAGTTTGAGCTGGAGATGACGTGGATCAGCACGGTGGAGGGCCCGACGGGCGGCCGCCACGTCGAGGTGCCGCGGGCGCTGCGGCTGGAGGCGGAGCGTCTGGCCAAGGCGAGTCTCGAGGGCGACGACGACGACGACGAAAAGAAGGACGACGACAAAATGGACGAGGACGACGAGTAGGACGTGACAGATGGGCAAGGCAATGAGGTTAGGCACGAAAATAAAAAATAATACATCACGCATTCATGGGCAATATCATACGACCTAGTGCATGACGGCCATGTCTTACTTTTCCGAGCCCAGGGGTTGACATGTATGATAGCATGCAGCGACAGGCATAGACAGTGGCTGCTCCCGTTTGTGTTTTAGTAGTACGGCGCATTTCCTCAAAAGTATCCTCCGGAACTGTGATATCTTGTGTCTTGATATGCTGCTTGATGTCTATATACGCTGAACTTTTGCAATGCAAAAATGATTGGAAAATCATATAATGCCGCCGTCTACTTACCCACGACGATCGACATTCGATGTACGTGCCTCCACTATGCACCGCTCCCCCGCGCGGCGTTCTGGCACCAGTTGTACCAGTCGGTAAACAGCGACGTCCGCACGCTCCAGCCGTCGAGCACCCACCGGTCCTGTGTCGACCGGTAGACGTCCGCGACGCGCTGGTAGGCGGCCGTGCGCTCGTCGCTCGCAGGGGCCGTCGCCGCCCACAGCGTGGATGCAATCGCCAGACTGGCCGTCGACACGGCGGCCGCAAAGGCCCGGTTCTCCGTCTTGTCGTTGGCCGCCCCGTGCAGCTCCTCGAGGATGCCAACAGCGTCGTCGAGGTCGACAGCTGCCTCGGTCGAGGACGACGACGACCGGCCCTTCTTCAGCTGCCGCGGCACCTCCTGGACGATGCGCGCCGCTTTCTGCGACAGGGCAGGCTCCTTGGTGTCACGGATCAGCAGGACCAGCGGCAGGAGCAGGCGGAAGAGCAGGCGGAAGAGCAGGAGCAGGTTGGTCTCTGCGAGAGACGACGACGCCTTCTTGACGTACGTCTCGACCAGGTCGAGCACGCGGTGCTTGAACGCGACGACACGCTTGCGGGCCTCGTCGCGCTCCTTCTTGTGGCTGTCGGTCTTCTTGCGGATAATGGCGAGGTGGTTGGCCAGGTGGTCGTCGAGGCGCAGCATGGCGTCGTCGCTCATGTCCGACTCGTTGTCGCTGTCGTCGTCACTATTGTCTCCGTCCTTGCCGTCACCGTCTTCCAGTAGAATACCGCCGTACGTCTTGCGGAGAGCGGCCTCGAGGCTGTCGTCGGCGGCATCGTCTCCGCCAGCCTTCTTGCCGTTCGGCTTGTCCTTGTCGACATCTACCTCCTCGTCATCTGAATCTGACGACGCATCGTCACTATCGTCGCTGTCCTCCTCGTCGCTCGACTCCACACCCTCCGCCAGTGCCGTCACGTCGCCGTCTGCGTCCATGTCCATCATCTCGACGCTGTCGTCGTCGTCGTCGTCGTCGTCGTCGTCGTCGTCGTCGTCGTCGTCGTCGTTCTCACCGTCTTCATCGTCACTGTCCTCCTCTTCATCCTCATCCTCCTGGTTGAACAGCGTGCGGTACCCAGACGTGTTCTCCTCCGCCGCCAGCACATCCGTCAGGTTATCCAGGGCCTCGGCCGACATGAACGGCGTGAACGCCTCAAAGACCTGAAGCGACGTTTGGCGCGTCAGCTGCGACGACTCGGCCAGCAGGGAAAGCAGGACGTCCGTCAGGACCTGGCCAATGTCGGGCTCGCCGTGCTCATGGTCCTCGTCGTGGTCCTCGTCGTCCTCGTCGTCCTCGTCGTCCTCATCGTCCTTTTCCTCAGCATCTACCTTCTTCGCCTTCTTCGCCTTCTTTCCCCTCTTCGCCTTGTGCGTAGCCTCCTCCTTCTTGCCACTCCGGGCCAGCGCAGCCGTCAGCTTGTCACCACACGCCTGGATGTCGTCAAGCACCTCGATGGCATCGGCCCGCGGCTCGTGGTACAGCTGCAGCAGCGACACAGACAAGAGGACAGCAAGGCCCTGGCGGGCGCGCGACGCTGCCGCGGCGTCGCCGCTCTTCTTCGACGCCTTGGTGGGCGCAGCATCGAACGAGACGAGTAGTTGCTTCAGCTGCTGTCGTGCAGCCAGAACGCGCGCCTCAATCTCACTCGTCATGGCGACACCGACCGAAGCAGGCTCGATCGCGTGCATGGTGCGGCAGAACGACGCAAAGTCGTCGGGGCGCTTAAGCAGGGCACCAGCGGCCGAGAGCAACGATTTCCGGCAGGCGGCCAGGGTCTTTTCGTTGAGTTCGGGGAAGGGAGCAGTGGCGTCGGAAGCAGGGGCCGGCGCAGCAGACTTGGACTTTTTCTTCTTTGACTTTTCGTTTTCTTTAGTCTCGGGAGCAGCACCACCCGTGACGGTGGCCGTCGGATAAGCCAGCTCGGCCAGCGCCTGGAAGGCGATGCTGCTCACAGACACCTCACCAGCCTGGCTGGCAGCGGTGGTGTCCGCGCCGGCACGGCTGACTAGGCGGAAGAGGTACTCGGCGTAGATCCGGAGCGGCTTCTGATCGCCGTTCGCGTCAGGTGCGTGCAGAGCTCCCGTGCGCAGCAGACGGACAACATCCTCGATGCTGTCACCGTCCGCAAACCGCAGGATCTTTTCCACCGGCCGCGTACCGTCGCCGGTGCCCTTGACGCGCTCGTCAAAGTCGTAGACGCCGTGGGACTGGGGCGTGCTGCCAAGAAGACAGGAGAGGACGGGCACCAGAATATGCGGGTTCTCCTCGACCTGGCGCTCAATAACTTTGAGCACCTGGACGGCGGCACGGTGCAACCGTGGTGTTGGGTTGGACGCCTGGTTCATCAGGCAGGCCATCAGGTTGTTGCTGAACAGACTGGGGTGGACGGCGTCGGCGTCGGCGTCGGCGTCCGCTGACTTGTCGGCCATAGCCGCGCACAGCGCCAGTGCCTTTTGGAACACCTTGAAGCCCGTCAGCTTCTGGTGGTCGGATGCGCCCTTGGCAAAGTAGACCTGGTCCACGACGGCAACCCAGAAGGCGTCGAAGCGCTTGGCAGCGCCACCCACGAGCAGCGCATCCAACAACAGATCCCACACAAAGTGCAGCTGGGCCGAAGCGTTGCCCTGCTTAACGGCCTTTGACGACGACGCTTCGCTGTTGCCGTCATTGTCGCCGCCGCTGTTCTTGAGCACGGCCACCACGTCCTTGTGGGAGCCGGGCGCCAGCGGCGCCGTCCACGGTGCCGGTAGAGCCATCTCGGGGAAGCGGGCCAGCGCGGCCAGCCACATGCCCAGGCCCTCGGGTGTCTTGGCCAGGCTGTCGCCGCTGGCCTCCGACGCCACCGTCTGCAGCGTCGCGGCGACCGTCGCTTCGTCGGGCAGGCGGCCCCGCGCAATCGCCTGCACGACGACAAAGCACGCCTGCGACCGCAGCCACACCTTCTTGTGGCCGAGCTGCAGCAGGTGCTGCAACAGCGTGTCCCAGTAGCGCACGCGGCCGTTGTCGCCGGGGCCGAACAAGATGCCCGACTCCACAAAGCTCTGCAGGCCAAACAGCAGGCCCCAGTAGTGGTCACGCTCTTCCTGTCCGGGCAGGTTGGCGGCCGGCTTGGTCTTTTCGAGCAGCAGATCGAGAATGCGGTCAAACGTCAGGTTGGGATAGGTCGAGGCGTACTCGGTCGTCTTCGCGGCGTCGGCGGCCTCGTCCTCGTCCCTGCGTCCAAACAGTTGGCCCAGCAGCTCCGACAGCACATAGCTGAAGCCGACGCGGGCCGCCTCGCTGCCACTGGCGAGTCCGCGCAGCAGCCGCCGCTCGAGGTGCCGCCGCAGCACCGCCTCCGGTACGGATGCAGAGCCGCTCCCCAGCAGAGCAGACACAATCGTGTCGGCGGCCCGGATGCGGTCCTCGACGTCGGCGCTGCCCAGCAGCTTGTAGAGGCGACGCTCGCGGTCGTGGTCGGCGCGCGACAGGTCCGACGCGAACAGGGTCTTGTTCTCCAGCAGAGCCTCCTTCTCTTCGGGGCTCTCGCCCGGCGCAAACTTCACAGGGAGAATGCTGCTGGTATGGTTCTCGGCATCGCTGTCGTCCATGTCGACGATGCGGGCGCGCTTGTTGGTGGCGCCGTTCTGCTGGCCGCCGTTGGGCTTGCCCGACCGCTTTCTCTTGCCCATGTTGGTAGGGGCTTTAGTAAGGTTATGGAAGGGAATATTCGAGGGCAAACTGCGAGAAATCGGTCGCAAAGACAGCCAATGCCTCTTGTCGTCGATTTTGTCGATTTTGTCGATTTTGTTAACTGGCCGTTTTGCTGTCAGAGGCTTCAGTGCATTCGGGCAGCTTCCGTGCGCTAAGAAATTTATTTTTGGGCTGGCAGAAAAACTCGGCGGTCAACCTCGAACAGCGGAAGGCGCATTCGAGCAGTCACCGCTTTCCGCAAATGGAACCAGCCTTGACCTTCATTACATTTTCACTTACAAAATATAACAACAGTATTCTATCAAAATGGAATCAATTTTAGCATACAATTGTTCGTAGGAATGTTGATATAAATCTTCATAATTTATAATGGAAACTGAGTTTGTTCAAAGCAATTGTATTCAATTATACTCCTCGCCCATATTTAAATAAAAAAAAAAAAAAGGATTAAAATAAAGACATTAAATTTCACCTCTCTACGGTTACTCTTTACGTATCATGAGTTTGCAAATACAACTAATTTTGCAATTCCATCTTATCTAATGGCTGTGATCCATGACAACGTGCGTAAAAATGTTTGGGGTAGACCTGACCCCCTGACCCATGCAATGCAAAAAATGCAATATAAACAGAACCAAACAAACAAGACCCGGCAACAGTCCAGCCAGACAACACACATCTACTTCCGCTTCCGTGCCTGTCGCTCCCGCTCGTACGCGTTCGCCTCGCGGCCCTCGGAGCCCTGGATCTCGGCCACCAGCCGCTTGTACTTCTTCTCGTACGCGGCGTCCTTGGCCTTTTTCATCTTGAGCTTCTCGCGCTGCATAAAGTGCGCGTCCTTGCGCAGCTCGCGCAGGGCGCCCTTGCGCTCGCGCTTGAACTCGGCCTGCAGCTTGGCAGCCTCGGCGCGCTCGCGGTTGGGGTCGTAGTGCTTGTCCGGGTCGAACGCGTCCTCGAAGCGCGGCACAAACGTGCGGATGGCCAGCGGGCGGTGGTGGTGCAGCTCGAGCGGGCGGCGCGCGAGGTGCGCGAGGCGCTGCGCGGCGTCGATCTGCGCGGCCAGGCGGTCGACCTCCTTGTTGAGCGGCGCCGGGAGCTGGCTGCGGCAGGCTGCTGTGTTGCGCAGGTGCTGCAGGACGGCGCGGCAGGGCTCGAGGGTCTCGACTAGCGACGCTTTGCCGGCCCACAAGTTGGTGGCGGCGTCGCTGAGCAGCGCGAGGGCCGTGCTAAAGAGGGCGGCCTTGCGTGCTTCCGTGTCGTCGTCCGACGGCCGGCAGTCTGATATCCGCAGCTTGCGCACCGTCGTGAGGGACTGTGCCTTCTGGATGCGCACATCACGGGCTGGCGCGTGCACGGGGAAGTGGCCGGTGGCCGGGTTGGCGAGTGCATCCGAACCTTCCGGCGCAAGTGCCAGCAGCGTGTTGAGCACGTAATTGATGAGCTCGGGCATGTACCGCTTCGACAGGCGCTGGTACTGGCACGTCAGCGTGCACACGTACAGACCTGTGGCGTAGTCGGCCAGTGACCGCGGCGGTGCCTGCTCAAGGTAGCGCGCCATGGCCAGCATCGCCGGCGTGATGACCTGGTGGAAGTGGTCGGACGTGGGGAACACGGAGCCGGCGGCTGTCAGGATGGCGAGGTCGCCGCTGTTGAGCGCGAGGGCCCGGCTGCCATTCGTAACCGGGGCCGCATCGCCAGTGGCAATGCCCTCCATGGCTGCAAGATGGGAGCGGAAGGCGACCGCCACCTCGCTCGGCACGGCCTTGGCAAGCGAGTGGATGTGGCGGACCAGGCTCTCAATGGTTGCGTAAGGCGGTGCTTCGCCGTTCGCCAGATGGGCAATGTGCTCGACAAGGGCAGCCGCAAAGCGGCCGAGCCGGTCCTTGTTGCCGTGGTCCAGCTTCGGGTGGTAGAGCGCGCGGATGCGCTGCACCACGACGGGCAGCTTGGCAACGGGGACGTCCTCGAGAACGTCCAGCAGCTCCGCGTGCGTCTGTGGACAAGGGAACGTGTACGGCACGCCGTCGTCGTCGCGGCCCTTGGGGGCTGTCGAGGGCAGCTTGCCCGCGTTGGCGAAAACGGCATTCTTCTTCTCGTCTTCGGTCAGCAGGCCGCGGATAAACTCGTCCTCTTCCTCCTCCTCCTCCTCGTCGGCCCTGCTGCCTGCCTCGTCGCCACTCTCGTCGTTGTCATCCTCGTCGACGTCCACCTCGGACCCGCTAAAGACCAGGTCGTCGTCGATCAAAAAGTCGTCCTCGTCGTCAAAGCCCAGCTCGGCCGCCGTGTGCTTCACCTTGATGCCCTTGCCCAAGTTGAACTCGTCCTCCTCGTAGTCGTCGTCGCGGATGATCTGCACAGCCGGGACCTCTTTGTCGGCCTTGTTCTTGCTGCTGCTCTTGTCGCCTTCGTCACTCTCCTCGTCGCTGGCGTTGCCGCCCTCGTCGTAGCCAATCTGGCCCAACATGCGCCGCATGCGGCTCTCTTCGAGCTTCTTCAGATGCGCCGACTGCTCCTCGGCAATCTCCTCCTCCGTCTTGGTGCGAGCCGACGGCTCGGCCTTCTTGTCCTGGATCAGCTGCCGCAGCCGCACGTCGTACGCCTTGTCAAAGGCGTCCTTGTCGAACGGCGCGCCGGTGATGGGCGCCACGTTCTTGGACTGCGGCGGCGTGGGCTTGACGGGTTTCGTCGAGAGCAGCTGCTGCAGCTCGGGCAGCATGTTGTCGAGCTCGGCACGCATGTCGTCGTCATTCTCCTTGGCCAGCTGCCGCTCGTACTTGTAGTACTTGGACTTGGTAATCACCTCCTCCATGACCTCCTTCTTTGACTTTTTCCGTTCCGGCGCGCCGTCCTCGCCGCCGCCGCCGGCCGCGCCACCCTCCTTGTCGCCAAACAGCTCCTCCCGCATGCGCTTGAGCTGCTTCTTCTTGTACGCCCGCTCCGGGTCCTCGTCCGCGTCACTGCCCGCCAAATCGTCTTCGTCAAAGTCGTCGTGTGCGCCGAGGTCGTCGTCGCCGCCTTCGTCGTCGTCGCTGCCGAGATGGCGGCGTCCTTTCCAGTCGCCCAGCGACAGGCTCTTGCCCATGTGTGTCAGGCCGCCGTCGTCGGCGCCCCCCAAAAACCCGTCGTCGCCGTCCTCGAGGTCAAAGACGGCCCCCTTCTTGTTGTGGATGCGCTGCTTCTCAAAGGCAAACCGCTCCAGGGCCCGCTCCTCGGGCGTCATGTTGGGGTCGCCTTCGCCCAGCCGCCGATCCAGAATGCCGCCGACCTTGTTCCTCCGCTGCATGTCCATTAACAGCGTCGCACGCCGCTTCTCCTCGCCCCGCGACAGGGACACTGTCGGCCGGCCCTTGATGCCGCGCAGGCTCTCAGGCACCTGTGCCGACTTGAGACTCGTGACGGGGAACTTGGGCCCCCGTGCGTTCATCTTGAACTGGAAGGGGTTGAACTGCTCGCGAATCGTCTCGAGGGCGGCCGACTTTTTGAGGCGCTTGTCACCGCGGCCGGCTGCTCGATTGGCCCGGGCCTCCTCGGCGGCCTGCCTCTTCTGCTTTTTGGACTTTTGCGGGCCGATGATGCCCTGGTCAAGCAGCGAGGCCTTGAGCCGCTTGAGCTGCGAGCCTGCCATGGCTGTGGTGGTGTCGTCGAGAGTCGGTCTCTGGGATCGGAGGTCGAAATTCAATATGGCAGGTGGAGGGAGAGAGGCGTGTCGAGTCGGGTCGACGGAGTCGTCGAGAAGGAATTGCCGAGCGATGTTGAGACTGCGCAGTTGAGAGTTTGAGTGTTGATCCGATTTTGCTGCTCTCCCAAAGACCCAGAAACTTTTTTAGTGGGTCTATACAACGTTTTTACTTGGCTTATCTTATCAGGACACCTGCCCGTTTACAGCGGCAGAATGAAAGCGGTCAGGTGAGGCAAACCCGCACAGAGGCTACTCCACAGGGCTCGACAGCTGTTTCGACCTACCTACTCCCACTGGAAGCTCCTTCATCCGGCTCGAAGCTGCCCATCAGCTAACCATCACCACCTCGGTCCATCACGACAGGTCGTCACGACTGGTGACCACCACATCTCCACGACTATGGCGTGGTATTCGTTTATCCGCGACGAGCGCCTCGTCGGCTTGGGCCTGATGGCCGCTGCCACGGTCGGCATGTACGTGGGAGTGCGCGCGGCGCTGCAGCCGTACCATGCCTCCAGTGTGGTCTACCCGGCGATGCCCAAGACGCAGTACATTACGCAAGACACCGAGGACTCGCTGTCCGCCGACACCCTCAACAGCCTGCTCGACCACTACAACTTTTCGATCCGCGAGACGGCCGCCAAGATCGTGTGCGATCGGGCCATCAACGACGACGCCACGCTGCGGCGTTTGCTCTGGGGCATGGGCCGGCCGGCGTACGACGAACGCATGATGAGCCTGCGCGCGCTGTCGATGCTGACGGACCAGACCACTATGCACCGGCTCAACTCCAAGGAGGCGTTTGCCGCGTTTGTGCGGTGTCTCGAGCAGTGCATGGCGACCAACGTGCGCGAGGGCGTCGGCGTCGACGGCATCGGCAGCGACGAGGGCAGCACCCTGATCGACGACATTTACTTTGACGACTACTACCTGCGCGACTACTCGGAGAAGCTGTGCCTCATGTTCTTGGCGCAGCTGACCGACAAGTACGACATTGACCTGCTCGTGCGCGTCGGGTTTGTCGAGCGCTGGCTGGCCAAGCAGCGCTGGGGCCCGCCGGCCGCGCGCGCCGACAACTGGGCGAGTTTTGTGCGGCACCGCGACAACCGCATCGCGGACATTTGCCGGCGCCTGCGGGACACGCTGCTGGGGCGCAGTGCGCTGCGGAAAGCCGGGCTGTTGGAGGTCGTCCCGCCCAGCGCACGTCAAGGCGCGCGGTCGCACAGCCACAAGCAGCTGGATCTGCTGCAGCTGCCGCTGTCGCCCCTGGATGCGCCGCTGCGGCTGGAGCTGCGGACGTCGCCGTTGCAGGTCAGAGCGATCGGTGCCACAGGCGTCGAGGTCGAGGCTGCCGACGTTGCCGCGGAACACGCGCGAGGCACCGATGGCGAGGTGCCTGCGGCGGTTTTGACCAATGTGCGCACCGTTCTGAGTGCTCTGGACGGGTTGGCCGACGGCGATGGCGACGGCGACGGTGCAGCGGAAGCCGTTGACGGCGTGGACGGCGACGACGTCGAGGGCGATGCGCAATCGGCTGCAGGCGGCCCAAGCACGTCTGCGCCCACGCGCCCACGTCAACCGCGACCACCCATCCAGAGCTCCCGTGAAGAGCAGCGCATTCGGCGCCAACACCGCGAGGCGATGGTGCTCAACGACGGGACGCGGCCGCTGCGACGCGACGACATATTTGAGCGGGAAAGCGACTGAGGGGCTCGTCCATGGGCTGGGCTACTCGCTCTACAGCCTCTACAGCTGTCCCCATAATTTCCGCAAGAAGCGCACGCCACGTCGTCCACTCGGCCGGACGGGAGTTGTGCGAGTCGGCGTGTCTGTTTCGGATGGGACTGTTTCGGCACTCTCTTGCGACGCAGACAAAGCACAATTTGTCATTTGCTCTTGTACGAGGATACGAACTTGCCGTTTCGGCCACCATTCAGTTGCGGCAACACATGTTGAAGAAAACGCGACGTTGACGATATGCCGCTTCTGCCACAGCTTTTGGCGGGAAGTGCAATCTCCCGCCACGCGCTATTGCTCCTGATGCAATATTCATCTATTCGAATATCCATCCGTTTTCGTAATATCGAGCATTTTTGGTCATGTAGGAGGACAGCTTTCTACAAATCAACGCGCCCTGGCAATCGCGTGCTGCCGAGCCGCTTTTGCCAGCGGGATGGGAAGCCGCAGAGCCTTGGTCGGCACAATCTTTACCAGGAAATGACTTTGGACAGACGCGTGCCGCTTTCAGAAGCGAGCGGCCGGAAAAGTACAAAGTAGTTACCCTGCCCTGGTCTGTCGCGACGGGGGGGTGTGGGTGGCTGCGGGTGATATCACGCGCCACGTGGAAAAGAACAGGGAGAGGGGGATGTTGGGCGTGTTGGAGCGCGTACGAAGTATTGTATTAATAGTTTTGGTATTGAAATAATGACAAGCATCTTCGGACGAGGTTCTGTCGAGGTACGAGGTATTTCGTAGAGTCGACCTGTTTCGACCCATTTCATAATGGCGATCGGCAATGCCCTTTGTGGGGAACAGAAGCCGAGATGAACAATAACGGGACAAAAAGACAGGAGAATCGGCCGAAAGAGAAAAAGAAACCTTTAATACGAGGCTGCTGGACACTATTATGATAGACATTGCCAAGCAAACTGTTTGGGAAAACGGGAAGAACATGGAAAACGAAAAGAAAAAAGAAAAGAAGGAAAAAAACGGCCACTTGTTTCGTCGGCCCGTCGAAGCAAAACGAGGATAAAATTAGCAGTTTAAATTCTTAAAAAAAGTGTCAGTGCGGCGGGAACTCTGGGGATGCCATCCACAAAATGAACATTTCGATGCTCGAGCACACGGGGATGAATGAGACATTGGAGAAGAGAAAGTCGAGATGAAAGAAACGACACGTAAAATCAAGGGGAAAAGAAGCGAAGGAAATTAAATTTGATTGACGATTTTCTCCGTCTTGCTCGTGCTGTCTCGTGTTTCCTCGTATTTGTCCCCGTTTGCCCCCATTTGCTCCCGTTTGCTCGTGTTCTCGTCGAGTCGTTGTGTTTACTTTGCATGTTTATTTTGTTGTCGTCGTCTTGGTGATTTTGAGGCGCGAGAGCAGTCAGCGGACACGAAACGACACCTGCAGCGCAGCCTGCAGCTATCATGCAGGTCGCCTGCAGAAGGCTGCAGATACCTGCAGATGCCTGCAGATGGGGGACTCCTTGCTGATGCCGGCAAACCTCCTTCGTACGGAGGAGAGCTGCTTGCAGCTGACAGCCAAGTGCTGGAGCCAACTCAATTTCTGACAGTGACAGATCCTCCGCCGCACTGGAGCGAACTACGGGGCAGTCCAACGCCAAACACCATTGGCCGTTGCTAGCCCCGAAAGGAAGTGACGACCTTCCTGTTGGCTCCCTGTGCTCCGCCAACCCTGACATGCTCTTGCCGTATTTGTGCTACCCTCAATCCTGGAACGCCATTGCTCTTTTGAGATTCCGTGTGGTCTGTGTCTCAGTCGAGGCGAACAAGGAAAGCGCCACTGGAGGGAGCAAGAGGGGAATCCAACAAATGGAAGGTGCACTCTGACCGCTTCGTTCAAGTAAGGTAGTGGCAAGTCTTGTTCCTGCCGCACAGAGTACTCCGACCCAAGTCGTACGGAGTATCTTACTTCGTGCATCTTGCCCAAATTGCATCGCCACTCTGTCTCTCCTTTAATATTGGTGTCTGAATACCGCCGGTTTCAAACGTCGACCTGTCCAACTCGTCCGACTTGCCCAAGCCAACTTGCATCTCGTCCTCGTCTCACACGTCCCCCTCCTTCGCCAGCGCATACAAGCATCGTGCCCCTGGTGATGTAAACAAAGAAACCGCAGCCTGCCCCAATTGGCCCCCAGCCCCCAGCCCCCAGCCGACAGCTTCATTTCCATCGTGGCCAGCGCGCAAGGCCGCACGGCCATTGAGACGCAAATCGCCTGCTCGTACGTCGCCGTTCCACAAAACTGGGCGCCTGCAGCTGCACTGCGCCGCTCTGCATCTGCGTCTGCAGCTTGACGAGGTATGAAGTCCTCTTTGGCGATGACCCCAAGCATACGACCACATGTTGCTCCAAACGGACATCGACTTTACCCAATTGCTCGCAATCTGCTGCTTGCTCTTGCACGTCTGCCGTCCCGGAAAAAGAAACATACCCACGTCGTCCCTCTCTGCCGCTCTGGCTCGTGTCCCACATAGAAAACCGCTCGAGCTGCTCTTCGTCTGATCCTTTGTCTTCGTCCTGTCATCCTGTCTTGTTTTCTGTCTCTTTCCATCCTTTTCCCATTCTTCTGCATCCCTCGTCCTTGTCTCTTTGCGTTGTCTGTTCTCTCCCGCCCCTCCATCTAGATATACTCTCCCACACCTTTCTTTTCTTGCATCAGCCCTTTCGGTTTTCCTGTTTTTATTGTGTCGCCTTGCCCTGTCTCTTGCACCTCGTCTTCTTTCCTGCATATTCTGCCTCTTGTCGCCTTCAAACCTTCACACCCTCTTTCTCGCTTTGCCTGCGGCCGACCCTCCTTACCCGTGTTGCACAGCAGTCTGTGGTCACAAACTCGCAGTTTGTTTTGTTTTGTTTCGTTTCTTGCGCCGTTTTCGTCTCGCATTGTTTCTTCCTCTGAATCTCCTGTCTTTGCCTTTTGGTCTATGCCTCACTCAGCCTAATTAACACACGGTCACAACCATTCAAACTCAAACAGACAATCGACGACACGCATCAACGCATCAACGACACCGACAATTCACTCGTCCTCCCACCGCCTCGCGCTCAGGCACTCGGGTTCGCTGTGGGTCGCTTTTGTCCCAGCCTGGCCTGTGCTACCCGCCTATCTCAACGGCCCAAGCTGCCCCTAACTGCCCGCCAACCGCCAATCCCGCCGCCCATCAGACCATCATCTGCCGCTAACACCAACCCACCCACGCCTATCCGCCGCCGCTCCTTGCCTCTCCTGGCCGCTGGGAGAGACACCGCTAAGGTACGCTACAGGGGCCGCAGCCTCCCAACCAGCCGTTCAGCTGCGCAGCTTCCCCGCTGCGTCCCACTGAGTCCCGCTGTGCTCCGTATTTGGGTCATCCTTGTCCCAATACGACAAAGTGCGCCTCTGTGCCACCCATTTCGACTTGATTGTCCACCCCTGTCATTGGCGGACTGCAATCCGACGCCCACCGGCTGGGAAATAAGGTGCCACTAGGTCCCAGAAGAAAAGGACGCGCCAGGGGCCCTTCCCCCCTAAAATTGCGGACGCCAGGCCCGAACGGTTCTTTTTTGCTCGTTCCTTGGCTGGTCCGCCCTATCGGCCCAGGTTCCTTTTCCTGCCCGTTTTATTTTCCGTGTTATTTTTGACCCCATTTTAAATCGCATAATTCGCCACTAGGGTGTTGTTTGGGCCGCCGCGAGCGACCGAACGCCATCATGTCGCTCACAACAACAGCCACGACGCTGTCGCCAACCACGGCCTCCGTCACAACCACCATTTCCGCCGGCCGCCCTGCTCAGGCGCAGTCTTCCTCCTTTTCCTCCACAACAAAAACACTTCCGCGATCCCTGCGCAAACGCCTTCCCACCCCTTTTGCCAACACATCATCGACGTCCTCTTCTTCAACACGCGCCGGCCGCGGCCTCGCATCCTCTCTTTCGACGCCTAACCTTAGCTCCCTTTTCGCCGCCCACGCGCGCCGCGCTCCCGGCGTCCAGGGTGTTCCCCCGTTGCCGTCACTACCCCACCAGCCGTCGGTGCCGCTGCCGCTGCCCTTGTTGACGCGCAAGGCTTCGTTGGCTGCGCTGACTTCGTCGTCGTTGGCTACCATTCCCGATGCAACCGAGTCCTATGCCTTTGACACGTTGAACGAGCTCACCTTTCCGTCAAATAACGACAACAGTTACAAGAACAACGCGCCGCCTGCCACCATGGCTCCCCTCACACCCGGGCGCTTCGCGTCCTCCATGGCGTCCTACTCGGGCGCGCCCACCAGCGATGACCCCGTTGTCGCCGGCGATGCTGTCGATGTGCCCGGCGGCATGCACGGCACTGTGCGCTTTGTGGGCTCCGTCGCCGGCCGCAAGGGTGTCTTCGCCGGAGTCGAACTGCACCCCGACTTTGCCACGCGTGGCAAGAACAGCGGCGACGTCGACGGCGTCTCGTATTTCAGTACCAACATCCCCGGCGCCGGCATCTTCCTTCCCCTTAACAAGGCCATTCGCCGAGACGCATCGCCCTCTGCCTTCCCTATGACACCCACCGCCACCAACGGCACCGGCCTCAAGCTTGGCAACCAGAACTCTATCAACTTCACGCCACCCACACCCTCCCTCCCCAAGTTCAGCCAGTCTGTTAGCGGCGGCCCCCTTCCCCGGGCCCCCAGTCCACAACACGGCACCCGCCGGCCTCCACGCACATCCCTGCCACGGCCCGATTCCCCAGTGCGCCGCCTCCAGATGACGCCTGCGCCAGGATCCAACGGCCCGCGGCCGTCACTGCCTGCCGCGACGCCGGCGGCCAAGGGAGGCGCGTCGTCAGGTGCCGGCGGTGCGCCCGGCCGCTTTGGCAGCCCGACGTCGACCAGCAAGTTCTCCCAGAGCATGCGCGCTCCAGGAACTGCCGGCATGGGCGATCCCAGCAAACGCGGGACCGGCCTTGGCATGCTCCGGGGCGGGCCGGTCGACCGCAAAGCCAGCATCGGCCCACGAAGTGCCTCTGCGCTCGGCAGCGCTTCCAACTACGGCGACGACGACAACGCCACGCCGACGAATGCCGGTCGTGTCGGCCGCTCCAATGGAAGTGCCGGTGGCAGTGCAAACGGCAGCGTCGGCTCCGCATCGTCCTTTAGCGGACAGGGACAGCAGCGCGGCATCGGTCGGCCGCTGTCACGCACCGCCAGCCACATGAAGAATGGCAGCATTGCCACGGCTACGACGCTCGCAAACAGCAGCGGCAACAACGACGAAGAGGTCGAGCGTCTGCGCTCCGAGCTGCAGGACCGCGATCGCCAGCTCAAGGACCAGGCCAGCACGCTTGCCGATATGGAGAGCAGCCTGACCGAGCTGCAGGGCCTGATTGAAAGCTCAGATGGACCGTTGGGCCCGAATCCAAACGGCGGAGGTCCCGGTGCAGCGCCTGGCGGCGGTGCCGATGGCTTTGACGGCGACGACAAGGACATGGCACAGCTGCGCGCGCTCTTGCGCGAGAAGAACGACAAGATCGCCATGCTGACGGCCGAGTTCGACACCCACCGCGCCGACTTCCGCAGCACCATTGACACGCTCGAGATGGCTAGTACCGAGACCGAGCGTGTCTACGAGAAGAAGATTGAGGAGATGATGCAGGAGAACCAGGAGCTCGAGAGCCGGTTGGCCGATGTGGAGGCCGTCGCGCAGCAACTCAAGCAGCTCGAAGAGTTGGTGCAGGAGCTCGAAGAGGGGCTCGAAGACGCACGGCGGGGCGAGGCCGAGGCCCGTGGCGAGGTTGAGTTTCTGCGGGGTGAAGTCGAGCGCACGCGAACCGAGCTGCGGCGCGAGCGCGATAAGGCCGCTATGTTGGTTGCCTCGGGCGGTGGAGGTGGACCGGGCAGCGGCGGCGTCGGCGTTGGCTCCGGCACGCTGGTGCGGGGCAATTCGACGTCTTCGAACCCGTCCAAGGATCTCGAGCAAAAAGACGACGAGATCCGCGGCCTCAAGGCTATTATCCACTCGCTGAGCCAGAACGCCGGTGTCAGCGACGGCAGCAACAACGCCTCCAACGGCGGCGGCAGCAGTCACCGCCGGGGCGAGTCGATCAACGAGCGCCTGGCCCGCGAGGCGCTCGAGCGCGAGGTGGCCGACCTGCGCGCGCTGCTCGACAACAAGTCGACCCGCGAGACGGAGATGGAGCGCGAGATTGAGCAGCTGCGCCTGACTGGCAACGGCGCCGCGGCCTCGTCGACCAACAACCTCGGCGCCCACCGCTCGAGCGCCATGACCGTCGGCAGCCGGTCCTCTCTGCGTGACTCGCGCGGCACGGTCGTGCTGGCCCGGGACTTTCGCGAGTCGCTGAATGGCGGCGGCCTGTCCTCGAGCGGCAACAACAATAGCAACGGCGGCAGCAACAACTTGAGCGCACACCACAACCACTCCCGGTCCAACTCCAACCCGCGCACCGGCAACCGCTCGCCTGACCAGGTCCGGAAACTGCCGCACCACTCGCGCGGACCCACGCTCGACACGATGCCTGAGAGCGACGCCTACTCGTCGGTCACGGAGTCGAGCACGCTGTGGTGCGAGATTTGCGAGACCAACGGCCACGACATTCTGACATGCACCAACATGTTTGGCTCGGCAGCGGGTGCGGGTGCAGGCACGGGCGTGAACGGTGCGCCACCACCGGCATCGTCCAACGCCCCCGCACAACTTGATTCCCGCACCGGCAAGGACGTGGTCCGTGCTGCCTTCTCTTCCGAGCCCGCCGCACCGATGATTCCGCTCAAGCTTGGCTCTGTGGCTGCCAAGACTGCTCCGCCGCCCGAGGTCAAGATCCTGCCGAACCCCATGGAGTCTGGCCCGGTGGCCGGCAAGGAGAGCGGCGTGGTGGATGCCGGAAAGTGGTGTGCGCTGTGCGAGCGTGATGGCCACGACAGTGTGGACTGCCCGTTTGAGGATGCCTTTTAACATGCACACGACGAGCCGGCTTTGCCTCACAACGTCTTCACCTACTTTTATCTCATTTCTACATCTACACTTTTACACTTCTACATACCACTTCTAATCGACGAGCAAAACGAGGTTTTCTGCAACAATATGACGGCCTCCATATATAAACGGAAGCTGGGGACATCAATAGTTGGAGTGGGATATGGAAAATACGACTCGGGGCAGCACATATGATGAAAAATACGAATATCGGAAGACAGAGTTGGCGAATGCTTTCTAGTTGTACAGTTTTGTAATGTTGGTTTTGCCTTTTGGCCTCTGGGTTTGCCTGTTGGCATTTCCTTTCATCTCTCTTCATCGTTTTCTTCTTTTTTTCTGTCTTTGCATTTGCCCTCCACCTATTTTGTAAGGGGACTGGTGCATTCTCTGCGATGATACCACTCATATTTTCTCGACACTCCTCGTCAGATATTTTTGACACAACCGAATTAATTTTGACACTTGACTTTTGACACTTGAGACTTTTGACACTTGAGACTTTTGACATCTTTGGCACTTTATCTACTTATGGCACAGCTGTGCGAAGCACTGATGAATCTTGTCTTGGGCAATGTGGGTGGCCTCTTTCTTTTCTTTTGTTTCCTTCTTTTTAGTCTTTCATTTTGCTGAGTGAATTTGGGATTTTGACACTTACACGATAAGCTTTCGGCCCGGCATCCAGTTTCTGACGTTTAACGGCAGTTTCTCCATGCTCTCTCGTTTGTCCACTTTCATTCTTTCCTCTACACAGCATTTGAGATATTTCGACTTGCGATTTACACACGACGCTTTCACTACCGATATCCCGTTTTGTGAGTCGATGCTTTCTTCACCTTCCTTTGGCCTTCTCACATTCCCTTTGTCAGCCATATCGTAATTTGCATAAAAAAAACGCCCTTATTATGTCCCTCCTTGGCATTGCCCATCCTTATCCCTCCTTATCCTCCGTATCCATCTTCCTATCATCGACGACAGATTCTAATCGCACGATATTCCCCAATCTTAAATCCTCTGCAAATAAGGCGGGCCACGCACAGTCGCATTCACACAAAAATAATCAAAAATAGGAAAGCCAGGGGTCCTCTTTGGGCACGCCTTTTATCGCAATGCTCATCCCAGCACGCGACCCACTCAGCTACCCCTATTTTTCAGTCGTCCCCTGCACAATTCGCTTTGTTCCCTTATTCCCTTACTTCCCCTTTCCCTTTGTTTGCCTTTGGGCCCTGGCCTTTTTGTTCGATTTTGTGGTTTGGACCGTTAAAATAAAAGTAGCGCCTTGACCGTTCTGCAGCTCAACTGAAAAGAGAATAGACTGTTTTCCTGCTGAATTTACCTGTCTAGGTCTGCAGTGAGACCACAGTGGTCTCCCTTACCATTTGTTTCCAGGGTCTTTCAAATTACGCGTACGCGTAGTTTTGTCTCTATTTGCCGTTTGAAGAGCACTGTCTCTGAGGAGGGCCATGATCGTCCTTTCGGCTCCTTACAGAGAGCACGTAGCATGGAGCACACCCCCAGTATGTAGGGAGCAAGTGTGGCTGTTCTCGTCCACCTGTAAATCGTACACTGTGTCTTACTCCATACCTAACCCTCACATTTGACATTCTCACGACACGCATTTCCCTATTGCCCTTTGCCTCGTGCCTCCTTTTGCCTCTGTGCGGATCGTGGCCGTGTGCGTTTCTGGCATCAGCATCCCCTCTTCCCTCGTGACAAGACAAACGGTTTACAACAACGACAACCGACGAAATTCACGAACCCCCACCCCCTATTTTTGTTTTCTTTCATGGACTCCCATGCTGGCCAGACTCTCGACTTTGCCGGCAGCATCCTCGACGACGACGACAACGACGACGACATATACAACCACCGTAGCAGCACGACCAGTGTGAACGAATTTCGGCACGATACCAATTTCGTTGGACGCGACGACAGCAGAGTCGGCGGCGGTGACGAGCTGCGGCCGGTGATGGCCCACAGCCGTGCCTATTCGGCGGCAGGCGATGCCGGGCAGGGTGGCGTCGGCATTGGCGTTGGGGTGGGCAGCAATGGCGGAGGCGGCGGGACCGTCCGCCGCATTCTGCGCTTCTTTGTGCGGACGCTGAGCCGCGGCGGGCATGCGAGCTACCGCGAGCTGTCCATGCGGTCGATGCCCGGTGTCGTTGTCGTCGACGGCAGCGAGCCGCTGACGCCCATGGTGGACGAGTTTGCCTTTGGCGATGCGGACGCGGACGTTGACATTGACGCGGACGAGGTGGCCACGTCCTGCATGACCTCGCTGCGCCAGATGCTGCTGTCGTCGTGGCTCAACGCGCTGCTCGTGTTCGTGCCCATTGGCATCGTCACCTACCTGACGCACACGAGCCCCATTGCCATCTTCGCCACCAACGCCATTGCCGTGATCCCGCTGTCGTCGCTGCTGACGGCCGCGACCGAGCGCGTCGCCAGCGACGCCGGCGACACCGTGGGCGCGCTGCTCAACATCAGCCTGGGCAACCTGGTGGAGCTGATCCTCTTTATCGTCGCGCTCGCCAACAACCAGGTCCGTGTCGTGCAGGCGTCGATCCTGGGCTCCATCCTGGTCAACTCGCTGCTGATCCTGGGCACGGCGCTGCTGGCCACGGGCCTGACGGACAACGAGCCCGTGTACAACACGGCCGAGACGCAGCTGCTGAGCTGTCTGCTGTTTGCGTCCGTGTTTGTGTTTCTGATGCCGACCGCCTTTGGCTACACGTTTGACAAATCCAAGCACGTGTCCAAGGCCACGCTGCAGATGAGCCGCGTGTCCTCGCTCATGGTGCTGCTCATTTACCTGCTGTACTTTGTGCACGAGCTGCGGGCCCGGCCCATTGCGGCGGGCCATGCGAACGGTGCTGGCAGCGGCAGTGGCAGTACGAGTGACGATGATAGCGAGCGCGGCCTATCGACTCCGACGACGCCAACGACGCCGACGGCAATATCAACCGCCACACCAACAACAGCATCGGCACGACCCGTCGTGCTCGTGTCGTCATCGAGCACGTCCACACCCGAGTGCCAACAGGTGGCCTCCGCGTCCGGTGTTGTCATCAACAGTGCCGCTGTACCCCAGCCGCGCTCCGTCCGCTTTGCCGATGCTGTGTCGTCGAACCATCCTGTAAAACCAACGTTGTCGTCATCCTCGTCGTCCTTGTCCTCGTCGCCAAACGGCATCGAGATGCACCGCATGGACGACGTTGACATGAATAGCAACACCACCCCCTCGCGGCCCTACCCGCACGCACACACCCGCATGCACTCGCATTCACACTCACGCTCCATCTCCGTTGACTCCATACGAGCCGGCGTCCGCCGCAGTCGTGCGTCGTCCTTGTCGGGCGGCGCAAGCGGTGCTGGCGTCGGCGGCGGGATGTCGTCGTCCGGCGGGCCGGGCAGCGGCTTTACGGCCATCTCCGGACCTGGCCTCATGCGGTCGGGCATCACGGCCCTCCAGATCATGCGCGACAACCAGCAGCAGGCACAGGCACAGCAGGCCAGTCGCGTCAGCCTCGAGAGCAGCGGCAGCGCGGCGGACCGTGCCAGCCTCCTCCTGCTCGACGGCGGCGCCCCGTCCTACCACCACGGCGGCCTGCACCCGCCCGCCCAGCGCCCCCGCGGCGAGTTCATGATGGCCGTCATTGTGCTCATCGCCGCGTCGGCGCTCATGTCCGTCAACGCGCAGTTCCTCGTCGACACCATTGACGACGTCACCCACCAGGGCCACCTGTCGGAGTCGGTCATTGGCCTCATCATCCTGCCCATTGTCGGCAACATTGCCGAGTACGTCACGGTCGTGTCGGTGGCCCTGCGCGACAAGCTGGACCTGGCCATTTCCGTCGCCATCGGCTCCTCCATCCAGATCGCGCTGTGCGTCACGCCGCTGACGGTCGGCGCCGGCTGGATCCTGAACCGCAACCTGTCGCTCACGTTCACCTTCTTTGAGATGGCGGCGCTGGTCGGCACGGCGCTGCTGGTGGGCCTCCTGGTATCGAGCGACGGCGACCGCAAGCTGCGGACGTGTGGACTCAAGGGCGCGCTGATGTGCGCCTGTTATGTGATTATCGGGTGAGCCCCTTTTCCCCTTTTCTTAGCTCTTCTTTTCTTTGTCCATTGTCTTCATCGCTCCTTCCCGCCTTAATGCTAACATTGTCCCCTGTAGACTCGGTGCCTACCTGTCGCCGAATGTCGCGCCCAAATAGGCAAGAAGCACCCAAGGTGGTCGAAACACACTATACGTCAAACAAGCCCGTGATGTTTTTCAAATTTCGTTTTACTCTACCTTCATTTGATTTCTTTTGACTGCTTTCCTCCCTTCATTCTACATTTGTCGTACGGACATGTTTATTCTCCATCTATTTGATTGTTCTTCTTTTTCTCTGTACATATCGAGATCCTGCACGGTGATTTTGGCAAGCCTTTTGCATGGTAGGCGCGAGCATCACGTTGGTTTTATTTAATCCATTAAGGCCACATGTTAACATAGTACTATAAACTATTATAAATTATGCGTTTTGACCTCACACAGTGGTTGCTAAAATGACAGATGTCTCGACGGCCAGAGACACACATTTTCGGCAGAAGGCAGCTTCTTCGGCAACAAACAAACAAACATGCGTCACCAATAGACTACTCCAGTCCACTTGCTGACCGCCAAATCCATTTGGTCCCATCCCAGCACCGGTAGCATTGGTGTTCGTCGTCCCATATCCAATCGCCAGCAGCTTCGCCTATGCCACTCGGACCAGAAGTGGAGGTGCTGGAAGAGCTCGACTGACCAACGACTGCCGTCGTAGAAGAGCTCGAGCTTTTCCCTGCTGATTTTGTCGATGCCTCGACCTGAGTCGACCAATAGTCGCCAGTTCCAGATGCGACCAAATTTTTCTTCTCGAGTTCTTTCAGAACCTGAACGGTCCACTTTTGGCAACGCTGCTTCGGAACCTTCTGTGCCGCAGCCTTAAACTTGTTTCGATCTTTTTCGTCAATCTCGCCGATATAGTAGTGCGCGCTGATGCCGTGACTGTTGACTCGCTTGCCATCCTGAATTTCCAGTGTGTAGCCTCTTCCTTGGGTCGGCCCCCCGGTGACGTGATAGTAGGTTCCAGTTGCCGAACCCTCAAGGGCAAGGATGAGAATCCAATGTAGGGGATCTTCCTCACGACGCTTTCCAAATGCTAGCCATATTTGTAGTTTGGCCATGACTTCTGAAAGTGGCTTCTAGAGGCGGGAAAATAGAGGAGGAAATCAAAACTAGTCGAACAATAAAGATGGATAGAATTTTGAGGTACATTAAGCAAGCCCTTCATCATACAGGAAAGCACCATCGTTTAAATATCTAGTCCCCGCTGATTGAAGCAGATGGTGATGAAGAAGCAATTCCATTTGCATATTCATGCCCGCTTCGGAGTGCTGGGCGCCTGGTCATCGCGGCCGGCGTAAGGAAGGCCACCTGTTTCTATATATATGTATACCACTTTCGCCTTGTTCATTGGCCACTACTTTTATGTCGTATCCATCACATCTCATGGTGCGTCTTGGTCAACGCCGCTTTACAATTATCTCTGTTTTTGTCCTCCGCCGTCTTACATTTGTTGGTTGAGCGGTCGGGGCGATTGGGCGGCATTAGATTCAAGTACGCGCGCGCGCAATCGTGTGTCCTCGTTGTCTATTTTTACACAAGGCCGCTTTGCCTGGCCACATGCCAGCACGGGCGGACAGCATGTGTATTTCGTGGTTGCATTCGAGCACGCGCCGCAGTTACGCGCCGGAAATTATACCTCACGGTGCGTCAATAGGTGCCTAGAATATGACGAACAGTTATTCAAAATCATATTCTTAGTCCACTGGGTGGGATGAATTATTTAACAGTTTGCCATCATCCTGTCATTCTCGGCAATGTCTTCAACGACAGTGCAAGGTTATCCGGAAGCTGGGAAAGAGTTCCTTCTCGACATAAGAATTAAAAGATTGTCCTCGCCGTACCACATACCGAGAAAGAGAGAGGAGGGGATAACCAATTGTGAGGAAACTAATGGGGAGGAAAGCTCGAAACATTACATTTTGACTGCGTACGCTGTATTTCCATAGTGTCATCATTTTCTACTTTTGGTTGAGTTTTTTCTCGCTGAACCTCTCCACTTTTACCCGGCGGGACTAAATATCAGCGATACAGTATATGAATACAGTGTACACAGTGTATGTACTACCCTAGCCTAAGGCGCATTTCAACCAAAGGAACGCGATTTCATCTGGTTTCTCCCCAACAACAATGTCTCTGGTAGCTAGTCCATAACCAATGACACGCCTCTTGTAAGTTCTTTTCCATCTGCGTATGTCTTGCTGCTTAGCTAGAATCACTTTAGATGTTTTGCTAACTGACCGACTACAGTCCGCCAATTTAGAGATTCCGTAGGCACCTTCCGGCCGTCAATACAGCTGCCATGGCCCGGATCGTTTCTCAAGAGGAGCTGAAGAATGCGAAGCGCTTTGGCCCTTTTGTTCCCGTTTTCCAAATCGACCCAAAGACAATTGTCAAAACTGGCGAGACTGTGAGATTATGCGAAGCGGAAACCATGAACTTTGTCCGCAATCGTACGAGCATCCCGGTCCCGCAAGTCTACAATGCATACACCGACGACACAACTGGCCACGTGCGAATTGTGATGGAGTTTATCGAGGGACGGAATCTCGACCGCGCTTGGGAGACGTACACGGACTCTGAGAAGCAGTCTGTCGTCTCGCAGCTTCGCAAATACATGGACGAACTCCGCCAGATTACGGGTTCGTACATTGGAAGTGTCGACGGGTCATGGTGCAACGATCACTATTTCGATAACGAACGAGGCGGATATGGTCCATTTGCAAGCGAAGAAGAGTTTAACGAGGGCATCGTCAGGGCTTTGCGAAAGTCCAAGCCGTATGACTGGGTGGAATATTACTGCGATATATTCAAAGAGGTCATGGTGGATCACAAGATCGTCATGACGCACAATGACATGGACCCTCGAAACATCATCGTCCAAGGATCCAAGGTCGTTGCACTACTGGACTGGGAACTCTCCGGCTACTTTCCGGAATACTGGGAATACTGCAAGGCAATGAGGCGACCTGACTGGGAAAGCGCGTGGGTTAAGGAGAGGGCTTTGGAGAAAATCGTTAAGCCTTACAGGAAGGAGATGTCGGTTATTTGGAACACGACCGAAATTATATGGTGAGGAGAAAGGGGAGCGGGAAAACTGGCGCAAAGGTTGTCATAATTACAATGAAAAAGAGTCCGTAGTTCAACGAGGCTGATACTATTCAATAAAGAACTCTGCGGAGGAAATTGGCTATATCATCAATCTCATCTGGGATCTTGTACCAGTGCCCCAAGCCCTCATACATCTTGAACTCGACGTTGTAGTCTGCTTTAGCTACAGTATCTGCCATTGCCGTACCGAGTGAACACGGCACCTTTTCGTCATCGCTTCCATGGCCAAGAAAGATAGGCGTTCGGCAAGCCGTACAGTCCCTACTCAGCGTTCCCGCTGGGGCGAGACCTAGCAGGTCTCGCTCAAACGCGATCGCCTTAACGGCTGGGTCTTGGATATCTCCATCATTATCGTCATCGTCTTTCATAAAAAATATGTCTTCTTGCGTACCATCGCCGCGATCGCACGTAACAGCCTCATCGAGATCGGCTTGAAAGGGGAGATACCCGCTCATCCCCACAAAGCCACCAATGCTGTATGGTAGAGAGAGTAGAAGAGACAAGGACATGGCGCACCCTTGACTGATCCCGCCGAGAATAATGTGGCCTGGGAGGATGTGCGCCGTCTCTTGCTCCTGTTGAAGAATCTGCAATAGGTCTTGCGCAGACTCGGCAAGCCCCTTCAGCTGCAGCTCTTTACGATAGGCAGGGTCGGGGAGCCGTGCAATATCAAACCACTGCGTCAAAACAGATCGACGAAACGCCGACGAGCGGCGGCGGCGTGATGTCGGGAAAATAAACTTGAGGTTGGGTAGAAGCTGTGCAAGGTTTGCGCCGTCGGATGTGATGCCCGTCTGCAGGAGTTCTCTGCCGAATTTTTCACCGTTGGAGCCGAGACCATGGAGCAGAACGATGCTGTGCGTATGTGTGGACGTTGCTTCAACGACGAACGGAGGAGGCGGCGCCAGCGAGGTCGCTTCCTGGTGAGCCATAGTCGCGTGGACGGTGTGTCTAGCGAAGAATGAACGTCGGTAGTGTCTTCGCCAAACATCCTTTGCCGAACAACAAGGCGGGACACAGTGTATCGTGAAACATACTGTGTATATAACACTGTCCTACCCTGAGCAGGACAAGCCAAGTCATTTTTATCAACGTCACGCATGCAACAACGTATATACTATCCATATTGCCCAGCATCCACGTATACTCCCACAAACTACATGCACTATGACAGACGAGGAAGATGACTACATGACCATGACGTTTGGTGGGGATGAGGACATTGGCGGTACCAAGAAGAAGCATGCCGCCGAGACGTCTCTCCAGCGTCGCATCCGTCTGGAACGCGAAGGCCGCGAGCGTGGCCGCATTCCGTCCAAGGCCGAGCTGGCCAAGGCGGCCGAGGCCGAGCGCGAGGCTGCACTGAGTCGGTCACTCTTTGGCACACCGCCGCCCCGGCACGTTGGAGTCCAAAAGGCGACAACATCCACATCACTATCAACAGCGCCAACACCAGAACCAGCATCAAAATGGCCGCTTGCACCAGCACCGGCGCTGCCGCCAAAACCCGTCAGTAAGGGTTTCGCAATGATGGCCAAGATGGGGTTCGTAGCGGGCCAGTCGCTGGGCAAGCGGCGCGAGGAGAGCAGCGGAGAGGCTGGGACGGAGAGCATGCACGGCAGCAACGCAGACAAGGACCAAGAGAGGCCCGTGACAGAGCCCATCCGGATTCAAGTCAAGCGCGACCGGGCCGGTATTGGCGCCGAAGAAGAGAGGAGGAAAGAAGCGGAACGGGAGGCAAAATCTGCTCAAGATGACAGACCAGACGCAAAGCGGCTACGGCTCGACGACATGGACCCGCTGGCCTATCGCGATCGACTACGACAAGAACGCGAAGCGGGCCGTCTGGAGCAGCAGATTCATGCGGCGCAGGTCGTTGCGGAACGCATGGCGAGAGGAGACGACGAGAACGAAGACGAGGCCAAGGCACAGGACGAGATACCGCTGTCCGAGGTCAATGTCTTGTGGCGCGGCATGGTCAAGGAGCGGCGCGCCAAACAGCACGACCGAGAGCAGCGCATAAAGGCACAGAAGTTGCTAGACGATCGACTACGAAGCATGGTCCACGGCGATAAGGAGAAGATGGCAAAGTACGAAGCATTTGAACAGGACGCCAGCGATGATGACAACGACGGGAACGATCGACTCGCGCGCGGAAAGGGGCCCGACAAGCTGTCCTATCTGAAAGGCGGTATGAACACGTCGATTCCCGTCGGCAGCGGCATAGACGACGAGGACGAAGGTGACGGCGACAACGAGGGCGACAAAGACGAGGAGCTCGAGGAGTTCAACGCGCTCGAGCCCCAGGAGCGGCTGCAAGCGGTCGTCGACTGGATGCGGCAGAACCGCAGGTACTGCTTCTGGTGCAAATTCAAGTACCCGGACGACGACCTCGAAGGGTGTCCAGGCCCAACAGAAGAAGACCACGATTAGGCGTGTTTTGAACAAGTACGAGTTTACACTACGGCCAACGTTGGAAATAGAAGACTATGACTGTCGTGAGAAGTGTTTGTCAAAATGCTAAATGCGTCTAACGTGCTTACATACACTGATCTTACAAATACTTGCGGACGCCCAGCTCGTCGACGGCCATCTCGTACATGCCTGCAAACTCCTTGTCGGACACCGTCGCGGCCTTGACCCGGTACACGTGCGCCACCACCGTGGCCAGGTCGTCGCTCAGGTCCGCGTCCGTGCCGGCATGCAGGCTCTTCTCCTTCTCGCCCTCGTTCCAGCCGTACACGCGCAGCTGCCGCTGGCGCGCCTCGAGCAGCAGCACCTCGACCGCCTCGCTGGCCTTGAAGATGCGGTGCCGCGCGGTGGGCGTGTCGCGCTCCAGCGCCGACGTCTCGGCCACCAGCTCGACCGCCAGGCTGTCCGTCATGAGGAAGCGGTCAAACCCATCGCCGGCCGCGTCCTTGCGCGCACCACCGCCTGCGGCGCTGTGGAAGAGCGGCCGCAGCACGCGCAGCATCACGCACAGGCCGACGTAGTCGCCCGTCTTGCGGAACGAGTGCAGCACGATGCGGCCCAGCGCCTGGTAAAAGGCAATCGACCGCGTGTCCTGGGCGCTGCCCTTGCCAATCTCCGACGCATAGGCCGACGTCTCCGTCTTGAACGCGACGGGTGCCAGCTTGACCATGTCGGCCGCCAGCTGGCGGCAGTCGGCGCCGGCCGCCCGGCGGTCGTCGTCCGACATCATGCGGAACACGGTGCGGTGCACGGCGAGCGACTTGAAGAGGACGAGGAACGTGTGCGCGTTGGGCTCGATGCGCTGGGGGCCCAGCACGAGGTCCCGGTACAGCGCGCGCGCCTCGTCGGACCGTCCTTCGTGCACGTACGACTCGAGCAGCTGGTTCATCATGAACGCGTCGGTCGACGCCATCTCGCACGCCCGGAACGCCTCCCACAGCCGCTCCAGCTGGGCCAGCTGGCCACGGTTCTTGTAGTTGTCCGCCATGAGCGCAAACGTCTCGAGCGTGGCACGCGGCACAAACGTCAGGTCGGCGCCGTCTGTCGTCGCCGCCGCCGCCGCCGCCGCCGCCGCCGCCTCGTCCTTTGTGAAGCCACCCACGCGCAGCTTGAGCGGCCAGTCCATCTGCTGCTCGCGCCGCCGCAGGTCCACAAACAGGCGCCGCGATTCCACCATGCGCCACGCGAGCACGTCGGCGCGCTCCTGGTTGGCCGCCGATCCCGAGCGCAGCCAGGCACCCAGCAGACCGTTGACCTGCACCGACGCCGTCATGATGCCGCGCGCCTGCATAAAGTGCAGGACGCGGTAGGCGCCGTCGAGGTCGCCGGCGCCGATGAGCCGCTTGAGCCACTTGCCAAAGAAGAAGTGGTTGGCCACGGCCGACGGCAGTTTCTTGGGCCGCGTGCGCTGCTGCTGCAGCTGCTGTTGGTGCAGATCCAATGCGCCGGAGAACATCATGTCGACAAAGACGTCGAAGGCGTACTCGGTATGGTTGGCCGTCAGGAAGCAGGAGACGACCTCGTCGTAGTCCTCAATCTTCATACCGCCGTCCTGTTTCTCGAGCTCGTCGAGCAGGTCCCGCAGTCGCCGGTACGTCGCCCAGGCCTTGTCCTTGGAGCCCTGCGCAGCTGCGTTGCGGATCAGCCCAAAGAGAACGCGCGGGTCGCCGTGTCTTTTGATTGTCTCGCCGTGGCTCGCTGCTTGTCGGAGAAGGTCCTGCAGGTCGTCGCTAAAGAGCCGGTCGGCGGCCCGCTCGGCCCGATCCAGGTCGCCCTGCTGCGAGCACATGCGCACGCCCAGCTCCCAGTAGGCGGCTGCCGTCGCCGGGCGCGCACCGAGTGTCGCCGCGCCACGTCGCCAGTTCTCGAGCGCGGCTGCCGGCCATCCCTCGATAAACATGGCCTCCATGGCCAGCAGCTGCTGCTCGTCCGTCAGCGGCACGCCCGCCGCCTGCATGTCCTTGGCCAGATAGTAGATGTGCGACATGCGCCGTGGATTGCGCACGCCGCTGCCCTTTTTGCGTCCCACGCCAGAACCTCCCAGAGACAACTCCACACGGCCGGCGGGATGTTGGACCACGCCTCGGCCAGCCCTGTCCGCGCAGCACCATACCGGCTCCACAGCGCCGTGATAATCTTGCTGTCGACGCCGCCGCTCGGCGTCTTGTTCTTGTTCTCCAGCCGCCGCGCCGCCGGCCGCAGAACGCTGTTGAGATTCTTGACGTGCCGCCGCGCATTGGTCGACAGGCCCGTGTCGTCGATCCGCACGGCGGACGTGCCTGACGTCTCCGACGCGTCGGCTTCTTCGTATGCCGCGTCGGCCGTGGTCTGCAGCGCCTCCTCCTCCTCCACCGCCTTGATCATGGCGTACTTCCGCCGCAGCCGCACCGTTCGTCGCCTTGTCGGCCCGCCCCGCTGCTCCAGGTCCTTCATCAGCGTCGACGTTTCCTTGAGCCGTTCCTCGAGCTCCGCCAGCTCCGCCTCCGCCTCGTCGCCGATCGAGCTGCGGTTGCTCACGTGCCGGATCGTCCCGTCACTCTGCTGGTCAAAGAAGCGCACCGTCACATCCTCGTCGCGTCCGTACTGGTGTGTTGGGTCGTTGCTCGACGCCCGCTGCAGGTCTTCGAGGGTCGGGATCTCGACTATTGGGTCCGGTCGGGGCACCGGCGTAGCTCGTAGCGGGGGCTGCCGCTGTGACGCCGCCGACGGCCGGCTATCGCCCCTCCGCAGCCGGCCGCGCGCAGCCGCCGTATGTCGAGACAGCGTACGCACAGCTATGGTCGTCGTCGGTGTGCTTGTCGGTGTCGTTGTCGTCGCTGTCGCCGTCGTCGCTGCCCATGGCGGCCGCGTGGGTCGCCGCTGTGCCGTTCGGCTGACCAGGCACGACCGGCAGACAAACGGGCCCCGTGTGCTCATGTCGGAGAAGAATGAGCTTGTCGGCCTCATCGTTGGGAAGGCATTGGGGGGCGGCGAGTTGTGCTGGTAAAAGGTCGTTGCTGTGTCTGGAGGAACGACTTCACAAAGTCGGGGGCTATCTCTGACGGACGTCAATTTTTGTTTTCTTCCAAGATAGCCCACTATTGGTGCCTTATCAGCGAGTTTTCTCGCTGTAGAATTCCTTCAGCAGGGTCTGATAAAACTCTTAGTGGTCTTTTTGCTGCTACAGGGGGTCACTAAATTTTGCCCACTGTAGATCACGTGTGGCCCAGGGACATTCCATATTTACAGCTGCATTGCAGCCAATTGTATAACAGTATTCGGGCGGAAAGCAAAGAGGTAACAAGGTGACGAACGAACAAAGTAATGCACTTTACCTCTTGTCTTTCATATTTCCGCGCCAGATCATTAGAATGGAATATATTGTCCCTTACAGTGAGATTTTAAATTTGTATTTTTATCTAAGAAAAGATCCAGGTTCAGGTTAGGAAAGAGCAATGGACAGTGACCTACATCAGGCCTTTTCTACTCTAACACGGTTGGTTGGTTGGTTGGTTTATTTTACCGCCACAGTACAGGTGATTCTACCACCCTATTAGGGTATACGGGCGGGCGCTGGGCCTATCTAGCTAACTACGGTGCCTGAGGTACCTCCTCGGTGTACGACTACAGCCTCCGTTTACTAAGCCAATTAAACCGTCGCGTGTGGAACACTGTGACGTACTGTGTTTACTAGTTTAGAGTGAGAGGGAATATAGTGTGAATAATTACGGGTTAGGGCGTTACGGGCCGTTAAGGCGGTTAAAAGTAGGCCCGGACCTTACCGTCGTAAGTTTAAACGTTAAGACGTCCGTTATTACGGGGTGTAAAAGTAACGAATATAAAGATATAAAAGTAACGAATATAAGGATATAAAAAAAGTGTAAAGTTAAACTAATAATAAAAGAGAGAATAAAAAAGAGAGATTAATAACGAGTAAAAGGCTTACTTATAAGTAACCTCGACGGTTTTAAAACTACTCGAAGGGTTACTCGTAACCTTTCGTATTAGTTAAACGGGGGGGGGGGGGGGGTTTAGTAATACTAGTACCGAACTCTTTACCTCCGACCCGGTATAAGTTAACTAAGTTTCGTCGTTCGTTTTTTAAATCTTTTAACGTTTTCTTTTAAAAGTCACCGGAATACGAAAACGTATAACGAGCCTTAAGTTTAAAGGCCGAACTTCGACGGTTTATATATTATATAGTGGGTCGTCCGTTATAACTAGTAAAAACGAAGTATATACGGTTTAGTCGTCTTATTATAACACGGGTGTGTAACGTTATTATTTTAAGATTTTAAAAAACGATTAAAAGAACGTAAGATATCGTAATAGTTCCGTTAAGTAAACTTGTCGGGTTTAAACGGTGTTTATAACGGGGGGTTAGTCGGGCCTTCGTTTAAGTTAAAAGAGTCGTAACCTCCGACTCCGACGGTAATATACTATATAGTTTAAAGACTTATCTTTACCGTACTAATATATTAAGGTAACGTTTTCGTAACGGAACTTACGATAATATTATATAAAGTCTTTATAAATTAACTTATAAACGAGGTAACGGTAAAACGTTTCTTTTATTTACTAAGTAAAGTCTTTCGGAGTATTTTATTAAACTTATATAAAGAGTAGGTTTCGGTAATAGGTTATTAAAACGGACTTACGTTTAACTTATACGTTATTAATTTTATTGTTTACCGTTTAACGTAAATGTTTAATAAACTTAATTAACGTAAGTGTTTATACCGGGTCTTAAAGTACGTCGGGGTTAATAGTGGTTAGTTTAATAAACTTATCCGTCTTTTTATTATTTAAAATACTTATATATTTAAGTGACTATATATATTATACGTACTTATACCGTATTAAGTCTTAAAATCGTATTAAAACTTATTATAAAAAGTTAACCGACCGGCCTTTCGTAAAAGTAATAACTTTTATATTATTCGAGTAAACTTAAAAAGTATAAATCTTAAAGTTATATAACTCGAAAGCTCGTTCGAACCCTCGTAAAACGGTTACGACCTTTACGTCGAAAATAATAAATTAAAAGTGTATAACCGTATAATAAGTATAAATTAAAACGGGGTTTAGTTTAGTATAAATTATATACTTATATTTTATTCCGGGGTAGTCCGTTAACCCCTTTAAACCGTCCGTATATACGATAATATCGTCTAACTTTTACTTAACGAAGTACGTATAAAACTAATAAACGGCGTCTTCTTTTAAAAGGTCGTAAGTTAAGTCTTAAAAAACGTCGGGGTTATACCGGGAGGTACGTACTATAGTTCGAGGTATAATAAAACCGTTAACCGTCGTTTATAATAAAGTAGTATATAACGACGTTACCGAACCGGTCGTACGTTCTCGTTTAATAACCGGTGTAGTTAAACGTCGTATAAAAAAGTAGGTTACGTCGACGAAGTATACACGGACCGTTAAACGTAAGTGTTTAATCTTAAAAACGGTTTCCGTCGTAAGTATACCTACCTTTTAATAAAATGTAACGTTCGAGGTGGTTTTTTATACCGGTAACACCGTTTTATAAGTTAAGTTAATTACCTTTTAAATAAATAATATATAATAGTTGAGACCGGTCGAGACGAGATTATCGTAACCCCTTTTCGAACGTTAGTTAAGTAAACGGTAACGTTTTTTATATTAAACTTATACTTTATAAAGTAGTTTCGGTAATACGTATATTAATACCGTAAAGTAAATAAAGTAAACCGGAGGTTTATAACGGGTATTAGTTAAGTACCGTAAATAGTTAACTACTTTTAACGTTACGGTATATCGTTTTATAACGTAACGTTTAAAGTTAAACTTACGGTTAAACTAAACCTTAAGTTAACGAACGACGGGGAGGACGTCTTATTTATTTTAACGGTTAAATAATAGTAAAGGGGTGGGTAAGATAATAAGTTAGTTATCCACTTTTACCGTTAAGTTATCCTTATATTTACTACGGGTAAAGTATATAAACTCGAATTTTTCTCGTATAAAACCGATCTTATATAAACGGTTTTAGTTTAAAATACGCCGTAAGTCGACGACGAAAAAGAGAGTTATATCTTTAAAGTGTTTACTAACGTAAAAAAGGGCGACGTTATTAATATACCCGTAACGAAGGTTAAGTTTTACCGAAAAAAGGTCGACGATATAAAGTATAAATAAAAAAAAGACTATAAACTACTTTATAAAGTGTCGTAAACGAACGTATATATATTTATAGTATAGTCTTTTAATTGGACCCGGATACGTCGGTCCGTAAAAAAGGAACCTACTAGTCGTACCGTATTTTTATATTAATCTTAGTTAGTTAATCGTTATAATAAATATTTATAAAAAAGTACGTCGAAAGTCTTTTATACGTCGAACGTAAAGAACGACACTACTTACTCTTTAATAAAGGCCCGTTATACGTCGTATATAAAGTATATAACGAGGTTAGTAACGGACCGTTTCGGGAGTATTTTTATTTATTAAAAGGAGAGGATACCCGTTTAAATAATTACGACGGTTATTCGTCGTATAAAGAGCCTTTTTATACCCTTATTAAATATTAATAAAAGGACGATCGGACGTTATAATTTTAAGTTTATTAAGTCTTTTTTACTAAATTTAACGAGTATAACTACTTTAACCGTTTTTTATTACCGTAAAAAGTAACGTAGGTCGATATACGTATTATAAACTTTAATAAAGATAAGTCTTATATACTATTAAGTCGTCTTTAAAAAGGTGATAAAGATACCGTCGATCCCGAGGGACGTACTTACGACTTTTATAGTTAAACGACGTACCTCCGTTTTAATAATAAACCTAATATACGATAAAAAAGGATATAGTAACCAGGGTTATATAATAAGTAAAAGGTTTACCGTTAAGTCTTTTATAATCGAGAACTTATTTATAAACGTATACGTAAGTAGGTTAACCTTCTCGGTTAACGTATTATACCGTTTACCGTCGAGAGTTAACGAGGGCGTCCGTCTTTTAAAGGTTACGTTATATTAACCGGTGATTCGGTATAAGTCTTTAATATAATTAACGTCGTTTACGACGGACGTTTAATAGTCCCGTTTAGTTATACGGATTATATCTTTATAATACCACCGTGTAAACGTCTCCTCTTTTAAGGTACGACGTATATTACGTATAAACTAGTCCCGTTTAACCTTACGGTAAATATTAAACTATTATAACGTAAACCTTCCTTACTTTATCCTTTTCTACCTTATTACTCGTAAGACCGTAACGTAATAGTTAGTAATCCTTATCACCTACTAATTTACGTCCTCGTATATACTTAAAAGGAGGTCGACTAATAATCGACCGGTTACGGTTTTAAAGTAGTCCGTAAAACGTAAAAGAACGTTTAAGGTTACGTTATACGTCGGGGACGGTCTAGTTTAAGGTCGTCGTTCGAGTATAATAGTAAAAAAGGTTTCGTAGTTAAAGTTAAAACGTAAGTCCTTAACTATAAACGTAATAGTGAATAATATATTAAAAAAGACGAGATTAAACACCCCCCCGTTTTAATACGTTAAAACTCCGACTTTTTTTATAAATACTAACTTATTAACGTCCGTTTAGTCTATTAACGTTAACCTTTAAACACGTACTTTCCTTTTAAAGTCTTACCGTTAAAAGGCCGTGTTAAAACCACCGTTTATTACGAAGTCCGTTAATAAGGTAATCTTTAAAATAAAGTTTATAACCTCGTACGTATTAAACTCGTAATAAATATTTAAGTGGGTAATACTATCGATCTTTATTTAAATAACGTCTTTAATTAAACTATTTAACCGACGAAGTTTTATTTTATAACCTACGTTTTTACGGACGTAAAATATAACTCACGGTCTCGTTACTTTAATACTATTTTAAATATCCGTAAGTGTTAAAGTGTCGTATTACGGGTACGTAACGGTGTTCGAGGACGTTTTTATATAAGGTTTTTATATATAAACTATATCGACGTGGTTTATATTCGTCGTGGTTAAAATTAAGTTATATTATACGACCGTATACGTTACGTTATATTATATTACGTAAGTATCGGTCCGTTAACTTAATAAAAAAGGGTAAGACGGTTAATTTTTATCTTCGACGTTTATATATTAACTAAGTATTATTTATATTAACGTTAAACTAGTCGGTGTTTAAAAAGTTAAATATATTTTAAAAGGCCTTTTTTACGTTATAAAAAAAGGGGGGAATAATATTCCGTTTCGACTTTTTATTAACCGGGCCTTAAACGGGCTCTTTTAAAGTTTTACCCCGGACGACGGTTATCGTTAAAGTTTCGGATAAAAGGCTCGAGTTACTTTACCGTTATAAACTAACCTTACTCGGTATAAGATTAAAGGAGGGGGTAAAAGAGACTACTTATTATATCGTCTTTACGTCTTACGTTTTTTAATATAACCGTTAACCGAACTTTTAAACCTCGTACCGTTTTTTTTTAATAAAACGAATATATTAACCGTTTATACGACGTAAGGTGGTAAAGTAACCTTAATAATTTAAAAAGGAGGGGCCGAAATAATTAACGTACTTCGACGGTTAAGTGTAAGGTTTTAAAGGGTATTCGTAAAGGCGTATAACGTATTACGAGTATACCGACGGTAACGAATAAAACCCGTAAATGTAATACCGTTAATAATTAAGGTTATAACGTTAAACTTTCGGTTTATATACGATAAACTTTATACGACTATTAATCTTAAAGAGTCGGAAAGGCGTTACGGTTTTAGTAAAATAAATAAGTTAATTAATAAAACGGTCTTTATCGTAGGTTTAATTAATAAATATTTTAATAACTTATATAAAACGCCGTTAAGTCTTAACGTACGTTTCTTTACGGACTTATTTTTTACTTACTCGGATAAGGGTAGTTTAAAGGACGTCGTAAATAGTATTCGATACGTTATTTACTATATAATTATACTACGTCTTAAAAGGCCCGACCCGGTTAACCTTTAAAATACTCTCGATAACTTATTTATACACTTTTACGAAGAACGTGTTTTAAAAAGTAACGTCCGTTATAATTACGACGTAGTTTATACGAGAGTTATAAATTAAACGGATAAATATCTTTAAAATACCGACGTTATTAATAATAATCTTCCTTACTTAATAAAAAAGAGTACGTTATAGTCCTACCGTCTCGTTCTCGTATAAAGTAATAATAATACGAAGGTTAAGTTTAACTTAAAACGTTTACGACGTTTTAAGTATCTTTTTACGAGTGGTTATACCGTTTTATAAAACGAACGTCTTTAAAAAATTAATAGTACTTTAACTAGTTACTACGGTATACGATAACGTTAATACCGTAACGGTCGAGACGGGGAACGACCCCGAGTTTACCGTCGGAACGGTCTTTAACGGACCGTCCGATAATAAAGTTTACCCGTTAAACTTAAAGTTTATAACGTATATAATTATAATTATATAACGTCTTACTCTTTTAAACTATCTCGTAACCGTACGTATATACGTTAACGATATTATAATAAAGTATTTAAAGAAATCGTTTAAGTACGTACTTAACTTTTTTAAAACTTACGTATCGGTCTTTTAATTTAATAACTTATTTTATATAACTTTAATAACCGATTAAAAACTAAACGTTATACTCGAAGTATCCTTTTAAATAACCTTAAAAGGGAACGTAATAGTCGTAACGGTTTTAAAGGGCTACCGGTCTACGACGACTCTCGTCGTCGTATCCGGAACTAGTATACTTATATAAACACCGTCCACCGGTCGAGTTAACGACGGACGGTCGGGGGTCACCGGCCCAACGGTGTTGTCGACGGCGGCCATGGTCGTCGACGGCGAGATTAGGGGGTTCAGGGGCTGCTGTTAGTGTCACCCGCAAATTATGCGCGTGGCACTAACAGGAAGTCACGTGATAGTAATGTTGTAAGAATTTTTCAGGGGAAGGTTGTACTCTAGCACGGCAATCACTGATCGGCCCAGGCAGTTACGATAAGACTTTTTAGTGGAGTTATCGTAAAACGCTTCACCGCCTTTGGCAGAATTGACTTTTTGGTGATAATGTTTTGTTATCGCCATTTTTTTTTTTTTTTTTTTTTTTTTTTTTTTTTTTTTTTTTTTTTTTTCAGACAACCCACGAATCCCTGCTCGACAACGCTGCACACCTATTACGACATAGGGAAACCTTCCCTCGCAACGATCTTTCCTTCCACTCACAAGCCATTGCCGCGTCCGCCATGGCGGGCCCCTCTGGTTCCGACTTTGTGCGCTTCACCGGCCACCGGTTCCTTGCCCAGCGCCTTCTCCTGGCCACCCTCACAGGCCGCCCGGTGCACATCTCCAGCATCCGCAGCTCCTCACCGACAAATCCTGGCCTCGCACCGCACGAGGTCTCCTTATTACGCCTCTTCGACGCCGTCACCAACGGCAGCGCCTTCCAGATCTCCTACACCGGTACTACCATCACCTTCCACCCGGGCCTCATCACGGGCACCGTCGCCGGCGCCGGCGCCACCGAGGACGACGTGATTGAGCACAAGATTCCTGCAGGCTGCACACGCGGTATCTCCTACTTCTTGCTGCCCATGGCCCTGCTGGCACCCTTCTCCAAGGCCCACGTCAACATTCGCTTCTCCGGCCCCGGCGTCATTACTTCCGCCACCGAGACCGGCGACATCTCTGCCGACGCCTTCCGCCTCGCCATCCTGCCGCTGTATGGGCTTTTCGGTATCCCGCCGGCCCGCATCGAGCTGAACATCCGGCAGCGCAGCTGTGCGGGCCACGGCGACCGCCGCGGCAACGGTGTCGTCGAGCTGCGCTTCGCCAGCCAGGTCCGCCTGCCCAAGACGCTGCACCTGCACCGCGGTGCCGGCCGCATCAAGCGCATTGGCGGTGTCGCCTACAGCGTCGGCGTGTCCGCGTCCAACAACAAGCGCATGATCCACGCGGCACGGGGCGTGCTCAATGCGCTGACGGGCGAGATCAAGATTGCCGAGGCACCGCCCAGCAAAGACGACGGCAACGGCGGCGGCGACAAGCCCGGCATCGGCTTCGGCCTGTGCCTGGTGGCCGAGTCGACTGTGAACGGCGTCGTGTACTCGGCCGACGTCGTGAGCCCCGCGCAGGGCGGCGTGCTGGCCGAGGACCTGGGCACGCAGTGCGCGCACCGCCTGCTGGAGGCGATTGCGCAGGGCGGGTGTGTGAGCTGGACGGCGGCGCCGACGGTGCTGACGCTGATGGCGATGGGCTCCGAGGACGTGGGCCGGCTGCGGGTGAGCCGGGACGTTGTGGTGGCTGAGGAGGTGATGGGACTGGCACGGGACCTCAAGGCATTTGGCGCGAGCAGCTGGGGTCTGCGGCAGGCAGAGGATGACGTTCTCGGTGGTGGCGACAGCGAGGACGATGAGGATGCGCAGAGCAAACATGATGTGCTCATTTCTATAAAGGGTACTGGTCTTGGCAACGTGGGCCGCAAGGTGGCCTAAAGGACTGGGGGCGCTTGATACAAGAGGAAGAAGGGCGTTTCGGACTTGCATTGTATATACGTTTATATTGGGACTTGAAATACTGCATACTAAGGTCTTCTCGCAAGAAAAGCCTTTGTGATTTTACACTGCCCATACTCCAAACATGTATTGTGACCGACTAAACCCCAATGCATCCGTAAAGTACTCACTATAGAATCAAACAGTTCTCTCCAGTATGTATGCTCATTAGTTCATGAATATGGGTTCCGTCTATTGTGTGCTATCTACATGCCCATCCCGTTATTGTGGCCGTGGTTGCGCATTCATCCTAGCGCGTGTTCGTCTCTCGGCCGCCAAACGGGCCAAGGTCACTGCATAGCCAATCGACTGAAGCGACTGTGCCGCGGCACTGCTGTCTTTCTCCTGCAATGCTCGCCGTATTGCGTGTATAATGTAAAAGTCGCCAATGTTGCCGCCGGAGCTGAGCGAATCAAGCGCGTTCTCCACAGCCTCCTCCGGCGTGGCGGCGCCCAAGGGCCCGCCGAGGTCGATGTTGTGCAGCCGCTCGTCTTCGTCTGGTTCGCTGTTGCCGTTGGACGCAGCTGGTGCTGAGCCTGCACCATCGTCTGCTCCTGGCGCCTGTTGTGCAGCACCTCGCTCGGCAGCGTCTTGTTCCTGTATTGTCGGCGCAGCCGCAGGCGTTGCATTTGTTGCTGCATTTGCTGCTCCATTCGCTGCAGCCGTTCCCCCTGCCGCCGACAGTCCACCGACACGCGTCGCCGCCGCCGTAGCTACGTTGGTCGCAACCGACCGGATCGGGGACACCAGCCGGCGCAGCTTCTCGCGCTCCGTATGCATCGCCAGCATCAGACACTGTACCACGAGGACAACGAGGTCGAGCGCCACCAGCGCGAGCGCCGAGGTCGGTGCCTTTTGGCCGACAAAGTCAATCATGACGCCGCCGTGCAGGTAGCCTCGGTTGGCCTCGGTGGCCCGGGGCAGCGAGCCCAACGAGTGTGCGAGCAGGCACAAGAAGTTGGGCGCAAAGATGGCAACGAGATGCGGTTTTCGCGCGTCGAGGGGAATGGCAAAGTCTTCGGGTTTCGGGGACAGGAAAAAGGAGTGCGGCGCGGCGCGGATGACGAAGCGAAAGAAGGAACAACTGTGCGGTTAGCGAAACGAGATTCACGATCCAGGTCCAAGACCGAGACGAGGGCACGGCAGGGACTCACTCCATGTAGTACAAGGCGCACAGCTCGGCGAAGACGAGCATGTCCAGCTGGCTCATCATGTCGGTGTAGAATGCGAGCTTCTTCTTCAGGCTCTCACGGACCTTGCCCGCGAGCGCGCTGGAGTAGCCACTGCGCGCTCGTGTGGCCGTGTTGGCTCGACTGCGCCGGGTGCGGTGGGAGCTTCTTGCGTTGCCACTGCCGCTGGCACCGCCGCCAGCATCGGTACTGCTGTTCATGGCTCGGCGCTCGGCGGTCTCGGCGGGCCGGAGGTGCGATAAAGGCGAGGCGGTTGAGGTGTTCTCGCCTTCAGATGGGTCGAGGCCAGCGAGGCTGCCGGACGGCACGCTACCTCATGTTTCAGGGCGTGGGCCGGTATGTGGCGATGGCGTGGATGTCTCGGTACAGCAGGCAATCAATGAGTCGGGAGAGAGGTAGCGGTGACAGTATGTCGTCGTGAAAATCAGATGTCGTTTGGAAGGGGTTGACGCGGCTAGGAATGGCAATTACGAGACGGTGATGTTAAGAGCAGGTGCATCAAATGTCTGAGCGGGCTGCGCCTGCGCCATGCGGAGCTGTCGCTACTATTACAGCTTAGTTTGGTTACGAACACTTCAGACGCCTGGCGCGCCGCTTGTGTCGTCAGACGACAGGGGGCCTGGCTGGGCCCGTTAGGTCCGCTTTGGCTGGCTCGGCCGCTGGACTCGTGTCCCCCGGTGCCTCCCAACTGCAATAATTTACAGCACGACCCGCCAAGCTACGGGGGATATGTCCGCTATTACAGTACAGTCTCATGTTTCGCACAGGGGAAGTCTGGAGTCGGCCGGAAAAACAGTATCCCGTGCGCCCCTGGCACAGCCTGCTGTCTCCCCCTGCAAACGGCGCACTGGGCGCTAGCCTCAGTCTGGCTGTTAAGACAGTGTAGCCGCGGGGTGATCGGTGGGCCTGTGGTCGGTTTTTGGCTGATGGCGGGCTGTCTCGAAAATCTACGGCCCATATGTTTCCCGTCTGAGTCACTTTGCTGGACAGCCTCGTCACCAACAACTCTGCACCAATTCCCTCTGGCGAGCCTGCCGAAGCAGCGACCGCGATCTTGCAGCGGAATTTCGACGACTCTGCTCTCCTTTTCCCCCGATTTTCTCGCGATCGAACCCCACATCGCCGTATCACGCACTGCAAAATACAGACTTTCACCATGTCGAGCGCAAAGGACGACCTGACCACGGCGGTGCTCCGGGCACTGGCCGACGTCGAGTCGCTGGTGACAAGCGAGGTGTTCCCGAATGAGAAGACAACCGACATCAAGGCGGCATTGGACCGGTTACGGTCCCGGTCGATGCTGGCCTACGAGACGCTGGAGCGCGACGAGTACCTGCTGGAGCCCGAGGGCGAGCAGATTGCGGCCAACGGCAGCCACGAGGCGCGCGTGTTCGAAGCCTTGCGCCAGGCCGTCGAGGGCCTGTCGGTGGCCGACCTGGAGAAGGCCGTGGGCGACAAGCAGGTGACGAAGCTGGGCCAGGGCAAGGCCTTCCGCGAGAAGTGGATTGCCAAGACGAGCGACGGCAAGTTCAAGGCCGTGGCGACGGACATTACCGACACGACGCGGCAGCAGCTGCAGGCCATCCAAAAGGACCACGCACACCCGGACGCCAAGGTCATTGCCGAGCTGCGCAAGCGCAAGCTGGTGCGCCTGCAAAAGGTCGTCAGCTTCCGCGTGCGCAAGGCGGACAAGTTTGCGCTCGAGATGGTGCGCGAGGAGACGGACCTGACGGCCGACATGCTGGCCTCGGGCGCCTGGAAGACGGCCACCTTCAAGCCGTACAACTTTGACGCCCTCGGCGCCGACCAGAACGCCGGCGCCCTGCACCCGCTCAACAAGGTCCGCCACGAGTTCCGGCAAATCTTCTTTGAGATGGGCTTCGAGGAGATGCCCACGGACAAGTTTGTCGAGTCGGGCTTCTGGAACTTTGACACCCTCTTCGTCCCGCAGCAGCACCCGGCACGCGACCTGCAGGACACCTTTTACATTTCCGACCCGCCCCGCGCCGACCCCCCGCGCGCCGCCGACGAGACCGACACCAAGGACTACAAGCAGTACTGGGACAACGTGCGCCAGGTGCACGAGACGGGCAAGTACGACTCCATTGGCTACCGCTACCCGTGGTCGCCCGAGGAGAGCTTGAAGCTGGTGCTGCGCACGCACACGACGGCCATCTCGTCGGCCATGCTGCACCGCCTGGCCGCCAAGAAGGGCCCCGACGGCCGGCCACCGCCGGCGCGCTACTTCTCGATTGACCGCGTGTTCCGCAACGAGTCCGTCGATGCGACGCACCTGGCCGAGTTCCACCAGGTCGAGGGCGTGATTGCCGACTACGGCCTGACCCTGGGCGGTCTGATGGAGTTTATGGAGATTTTCTTTGGCAAGATGGGCCTGGAGGACCTCAAGTTCAAGCCGGCGTACAACCCGTACACCGAGCCCAGCATGGAGATCTTCAGCTACCACAAGGGCCTCGGCAAGCTGGTGGAGATTGGCAACAGCGGCATGTTCCGGCCGGAAATGCTCGAGGCCATGGGCCTGCCGCGGGACATGCGCGTGTACGGCTGGGGCCTGAGTCTGGAGCGGCCGACCATGATCAAGTACGGCATCTCCAACATCCGGGAGCTTCTGGGCCACAAGGTGGATCTCAACTTCATCAAGAAGAATCCAGCTGTGCGGCTGGACAAGGATTAGAGGGGTGTTGAAGGAATGAAATGGAAACGGACATGGGAGCGGACATGAAAAGTAAAAAGAGAAGACATGGTGGGGATAAAAGGCAAAGTTAAGAACGGATCTGTAAAGACGGCGGCTTCTGCCGGTAGACTATACTCTTTGTATTGAGCTTACTTTTGTTACTTGCGTAGCGAAGACATTGCATTCAGCTGAAAGGATGAATTTGTTGAGTGACTTTTGTCTGTTGACATGTTTACATAGCGTGACTCATATTCAGGGGCATGAAAGCATTCAGGGTACGTATGGTAGTATTCAGTTTATTTATCGTGTTTATTTATTATTTTATTTTTTATTTCTTTTTATTTCTTTTTTTTTTTTCTTAAAAATAAAACAATTAAAAAATAAAGTAGTACATGTAATTCAATCCACTCATGGTTTCCCACTGCTTGTCCGAATACGGCGGCGGGTGCAAAGAGACCTGCCCTGGCGCTAACGCGCACCACATTTCGGTCGTATTTCCACATAATTTAGCAATGGGATTTGCCAGATTCCCATATATTCTCGGTGGGCAAAGCGAAACCGGTGACGATCGGAGCAGCACACGACCTGCATCGTTTGTCTCTTCCAGTCTCTCTACATAGCTCAATGCACCTTTCTCTCTTTTCGACACGCCAGCTATAACATTGTGTGATGCAACTAAAACAACTCAACTTTTCCGTACTTCTCTTTTGTTTCTTTTTATGTTTAAATAAATTTTATTGACTCAATGACCGTCATGGTGGGCTAAAGGGCGCGTGCCACGGCTATTCGATTGGACTACCGCTGTCATCCATATGCCTCGCTCCTTTGTCGGAGTTTTCCACGAGGAATGCCGAAATTTTTCATACTCTGGACAACCATCCAGTCGCAGCCGATCTTCTTTTCTTTTCCGTCGTTGTATTCTGGCTTCGTTCTTTCCCGCTTCTTTGATAGTTTAGGTGTTGGAGCTTAATTAGCCAATCATGTTAGCCGAATTCGTCGGTGGGGAGCAAAAAAAATTGTGTAGCCCCAAAATTTTGGCAGGGGAAAGCGCGAACGGCCGCTGTAACGAAAAAAGAAAAAGAAAAAGACACAGGATGAAGGAACGACCGACGAACTGGGCCTGGCTCTTATCTTATCACGGGCTTCCCCCGCCAATGGAGAGAAAATAGGAAAATATAGCGACCCTCCTCAACAAGAAACTATTATCTTGTATGACTCTTTTTTCCTGTCTGCGTTTCGCTTGGACCACCCTTCCTTTTCTCCTCCCTCTCCCTCCTTTGTCTCCTCGGCCTCCCTTTCTTTTATTAAAGGCAAGGCTAGACGAGCATAGGGACAATCTGCAAAATAGCCTCGCCTTTTCTTTTCTTTCTGTTTTGCTATTTTTTATTTTCTGTTATAATTTGTTAAATCCTCCTCGCCCTCCTCTCCGTTCAGCCTCATACGATGATGTCGGCCGTGTCCATGGCAGGCCGAGCTCCGTCTCGCCTGCTCCGGCATGGTCGATGCCTCCCGACGGCCGTCCCCTCGACCCGCGTCGCCGCCTTCTCGGTCAGCGCCCAGGTGCAGCTGCAGCAGATCGTCCACCGCCCGCAGCCCAAGACGCTCAAGACGCTCAAGACGCTCAACAGCTACGTCAACACGCGCCGCACGCTGTCGCAGTCGACCAAGCGCGCCGCGACGGCCGTCGACTCGGCCGTGGCAGACTCGGTGCACGACCCCAAGGCGTACATGCAGAGCGGTGTGGTCAAGCCGCGGGCAGAGGTCGACGTCAAGAAGGTGCTGGTGATTGGCAGTGGCGGTCTTGCCATTGGCCAGGCCGGCGAGTTCGACTACTCGGGCGGCCAGGCCCTCAAGGCCCTCAAGGAGGCCGGCGTGGCCTCGGTGCTGATCAACCCCAACATCGCCACGATTCAGACCAACCACTCGCTCGCCGACGAGGTGTACTACCTGCCGGTGACGCCCGAGTATGTCAGCTACGTCATTGAGCGCGAGAAGCCCGACGGCATCTTTCTGTCGTTTGGTGGCCAGACGGCGCTGAACCTGGGTGTCGAGATGGAGCGCCGCGGCCTCTTTGCCAAGTACGGCGTGCGCGTGCTCGGCACGAGCGTCCGCACGCTCGAGCTCAGCGAGGACCGCGACCTGTTTGCCCGCGCCCTCGACGAGATCAACATTCCCATTGCCAAGTCGATTGCCGTCAGCACCGTCGACGAGGCGCTCGACGCCGCCCGCAAGATCGGCTACCCCATCATCGTGCGCGCAGCGTACGCCCTGGGCGGTCTGGGCTCGGGCTTTGCCAACAATGAGGAGGAGCTGCGCAACATGTCGGCGCGGTCGCTGACGCTGTCGCCGCAGATCCTAGTCGAGAAGTCGCTCAAGGGCTGGAAGGAGCTCGAGTATGAGGTCGTCCGCGACGCCAACAACAACTGCATCACCGTCTGCAACATGGAGAACTTTGACCCGCTCGGCATCCACACCGGCGACTCGATTGTCGTCGCGCCCAGCCAGACGCTGAGCGACGAGGAGTACCACATGCTGCGGTCCGCCGCCATCAAGATTGTGCGCCACCTGGGCGTTGTGGGGGAGTGCAATGTGCAGTACGCCCTGCAGCCCGACGGCCTGGACTACCGCGTCATCGAGGTCAACGCCCGTCTGTCGCGGTCGTCGGCGCTCGCCTCCAAGGCCACGGGCTACCCGCTCGCATACACGGCGGCCAAGATCGGTCTCGGCCACACCCTGCCCGAGCTGCCCAATGCCGTCACAAAGACGACGACGGCCAACTTTGAGCCGTCGCTCGACTACATTGTCACCAAGATCCCCCGCTGGGACCTGTCCAAGTTCCAGCACGTCAAGCGCGACATTGGCAGCGCCATGAAGTCGGTCGGCGAGGTCATGGCCATTGGCCGCACCTTTGAGGAGTCGTTCCAGAAGGCCATCCGCCAGGTCGACCCCCGCTTCGTCGGCTTCCAGGGCGACAAGTTTGCGGACCTCGACTTTGAGCTGCAGAACCCCACCGACCGCCGCTGGCTCGCCGTCGGCCAGGCTATGCTGCACGAGAACTACTCGGTCGACCGCGTGCACGAGCTGACCAAGATTGACAAGTGGTTCCTGTACAAGCTGCAGAACATTGTCGACACCACCCGCGAGCTGCAGGCCATTGGCAGCCTCAGCGGCCTCAAGCGCGAGCTCCTGACCAAGGCCAAGAAGATGGGCTTCTCGGATCGCCAGATCGCCAGCGCCCTCGGCAGCACCGAGGACGAGGTCCGCGCCGTCCGTCGCCAGTTTGGCATCCACCCCTGGGTCAAGAAGATTGACACCCTTGCCGCCGAGTTCCCCGCCAACACCAACTACCTCTACACCACCTACAACGCCAGCACCCACGACATCACCTTTGAGGACAAGGGCACCGTCGTTCTCGGCAGCGGCGTCTACCGAATCGGCAGCTCTGTCGAGTTTGACTGGTGCTCTGTCAGCGCTGCCCGCGCTCTGCGCGCGATGGGCAAGAAGACGGTCATGATTAATGTAAGTCCAAGGGTCGCGTGTGGATGCCCCCCTGCATTTCAATTACAGCACTCCACGTGTTTATTCATACATCTCGTGCTCCTTCCTTCTATGGGCACCTCCTTTCTTTTGTCTATCCCCTTGCACCTTCCTTTGCACACGCCGTCGCTCTCCGTCATCGCTCCCGGAAGCATATTAAAGTGGACCCGAGTGGGCCCTCTAGCTTACAACATCACCATCTAAACTCCTCCTAAGCACTCCCTCGCCGTCTTTCACTGTTTGATGCCTCTAGAACGCGAATGAAACTACTAACACCCATTCGAGAACAATCCCGAGACCGTATCCACCGACAGCGATGAGGCGGATCGGCTGTACTTTGATGAGAGCAGCTACGAGCGTGTGATGGATATCTACGAGCTCGAGCAGGCCAGCGATATTGTTGTGTCGGTGGGTGGCCAGCTGCCGCAGAACATTGCGCTCCGGCTGCAGGAGACTGGCGGTGCCAAGGTTCTGGGCACCGACCCGCGGAACATTGACAAGGCTGAGGATCGTCAGAAGTTCTCCAACATTCTGGACAACATTGGCGTTGACCAGCCTGCGTGGAAGGAGCTGACGTCGGTTGATGCTGCTGCCAAGTTCGCCGAGGATGTCGGCTACCCCGTCCTTGTCCGTCCGAGCTACGTTCTGTCCGGCGCTGCCATGACCGTCATCCACAGCCAGGAAGACCTCAAGGACAAGCTCGAGGCTGCGTCCAGCGTCTCGCCGGACCACCCCGTCGTGATCAGCAAGTTCATCGAGGGCGCCCAGGAGATCGACGTGGATGGTGTTGCGTCCAAGGGCGAGCTGATCCTGCACGCTGTCAGCGAGCACATTGAGCAGGCCGGTGTGCACTCTGGCGACGCGTCGATGATCCTGCCGCCGGTGTCGCTCGACGACACCACGATGGACCGCGTCAAGGAGATTGCCCAGAAGGTCGCCGCCGCGCTCGAGATCACCGGCCCCTTCAACATGCAGATCATCAAGGCCGACGACCCTGCCGGCGGCCTGCCGGCGCTCAAGGTCATTGAGTGCAACCTGCGCGCGTCGCGCTCGTTCCCCTTTGTCAGCAAGGTGCTCGGCACCAACTTCATCGACGCGGCGACCCACGCCCTGGTCGGCGAGGGCGTCCCGGCCGCGCGCGACCTGATGAAGGTCCCGCGCGACTACGTCGCCACCAAGGTGCCCCAGTTCTCGTGGACCCGCCTGGCCGGCGCCGACCCCTTTTTGGGCGTCGAGATGTCCAGCACGGGCGAGATGGCCTGCTTCGGCAAGGACCTGGTGGAGGCCTACTGGGCGTCGGTGCAGTCGGCCATGAACTTCCGCGTGCCCGAGATTGGCGAGGGCCTGCTGTTTGGCGGCGAGACCAGCAAGGACTGGCTCGCCAAGGTCATCCACTTTGTCGGCCCCATGGGCTACAAGCTGTACGCCGCCGAGCCGCGCGTCAAGGCGTTCCTCGAGGCCGAGAGCAAGACGCCCATCGACGTGCAGGTCATTGAGTTCCCCACCGAGGACAAGCGCCAGCTGCGCGAGGTCTTTGCCAAGTACGACATCCGCGGCGTCTTCAACCTGGCCAAGGCCCGCGGCAAGACGGTGCAGGACGTCGACTACGTCATGCGCCGCAACGCCGTCGACTTTGGCGTGCCCCTGTTCATGGAGCCCAAGGTGCGTCTACGCCGTGTATTCCCTTCCTACTCCTGCCCCCCACCGAAAGTTTGTCACCACTAACACATACGCACACAGACTGCCATCCTCTTCGCCCAGTGTTTGAGCGAGAAGCTGCCCCGCGCCGAGGGCACACCCTCCGAGGTTCGCCGGTGGTCCGACTTCATCGGCGGCAAGCCTCTGTAAATGCGTTGGCTTTTGTTCAGTCGCACATTGGCAGCACACATCCGGATCCGGACTGTCCAAATATCTCTTTGCGGGCGTTTGGGGCTTCATTTGATACAACAAAAGATAAAAGAAAGGGAACACGGATGGGGAGGCAAGTAAAAAAAAGGTTTATAGGATGAACCACCAGGAGTAGACGTTTGAGGCGGGGAGAGAGCAGCAGCCGTGAGAACGACGTCATCTCATCCTGTTTGGGTAGTTTATGATGTATTTGATTGTGAGGATTTTCGGAATTTGTTTCTCGTTTTACCATTTGTTAGCATTATTCACGTTTCTGTAAGCCGCGGTCGAGTTGCGTATAGTTTCTTTTTCGATTTTTTTGCACACATTAATGCCACTCTTCATCTATATTGCTTGTGTTCCACTAGGTGTGGTTATATGGTCCACCTCTTTGGTAGCTACGTTGGCCGTCTTCACACAATCAGCAAATCCCCATCGTTCCAACATTCTCCGTACAATTTGTTATTGTATTCTCTCTGCCCAGATCCATACCGGGTATACCATTGTCCTATCTCGCATGATATAATAAATAGCGCCCAATTCCAAACCGACTGCCAGCATCACCATTCATCGGCCCTTGTTTTCCATTGACCGTATTCAATCCTTCGACTCCTCTTCCTACTTGTGCTTTGAACTCGTAGACGGTGTCTTGTCCGTACCCGACGGGGAAAGCGGTTTTCTCAAAGACGAGCTTGCGGGGTCTGTGGCGGTGGCATCGGCCGTGCCGTTCGCTGTGAAATCGGGGGTCGCGCGGTTCGACAACGCCGGCGAGCGCGCGTTTAGCCTAACGGCAGCAAATCGTTTAGCAAGAGGTTCGCCAGATTCCGTGTCACGGTTGGCGCCGATAGATGCCGATGAAGAAGCACGGTGGAGGGGAGGGATAGAAGAAGAGGAGAGGGGCTGGGTGTGGAGGGACGACGGTAAGAACGAAGAGGAACTAGACGGAGGAGCATCGGCGGCCACTGGCGACATGGACGGAGACGAAGACGAAGAAGGAGAAAAAGTGGCAGGATCTGCACCACCGCCGCCCTGGTCACTGCGACGCCCACTGCCGTCACTGTTTTTGCTCCTTTTGCTCTCATTTTCCCTGCTGCTCTTACCACCTGCTGCGCTGGTGCTGCCACTCCGCATTCTCAAACTGCCACTGCGAGCAATGCGTCTCTCGTCAAAGTCTTCTTTGCTTCGTCGCACGGTGCCTAGGTACTGGATGTCCTCCATGTCCTCCTCTCTGTCCTGTCGGGGTCGCTTGGGTATTCGCTCACCGGCAGATTGCAGGATCATCAACAGCGTCTGCCAGCCGGGTGTGGACTGCAGCTGGAACGTGTCGGCAAGGTCGTGTTGGGTCGCGACGCGGCAAAGCAGGGCTTCCTCGTCCTGGATATGTTAGAAACAGATGCAAAATAATACGTACGCTGCGCGTGATGGGTGACGGTGGCCCTACCTTTGACAATACGTCCATCTTGCGGAGGGCGCAGAGGAGGTGGAAGTTGGAGACGTGCAGGTCCTTGGCGTCCGCCTTGCCTGACTTGGCTTGGAGCATACGCGCGACGGCCGAGTGCTCCTGGCTCTCGCCAATGTACTCGCGGTTCTCAATCGGGAAGCCCAGGTCAGTAAAGACAGGCTTGGACTCTTGTGGGAAGCCGTGCGTCAATGTGACAAATAGGTACTCGACAGGGAACGCAGGCTTGGCATTCTCCTGCACGTTGGCGCCGTACTCGTTGATGTGGCGGTAAAAGACCTCGGGAATATACCGCGTGCGGCTGACCGTGCCGTCGTCCTCCTCCTCGTCGCGCACGAGCATCGACTCAGGCTCGGCCGACGGCTCCACAATGTCAGCGCGCACCATCTCCACCGCCTCGTTGGACATTTGATAGGCAGAAATGCTAATCTGGCCCTCCTCGTTGCCGGAGATGACGCACGTCACAAAGTTGGAACCAAAGCGGCCGGTGTCGCTCCACTTGGTTGGCTTGGGGTGCTGTGCCTGCAGCCGTGCGGCGAAGATGACCTCGAGCGAAGACAGGTAGTACGAGTCGGCGTGGCGCTTGCACACCACGGACCCGTCGCCGGCACCCGCGTCGAGCAAGTCCGTCCAGATGACGCCAACCCGCTCCAAGCCGCACAGCTTGGCCACGGCGTCGACCTCCTGCTCGTTCTCCCAGGGGTTCAACGACACGCCGTCGGTCTCGTCGACCTGCGGCGGCTCGTAGATGGCCTCAACAACAGCCTTTGTGCCCAGCGGAACCACCTCATACTGCTCATAGCGACCGTACAGGTAGCCCAGGCGCTGACCGCCGCCTTTTCGCCACGCGTTGATAAACGAGTCGACGATTGCTGGTGACGCAAACTCGACGTGATCGACAGACCGGAACGTCTGTGGCTGCAAGGAGATGGCGCTGGGCTGGCACTTGCTGCAGATGCCCTCGGGCCACTGCGCGTGACCAGACGGGCAGTTGGGCCGGACGCGGAAGAAGGGCTCGACCAGTGGCGGAATAAACGAGGCGCCAAGCTCGGGCTTGTTCTTTTCCGAGTTGATCTTGCGCAGGTAGGAGTGGAAGGACAGGTACTTGATCTTGTGCTCGTCGAGGTAACCCGCATTGAACGGGTCGAGGGGCTGGCAGTAGTCGCACATGCCCTTGGCGCCGTGGCGGCACATTTTGGGGTCCCGTTTCCGCGGGATCTTGCCATCGAGCTTGTCGAGCGTGTCGTCAAGCTTGGACTGCTTCACCACCTCCCAAGGATTCTTTATGCGCGTGGCCACCGCCGAGATCGAGGTTGAAGTCGAGGGCGCATTTGCAGGAAGCGGGTCGATCGGACGGTCCTCGGCGGGCAGTACGGGCTGGCCATTCAGACGGTTCGACGAGGAGGAGAGTGTCTGGGGTTTGGCGGACGTGGCGGCCCCGTTTGAGTGGCCGTTGGAGTCGTCTTCCTTGTGCTTGTACTCCAAAAAGACCATGTCACCGTGGCTGCTGGCGTTAGCTGGGATCGAGATCAGGGGAGCATCACGCTGTCCTTGATTCCTTGATGCGACATACCCTAGACCAGTCTGGCTGATGGGCACGTTGGCCACATCGGCCACCTTCCGCTTCTCACCCTTATTTGTCGGGTTGTTCGATACTGTGATCGTGGTCGGGTCGACGGTCGGTGGAAGCTTAGGCAGCAGCTGGAGCAGTTAGCAAACGCTTGCGACTCACCTTGCCCTCGCATTAAAACGAAGCTCTCTTCAACGTACCTTGAGCATGATGCTGCCAAATGTGTCAGTCTTCTCGGCTTCCTGACGGATCATGCCGTCGGGCCCGCGAAAGCGGAGCAACATCGCGGCGGTTGTGGATGATCAAGCTCCGAGTGGCATGCGTTGTGATGTGATGCGCTGATAGCGGTTATCGAGTTTGGGTGATATGCTGATCCTGTGCAATAAGAGTTGGGTGTTGACGATGGCGAAGATTCGGAAGTGCAATGTGATGTAGATGTAGTAGGTTGAGAAACAAAAGTGGCAGTCACCAGGTCGATGTTGTGCATTAGTGAGGAAGGAGCTTGTGCACAATAGTCAATTATCAGCTATCGTCATAACCGTCATTGCCTGAAGCTTGAACTCGAGTGCCCCACCGCGCACTGTCCCTCTTTCCTTGTGTTTCTAGCTGTGACGGAAGTCTAGTGGCGCCTGTGGCGTGTGCACGGTGGCGCGTGCTTAATAAATAATTTGACCAATCAGAGCATTTAGCATGGCGAGGAAAGGGTTCAAGGCTGTTAGCTGTCCTTTTGCGCCAGGGGCTTTCGCGGACGGCAAGGGCCTCCTGTGTTCTGTATGGGAATTTCTTGCGTGCCGCCATTCGAACATCTTCAAACTCCTCGACACTGTCACGAAAAACAGCCAACGACGGTCGTTCTCTCCTTTGACCGACGGACCTTCTCATTCTTTTCACTCTTTACTAGGATTTCTCTACCTTGCCTCTTTTCTTTTTCGACCTCCCGCGTTTTTGTTCCAACCCCATCCACCCCATCTCGACATTCCTTTCCTCCGAGTCAACGAAACAAACGAAAGCACAACCAACAAGTTTGCGCACACAAGACTGACAACCCACAATGGGGTTCCCATCTGTCGACTGGCAGGGCCTCGTTCTGCCCGTCGCCTACCTGCTCGTGCTTGGCGGCACCTTTGCCGCCTTCTCGACCATCTACCGCCGGCGCAAGGCCGTCCAGAGTGCCAGCCTCAGCCCGTGGTTTCCGCCGCACCTCCAGCGCAACGTCTACCTGTCGCTGCTGCACATGGAGCCTGAGCCGGGATCGGACAAACCCCAAAAAGTCCCCGACACTGTGCTGCGCGCCGCGCTGCTGCGCCGTGCTGTTGAAGACATCCACCGCATCATCCAGATCCGCACCGGCAAGCAGGCCTGCCAGTCGCTGCTGCAGCGCGGCAGCGTGGGCGACGACCTGTGGCAGCGGTTCCTGCGGGCCGAGAAGGAGATGGAGGACGAGCTGCGCGACGTGGTGATGGAGGCCAACGCGCTGGTGCCCAACTGGGGCCAGATTATTTTCCAGACGGCCAACGCGATTGCCGCCAACGAGCTGCTGCGCACGAAGCTGGATGCCGTGCAGGACAAGGCGGCCGCAGAGAAGGCGTGGTGGGAGAAGCGCAAGCTGTCGATGCCGCCGTCGGCCGGTGGTGAGGCCACCGCGGCCACTCTGACCGAAGACGCAAAGGGCCCGTCTTCGCCGACGGGGGCGAGCAAGACCTCTGAGGACGACACGGTGCTTGTGGACACGCCTTCGGCGGCAACTGCACCGGCACCGACCCCGGCATCAACGCACCCAACGCCGAGCGGCAAGAAGAAGAAGGGCAAGAAATAGAGCTTCAAGGCCCGATCCCGCCGGAAGTGACCGGTCACAATACATCCCACAGATATATAAAAGATACGAGACTGCACTGTGTACAATATTAGCGGCGATGGAAGGATGGAGAGGCAGAGAGAAAAGTTGGTGAATGACAGGATGGCACCGAGATCGTGAGCACTGATTTTGCTAGACCATGGCGTTTGGGGCACGGCAATTTTTTTTATTATTATTTCCGCTGTTGCGTATCTTGTTACTTGCGTTATTAATGGATATTGCTCTCACCTGATATACTGGATTTGATGATTTGTGGTGATCCGTGGGGATTGTAAAACTGAGAATGTAAACCAATAGTCTTGAGTTGTATTGTAAATAAAATGGAAAACGCCAGGCTCTAGTCGTGAATAAGGGAAGGCTGTTTTTCTAAACAAAGGAGCCGCATATGAATCCGTCGCTTGAACGGAAATATGCGTACAAAGAAATCAAAGGCGACAGATTGAAGACATGTATGTATATGTGAAAACGCTCAAGGCCTATACAAAGAGACAGACGCATGCAGAAATGAAATGGATAGAAAATGATTCATAAAAGCGAAAATCAGTCGACAAACGACTGACGACAGTCGACCCTAGTAGTGGCCTGTCTTGCGACGCATAATTTCTTCGCTGGCGCTGGCCTGGAGGCGTGTCCGCTGGGCATGCTCAATAATCTCGTCGACGGTGAGGTCTTTGGACTCGGGCCTCGTGTAGGACCTCTCGCTGGACGCCTTTTCGCAGTCGTCCATGTTGGTGTCCATATTGGTGTCCATCTCCACGTTGTCGACATCCATGCACATGTTATCGCTGGAGCTTGGGTCATCGCCGGCAACGATCTTGTTGATCTTGCGCATGCTGCAGGGCATGCAGATCGTTTCGTCATCCCATGACATACGACAGTCACCGCGACAACTTTTGGCAGGGCTGGGCCAGCGCTGGCGGCGACCCAGGTGCCCCGAGCCGGTCGGCCGCCGTGGCGTGTCGCAGCCGCGCAGACCGATGAAGCGGCCAAACTTGCGGCGCTTGTCCTCCAACGTCAGGCCAATTCGTGGCCACTCCACTGGGCATGGGTAGCAGTATTTCCACGGCGTGGGTGTGCGCTGGTGGTAGAAACTGGCGAGACTTTCGAGCTGTTCGTCGGTGAGAAGCCAGAACTGCACAATGGTGAGGGGAAAGTCGCGATGGGCGATGCCCGTCTGGGTGTTGACGAGCGCTTGAAGCTCCTGGGCCATGTGCGCGAGCTTGGCCTCGAGGGCTGGGCGGCGGGCTATTCGGCGGGAAGCGAGAGACGGCATCGTGTTGTGTATAATGTGTAATGGTATGTGGTGAGGGAAAAGCGATAAATGCTTTTCGGTTTCCCGTTTTTTATCCTTGGTGGACGAGGAGGAACAGCTACCAGATAGGGTAACTGACGGGGACAAGGAGAAGACCAGAAAATGAGTAGCTGTCGTGGTTGCTTGGTGATGGACGTTGGCATTGGGGAGATGGAAGAGATTGTTCATCGAAAAAAAAACGGGGGAGACCATTCTAAAATACTGGAGAGACTACAAAAGCACGAAAAGAGCAAAAGAGGCAGCACTGTACGTCGATGCAGCTGCAATGCCTGGTGGTCTCATCTGATGCTCTGTCGTTTGTCTGTTTTAAACCGTGCTTTGTCGTCGAGATAAAGGAGCACGAGTGCTAGAGTGCGAGAAAGGCTGCAGTCTGTTTTGGGTTGCCCCTGGCCGAGATCTCACATCCGCCCCTTTCGTTGTTTCTTCAGGCCATAAAGGGCGCGGGAGCCTCGATGCGGAAAATCAAAGACAGAACATGCAGCGGTTTTCAGGACATAGACTGCCGGCAGGACTCTTTGAACAAGTCCTTTGTCCCGTATTGCATATGCTTTGCTTGTCTTTCAAGATTGCTATCAAAGACGGGTCAAAGGCGAGTCGAAAAGAAATGCGTTTATTGACGACGGGTACAAAGGGTATCAAAGAAACGTGCGTTCTATTGTTGTCGTTTTTTTGGGACGCTCCCTACAGCCACTTGATTTTGGCGACATGGTCGACCTTGCGTCGTGTGGGCTTGATATAGCCCAGCGTCTTCATCTCAGAGAGGCCCTGATAAAATTGGACAAGGTGCCGCCGCTCCAGTGTGTTGTCTTCGGCTTCTTCCTCGCCCTCGGCTGCATTGTCGCCATTGTTCGCCGCAGCCTCTTTGTTTTTATTTTCGTTACCATCTTTGTCTTTGCGTCTGTTGCCGTTTTCTGAGACGGCATTTTGGAAAGCCTCCCACAAATCGGCCACATTGATCAGCGGGCCAGCATCGAGGTACAGCTGGTAGAGGATGGCGGTCGCTGGAAGTGTAGGCCGGATGCTACCTCTCTCGGTGTCGCCATTCTTCTTCGACGACGTATTTTGGGAAGGTTCCGTCCCAGCACAGCACTCGCAAGCCAGGTAGTCGTGCGGCCGCGCAAGCGCCCGCTCTACTACCAGACCGGGGCGCGGGATAAAAACGTCGCGGTACGGTGCTTGGGCGTTGTATAACCAGACCTCCTGCAACCAAAGACGACTCGCTGGCGACGAGGAAGGCGTTGCTAGCGAGGATGGGGCCACTGCCGCACGACTGGCCGTCGCTGGCTCAACGTCGACAACGCCAACAACAGCGGCGACGGCGGCATCGACCAATTCCGTGAATGTCTGGTCCTCTTCGGTCAAGGCCATAGAGTCACGGCTCAGCTGGACCTTTTGTGCGACAACGGTCGTGCGCAAGACTTTGCTTTGGGCCGTGTACTTGCTGCGTAGCTGGGGCGGGCCGCCACCACCACCGGGACTGGACGGACCTCCACCGGCAGCTTTGAGGCTCATGATTCTACTCCGAGCCCGGTTGGCATAGCTGGCCTCCAGTTTCTTCTGGAGCTCCTCAATCTGGCCCGCAATCTTAGCGAGGTTGGAAGGCAGCGTGGCCCAGCTTGCCTGATACGGATCCATGTCGCCAGCAAGCTCGGCGGTGTCGTCCGGTGGCGCCTCTAGTGCAAGCTCTGCATCGCCAGCCTCTGCGGCAGCAATGAGGCGCCGGAGTACAGTGACCAGTTCCGAAGACGTCATGCGCCGGATGGCAGTTGTCATAGTCGCAGCCAGTGACGAGTCGTCGTCATCAAGCGTGAATCCATCCTCATTTGCACCACGCTGGTCCTCGAGGGCTGTGATGTAGAGTTCAGTAAATGACTGACCAGGGAACACGCCGCTGGCCGCGGCGAGATGAACAGCACGTGCTATCCGCTCGTTCCAGCGCCGCTGGTACTGCATTTGGCCGGCCACGGCTTGCCGGAGGAATTGTTGTTGGTCTGGTTTATCACTGAGTAGCTGCTTGGCCACATCAATGTCACCATCCGTCACGAGAGCTTTGACGTGGCGCCGGAATGAGGGTAGTTGGCGGAAGGCCGTGAGGTAATCTGTATTCTGGAGAAGAGTATCCTGGGTCGTTGTTACGGTGCTGTCTCCAATATCGTGCAAGAAGACGCTGAGCGGGTTGGCGTAAAAATAGCACATGTAGGCGTACTTTTCCTGTTAGACAAAACAGCCGAGACACGACAAAAAGATGAGGTATGTGAATCCTACCTTCAACGAATTAACAAACACCGAAACACCCGCTACTTGCTCGTCTTGCCTCTCAGCAAGGCTGCGAAGCAACGAAGGGCCAATTCTTAGTGGTATGTCGGCTGCCGCAACGGCACAACGGACCAACCGATCAAGCACGGCCGACGAGGGTGCAATGTCGAACTGTGCTGCGGACAAACGGTGAGCGGCCTGTTTGGGTAGCCGTGCCTGGAAGAGATCGACGGACGTGGCTACCCCAAACAGGAGAACAAAGGGGATGCGATCGAACCAGGAGTGCAGAAAACTGATCAGGTCGGCCAGCAGCGCGCCATCGAATGCCTCACTGTCCTCAAAGGCGACAACGATGCGCGAGGTTGCTGGGTCACTAATGGCTGCTGCCACGGCCTCGAGGTCGTAGGCAAGATATTTGTTACCGTTGTGAGCCACGACATCGTCTTCGTCCGCACCATCGTCAACACCGTTTCCAGGCGACGGCGCGGAGGAGGCAACCTGTACGATTGTCTTGAGAGCGGCACGCAGGTTTGGTGCTTCGGCCGCACGCAGACGGACCATGCGGCGGACACAGCGATCCTTGCCTTTGGAGCTGCTGTCGCGGTTGATGGTCTTCTCGCTCTCAGTGAGCGAAGCAGACAGCTGGCGGAAGAGTAGCATATCCGTCGTGGCAGCAGGGCCGAGAATGACAAATGCGGCCGGTAGTTTTGTTCTAGTTGTCTTGTTAGGACTACACTGTACATCTTTACAACACCTCGAGGTGCCATCAGTTGCAATACTTACTGCGTTGGCTTCTCAATAAAGTCCATGACGGCACTTAGCGTCGCTTGATTAGAGCGTTGCAAGACAGTCTGCATTTGTTAGATGACGTACTTCGTGGAGGCAGATACATGTAACTGGGTGCCGTCACCCACCTGGATCCGGTCATCGAGCTGGGCCCACAGAGAGTTGAATAGTTGTCGCCGGCGGGCCACTGCCTCGGACGCTTCGCGGCCCTGAAGGAGGGGTGGGAATGAAGCCAGCGCATTGTCGTCGCCGGCGTTCTCGTCACCGTCGCCTTCGCGGTCTTGTTCACCGTCACCGTCACCGTCACAGTCAACCTTTGCCTTGCCCTTGGCCGTTCGCCGCTTTTTGGACTTTGGCGTCCGATCATTTGTCCGGCCATGCTTTCTGCTACTGCGGGATGCCGATGGCGACGTTGTGGCACCTCGATTCTCGCCATTGTTGGCTTCATCATCCTCATCATCGGACGGGTTGAAAATGTAGGCGACCTTTTGGGGGTTAGCAGGGATACTCTGTCACAGAAAAACACAGCGAGGAACCTACCCGGTGGACAATACTTGTCTCTGCATCTTCGCCAGCAAGAGCAGCCATTTTGAATGAACTGTGGGATAATCGGCACAAGAGGCTGTCTGCGCATTTGCGAGGTGTCGTCTTGGACATGATGTTAACCCGTAAGGAGTAAACAGCTGTAAAGTGGTCACGTGGCGAACCCACTCGCGGAAAGCTGCCATGAAAAGCGCGTCGCGCGTCGAGAAGTGCTATAAAAGCGGGTCTCGTCTCAACCAGCAAGACCACTGGGTTGCTCCTTCCATTGACCTGTAATTCGTACTTTGCAATTGCAAAGAGCCAGTTCACCTATAAGACAGTGTACGTCATATAATTTTTAACTAAGGAGCAAAGGTCAACATGATTGTTAAGAGCAAAGAGCAAATATATGCACGGCTAGAGATAGGGCAATGGAACTACGGCACATTGAGACCATCGTTCTACACGCTGATGGAGTTTCTTTTTTCGAACCAATATCGTTTGACGAAAGTAGTCACCGTGTCTCTGCTGCATATATAGATTATAAAGTATTTTTGATTTGCTATTTTCCGTCTTTTACATCTCGCCGTCCTGCTCGCCCTTCCAATCGGACAGAAAGGAGGAAGCACGCATGCAATGGACAATTCTATCCACTCACTCTCATTTTTTGGCAACCCGGATCCTTCATCCCAGCCGACAAAAATAAAACATATAGAAAAACCTATTCATCCCAATAAACATAAAAAAGACCAATTGGAAATAGATCAAGAACGAATACAAAAAGAGAATACAGACAAACGTGGACGGACGAACACGAGACGCACAAGGGACAAGAGAGGACAAAGAAAGAGGGCGATCCGATAGTAAATACTAAAGTAGAAATATAGCAATTGGAGAGAAACAATAAACAGAAAAATAGCACCAGAGCAAAACATGTGCGCAAAATAACCTTACCAAAATACCAAAAATACACACACAAGAAAAGACAGCATCAAAAAGGGACGTAAAGAAAGGAGACGGGGCGTAGAAGGAACGATATGAAACAACTGCGTTTTTTCAGCCGTAGACGACGGTGCTCATCGACAGACCGTGTGTAGTCCGTTGAACAATTTTCGTTTGCGTAGGGCAGCAGTCACCTAGTTTCAGTGATAGACACTATGCTGTCGCCTCAACGGCCGCGGGCTGCAAATAGTGTCAGCAAATGGAGAAAAAGCATTGCGAATAAGCAAAGCATCCCGGTGTGCCCCTCAACGTACCTCTTCCTTGGGCTTGTCGCTCTCGGCGGCGGGTTCTGAGCCGGCCTTGTCGCTCTTCTCCTTCTTCTCGACGTCCTTGTCGACACCATTGGACTTGGCCTCGCCGTTGCCGTTGGTCGTTGCGGTACCGTTGGCGGCAGCGGGAGCAGGAGCAGCGTCGGCCGCGGGCTCGGCCGCAAGCAGCTTGTTCCACTTCTCGAGCAGGGTCTGCGACCGTGGCTTGAACTTGAACTCGTCCTCGCGCGGGATGGTGGCGATCTTGAGGATGGCCTTGAGCACCTTGTTGATCTTGGTCTCGCGGATGACGCCCACCTCGAGGTCGGGGAAGCCCTCGAGCTTCGTCAGGTAGTCGGACACGGTCTTCATCTCGTCCTCCTTGGGCGCCTGGTCGCGCGTCAGGAGGCCCTTTTGGATCTTGTGTCGCAGGAACAGAACCTCCTTTGCCTTGCGCTTGCGCTTCTCCTCCGGGTCGAGCTCTTCGGCGAGCGCCGCCGCCTCCTTGCTGGTCGACTTGCCGACGGCCGACGCCTTGGACGTCTGCTTGGCCTTGGCGGACGACGAGGGCGTGCCGTTGCTCTTGGGCGTCCCCGACGACGTAATCTTGATCTTGGGCTTCTTCACCGAGTCCGACCGCTGCGGCGTCTGGGTGTCCTCCTCGGCCTTGCGCTTCTTGCTCTTCTTCGATGCGGTCGTGGGCTGCTCGTCGTCGTCGTCCTCAGGCACGTCGAGCATGTCAACGTCCTCCTTGGGGGCCTTCTTCGACTTCTTGGGCGTAGACGCCGCCAGGCGCTTGGCCTCGGCGGCCTGGCGCTTGGCCTCCTCGGCTTCCTCGAGCTCCTCCTGGAACTGGCGCAGCAGGTCCTTGTAGTAGCTCAGTGGGTGGTGTTCGGCGGCGAGCTGGTGGGCCTTTTGCAGGTCCTTGCGCATCTTGTCGTTGATGGCGGCCAGGGCCTTCTCAGGGTCGAGGTCGATCATGTCCGTGTTGGGCACCCAGCCACTGGAGAAGGGGAAAGAAGTTAGTCGCCAAACTGACAAAAAAAACCAAAATAAAACCTTCCAAACGTCTCAATCATCGCCGAGAACAAGACTTACAATTCGTTTGTGTAGAGGTACATGACCGGGAACGTGCGGTCCGCAGCGCGCTTGCCGCCGTCTGCATAGTCTTCGCGGTAGGTGCCGTCAGGGCGCGCGGCTGTGACGGGGCGGCCCTTGATCAGCGTCTGCGGCAGCATGTCCTCGTCGCAGACGACAGCGGGCCACGCCGGGTAGCCCTTGAGCTTCACAAAGTAGTGGTCGCCCGGCTTCGCGTCCAGGTGGACTATCCGCGCTTTGGAACCCTTGCGGTTCAGCTTCTGGCCGACCGACTTGCGACGCGCCAATGTCGTGGGTGTCTTTGCCGTCTTGGACGGCGTGGCGGCCGCGTCGCCGCCCTCTGCTCCGGCGGGCGCGGCATCTGTCTCCTTCTCAGCCTCCTCTTCCTTCTTGCCGCCATCGTCGGCACGCGTCTCGGATGGGTCGGCCGCGGCCTCCACCTTGGCACCGTCTGCCTTCACGTCGTCGCCGGTCTCCTTTACAGGGGCAGCAGCATCCTTGACCACGGCCGACGGAGAGGTCGGGGCCTTGTCGTCCTTGGCGGCTTCGGCCATTGTGCTGTCGGTGTGGTCGGCAGGTGCCTTGGCTGGTTGGTCTTGGATAGATAATGCGTCTGCTGGAGCTAGAAACACGCAATTGCGAAACACAAGCGAATGGAATTGATGGTTAGCGATGGCCTGTCGTCCAACGGCAGCAATGGATGCCAAAAAACACAAAACAAAATGCGATGGCGATAGTGGCCGCGTAAATGAGCGAAACCAATACTTTTGGCGTTTGTTGATGGAAAGTAAGTTCGAGGAGGTTGTTAGGGACGTGGTTGTGTTTTTTTGTGTGGCTGCGTTGACTTTCGCGTGACGTGGGGAAAAGGAAATGCGCGCGTGCTAAGAGGCAGGGAGAGAAGGGATGAGGAAAGTATGAGAGGAGAAAGCAAAGAACACCCAAAATCCAAAATCCGGGCGGAAAGACGCACGTTTAGGAGGGTCAGAAGGAGCGAACAAGGCGCGCCAGTCAGAGCACAGGGGGGCGCAAAGTTGGAGCAATTGGATGCGGAAGGAGCGACAAGGCAGAGAGAACGTGAGGGAAAGACACACGCAGCGCGCGACGAGAGCAGAAAGAGCGAGCAGGACACGGGAAATGGGAAAGGCGGGTTTGCGATTAAGTGGAGCACAGCCGCCAGTGAAGAGCAGCAACGAAAAACAAAGAAGGCAGGAACGACAGGGGTTGGAAGGAAGTGGAAGTGGTAGTGGTGGGTGTGGGTGCGTCCACCTTGCGAACACGCAGGGTAGCATTATTTTTAATGCAAATAAAATACGAAAATTCACAACGCAGACGAGCGACAGCCATCCAATCAAGCAATACCTTTGGTGTGCGTCGTGCTGTCGTGCAGCTCGGCACTCTTGGTGTCATTCACGGCAGGACCAGGAGCTGCAGTGGTGTCCTCGCCGGCGGCTGGTTTCTCGGCGCTGGACGCATCGTGCTTCTCGGGCTTGCCAGCCGTGTCGGTCTTTTCCGTTGGGTCTTTGGCAGCCGTCTCGCCGACGGTAGGACCGGCAATCTCGGGCTGGCTGTTGGCCGCCGAAGCTTGCGTCGGCTGTTCAGGCACGCTGTCGGCCATGGAGGAATGTGTAGGTCGAGACGAGCTGAAGGGAGATAGGAGCAGTCGAGGCACGTATCGGTTGGATGACGGTGGTCGCTCAATTGGTCTTTCTGCCGATGAAACAGAATGGACAATGCAGTTGACTATCCTGTTGTAGCTACACGCTCAGCTTGCAGACGATTAGTCTCTGAAACGACCGTCTAAGAGCTCAGGCGCTCGCCGCAATGTGGATATTATAGGCGGGGGCGGTTCGAGGGAGCTCCGTGGGAGCTCTGGGGGACCAATTCGTGATGGGATGATGGGATGATGGGATGCGAAAATGCTGGATGCGATGGAAATGCAATGATGAAAGACGACAAGAAAGAAAAAAGGTTAAACAAGGGACGAGTTACGAGATGGAAAAGTACGTCCAACTTTTTGCCGCTTGCAAGTCACGTTATTTTTGCGGCGACGACGGCGAATCCTTTGGCTCAGTCTGCCGGCGAACGGCTGGTCGCCCCTTCCTCGGATCGTCTCTTCCTGCTGACTTGCCGTTACGGAGGGGTGGATCGACACAAAAACAAAGCAGGCGCGATCGGTTCTCTTAAATGGTCGCAGAGCTTCTCTATTGGTCCGTGCGCATTGACACGACTCCAGCCAATCAGAGCGCAGCGCATGGGAGTAGCTATAGTGCATGGGAGTAGCTATAGTGCATGTTGTCGAGGCGTCTCACGACAGTCACCAGCCACTTATTTTCTCTTCGGGAGTTCAAGAGGCTTCGGAGACTGGGTCGCGTATCTGTCAGGGTGGCCGATATGGCGATGTAGAGAGAAACAACATATTATACGAATTAGCAGATACAACAGATGTAAAACATAGTAGCCAAATACAACTCCGTAAATGCACATCGCCTCGAAACGCAATCCCAAGTCCTGTTTTGTAGTCTCGCTTTGAACGCACCCTTGCCCATGGTCCGGCCCTTCCCTCTACTCACTGCCGCTCTCCTCCTCGCTGTCTTCGTCCATGCCCTCGGCCACGTCGACCGTAAACGAGGGGTCCTGGTCAACACCCACATAGCTGTCGCTCATCAGGTACAGCTTGAACGTGTGCTTGCCGGGCTCGTCGGGCAGGCGCGCCTTGATGCGCAGATTCAGCGGCTTGCGGCCCACCGTCACGTAGCGGATGCCAATGACCGTCTTGGTGCTCTCCTCGCCGACAATCAGCCACCAGCCGCTGGTGCGGTCGCCGGGGAAGAAGGGCGCGTGCACCGAGTTGTCAAACTCGGCCTCGTCGTCGTCCTTCTTTTCGTCGGCGTCGTCCTCCTCCTCGTCGTCTTCCTCGCGTGCCAGCGTCACCTTGAGGAACATATCGGTGCCGGTCTCGAGCTGGTCCTCGTCCTCCACGGAGAAGTCGAGCGACATGTCCGGGTACTTGTCGTTGGTGAAGTGGGCGGCCTCGACGAGCTGCGATTGGGTCAGGCCCAGCTCCTTGACGAGGCGGCCGTACTGCTTGTTCTCCTCGGGGTTCATCTTGTCGATGAAATCAAACACATCTTTGATTCTGGGGAGCTGTTAGCGGAGGCCATGACGTAAACAGAGACCATACGAAGGGAGAGGACAGAAAATACATACCCATACTTGGCGGCCACTTTGATGACCTCGGGCGTAAAGTGCGGAATCTGCTTGAGCGGGCTGTCGCGGTCCCACATGGCTTGCACGACCATCTGCATCATCTCAATGGCCTGCAGCGCGTTGAGGTGGCCCTCGTCGACCAGCAGGTTGGCCGCGGCGCTCAGCAGGCTCGGGGCCTTGCGCACGACGACCTCCTGGTCCTTGGCCAGGTCAATGGGCAGCTGCATGCGCGAAAAGTGCGCCTGCAGCAGCACAAAGGCCTTGAAGGACGGCGCGTTGTAGTCGACGTCGCCGTCGGCCGCGGCCGCGGCCATCTTGACGGGCACGCGGTCGTAGATGCGCCGCAGCAGGCCCTCCTCGTGCCGCCGCGTCTGGATCGTCTCAAACTCGGCCGCGGCCGTCACAATCTCCAGGATGCCCTTGAGCTTGGTGCGCGCCGTCAGCGACAGCAGCAGCGTCTGCATCGTAATGTACGACAGGTTGTAGTGCGCGGCAACGAGCGCGCCGTTGGTCGGCGTCACCGCGCCCTCGTCCTCGTCAATGGTGATGAGCTTGGTGTCGCTGAGCTCGCGCAGCGTTTCCTCCACCAGCTCCGTCAAGAACTGGCCCATGGCGTCGCCGGAGCGCGAGGGCAGGCTGTAGTAGCTGGGGTTCGCAAACAGCCGCCGGTACAGGTACGTCGTCGAGACCCACTCGAGCGCCGTGTCGCCGGACGTGATCGTCTTGGTGCTGACCTCGGTCATGAAGGCGTCCGCCAGGTTGTCGTGCAGCAGCGACTCGACGGGCAGCGCCTCGTTCAGAAACTTCTTGTAGTAGTCGCGCTTGACGGCGGGCACCATGAGCACGCCACGGCTGCGTCCGCCGGCCTCGCGCGCGGGCGTCAGCGCCTTGCCAAACATCTGCAGCACCTCGCTGACCGGGTAGTCGACGTAGCGGTGCTCGCGGCCGTCAAAGAACTGCGTGCCCATGACGACCACGAGGTGCGCCGTGCAGTCGAGCGCCCAGCAGACGTCGCGCGACGCAATCAGGACCTGGATGGCGCCGTTGACAAACAGGTGCCGCACGATGCGCTGGTCGGTCTCGCTCAGCGCCTCGTGGTAGTAGCCGACGCCGTGCGACAGCGCCTCCCGCAGCGCCGCCTCCTGCACCTTGTCGAGCAGGGGCCGCAGCTGCGCCGGGTCCACGTGCAGGAAGCGGTCCTCGTCGTCGTCGGCGACACACGCCAGCAGCAGGTCGCGCGCCGTCGCCCGCGTCTGCTTGCGGCTCGGGACGAACACGAGCGCCGGCTGGGCCGCCGACAGCTGCGTGATGGCCAGGTAGGTCGGCTTGGCCATGGCGAGCATCAGCGACGGGAAGTGCGGCACCGAGTACGACTGCAGGTGCAGCTCGAGCGGCACGGGGCGCACCTGGGGGCTGAAGTTGTAGATGTCGTGCTTGGTCGCGCCGATCCAGCTGCCCATCTCGCGCACGTTGGCCAGCGACACGCTGAGCCCGACGATGCGCAGCGGTGGCGTCTTGCTCGGCAGCTGCTCGCGGATGTGCGCCATGCGCGACACCAGCAGCTCGTACTGGTAGCCCTGGGCGGCGCTGCTGCCAATCATGTGCAGGTCGTCGGCCACAAACAGCCGCACCGACTGCACGAGCTTCTGGCGCTGCCAGCGACGGGCCAGCGTGTCCCACTGCGCGTGCGTCGCCAGGATCAGGTCGCCCTGCTGCAGCAGCTTCAGATCTTGGGTCGCCTCGCCCGTCAGCTTGACCACGACACGCCCGCCGCCGCGCAGCTTGCTGAAGCGGTGCTCCCAGTGGCGGAAGCGCACGTCCACGAGCTCCTGCAGCGGCGCCACGTAGACGGCGCGCACGTCCTCCACATCGTCCTCCGCGTCCGTGCCGGCCTGCTGCTGCCGCTGCAGGTGCTGGCCCCAGAGCCGCAGCAGCGCAAACTCGGCGCACACCGTCTTTCCGCTGCCCGTCGACGACGCCACGAGCACGTTCTGGTCGGTCGCGTACAGCGAGTTGAACGTCTGTGTCTGGATGCGGTTGAAGGTGGGCCACTCGGGGTACAAGGCCATCTGGTCCTTGGTCTTGAGCGCGGACACGGGCAGCGGCTGCAGGTCCAGCAGCTCCGTGTGCGGCTGGAACTTGTCGGGCAGCAGCAGCTTCTGGAACGGCACGGCAAGCCGCGTCTCGGCGTGCATCCAGCGGTCCGAGACGACGGTGACAAAGTAGTTGGGCGGCATCGGCTCGGTGATGGGCACGGTGAAGTCGACGACGTGCTCGTTGTTCTCGGACTGCGCGAATTCCTTGCGCAGCAAGAACTGGTCGTGGTACAGAATGTCCTCGCCGTCCGAGTCCTCGACGATGATCCAGAAGCTCTCCGACAGGCCGTGCACCTCGTCGTCCCACGCAAAGTTGGGCGTGATGGTCAGGTTCACGTGCATCATGGACCGCGTAATGGGGAGCACCTGGGCCTGCAGCTGCAGGCGCGGGAACTTGGCCACCAGGCGGCAGACGGTGGTGCCGGCCTTGGGGAGGCCCAGCAGCTCGCCCATGCGCGGCGGGTCGAGGTCGAAGTAGCTCTTCCACGGCACGTCGATGCGCTCGGCCTTTTGCACAATGTCGCGCGGGCAGCTCGGGAACTGGCGCAGCGGCGACATGGTCGGCCACATGCGCTTCTCGGCCATCTTGCACAGGTCGAGTGCCGTCTTGGCGACGCCGGCCCAGCCCTTCTTGAGCGTAATCTCAAACACGGCGCGCAGGATGCGGCCGGCCGACTGCGTGACGTAGACCATGTCGGCCATGAGGGCGAGGCCGTCGAGGCGCAGGCGCGAGATGTAGGCCTGCAGCAGCACGTTGATCTTGGCGTGCGGCTCCTCGATGCTCTCCTTGACGGGGATGGGTACGCGGCCCAGCAGCTTGGCCAGCTCCAGCTTCTCTTCCTGGCGCACGGGAATGTACTTGAACTCGCCGCTCAGCGCAAAGATGCGGAACATCTCAATGGTCGAGATGGACGGCTGGATCAGGTTGTTGTACGTCTCCATGGAGCTGTGCGTGATGTAGTAGTGCGACGCAATGCGGCCCAGCTCCGTGGCCTGCAGCCGGCCCGTCTTCTCGTCGTACTTGGCCAGGCTGGCCTTGCGCAGCACGAGCGCCGCCGAGTGCACCAGGTCCACGCGCTTCTGCTCGAGCGCCTCGTCGTCCTCGTACTCGGCGCCCACCTGGTAGAGGCCGGGCGACCGCAGCATGCGCACAAACAGGTACGTGTAGCCGAGCCACTCGACCGCCTCGTCGCGCGAGCGCACGTTGCCCAGCACGATTTCGGCATTCAGGTTGTCCACCAGGCGGCTGACCAGCTGGCTTTCGATGGGCAGCTGCTGGTTGAGCAGCGACAGGTAGTAGGGCAGTTCGTTTTGCGTCGTGATGATAATGCCCTCGCCGTAGGTGTCGAACTGCGGGCGGCCCGCGCGGCCGAGCATCTGCAGCACGTCCTGCGGGCTCAGCTCGACCCAGCTGCCCTTCTCGGGCGAGTAGACCTGCGTGCCCTTGATGATGACGGTGTGCGCGGGCAGGTTGACGCCCCAGGCCAGCGTGGCCGTGCAGCACAGCACCTGGATGGCGCCCTGGGCGAACAGGTCCTCGACGTCGGTGCGGTCGACGCGGCTCATGCCGGCGTGGTGGATGCCGAAGCCGTAGGGCAGCAGGTCCTTGAGGTCCTTGTCGCCCGCCTGCTCGGCGGCCTCCTGCAGAATCTCGCGGGAGCCGGCGTCGTGCTTCAGGATCTGATTGATGGTCTCGAGCTCGAGGGCCTTGTCGCGAATGTGGCGCGCCGTCTTGGCCGTGTCCTTGCGCGAGTGCACAAAGATGAGCATCTGGTTGCGGTTCTTGCCGACGTGCTCGAGGACCTTGGTGTAGGTGATGTCGTTCATCGTCTTGAGCTGCTTGATGGGCTTGCGGTCGGTGACGCCGATAAACTCCTGGCGCAGCGGGCAGGGCCGGTAGGTGCCGTCGAAGTGGAACAGGCCCGTCTGGGGGTCGACGCGCAGGAAGCTGGCGACGTCGCGGTAGTTGGGCAGCGTGGCCGACAAGCCGACGAGGCGCACGGGCTCGCCCGTCTGCTCCGTCTTGCGCAGCGTGCGGCTGACAATGCTCTCGAGAACAGGGCCACGGTCGTCGTGCAGCAGGTGAATCTCGTCAATGATAATCAGGCGCACGAGGTTGGTATACGACAGGTCGGTGGCTTTGCGCGTGATGACGTCCCACTTCTCGGGCGTCGTCACAATGATCTGGGTCTCGGCGATCTGCTGCTTGGTGAGCTGGCGGTCGCCCGTCAGCTCGCTGACGCGGATGCCAAAGGGCTCGAGCCGCTTGCCAAAGTTGCCGACCTGCTCCTGGACGAGAGCCTTGAGCGGCGCAATGTAGACAATCTTGAACGCGTCGAGGTCGATCTCGCCCGTCTCCGGGTCGCGGTGGTTGTGGATGGCGCGCAGGATGGTCAGCATGGCCACGTTGGTCTTGCCGCTGCCCGTGGGCGCACAGATCAGCATGTTGCCGTCGTCCTGGAAGGCGGCTGGGTAGCAGCGGGTCTGGATGCGGTTGAGCGACTTGGCGGTGCTAAAGGGCCCGCGAGCCCAGGCGGGCAGGTCCGTGATGGGGATGTTGCTGTCCTTGGGGTCGCTGCGCTTCTTGGGCGGCGGCACGTGGATCTCCTCGTAGCCCTTGAAGGCGCGCTTCGTCGAGCCATCGGGCAGCGACACGCGCGGGTTGGTCATCAGATGGTTGCCCTGCTCAAAGACGAGGTTTTCGAGATTGATGGTGCGCCGCGGCTGCAGACCGCCAACCAGTTGGCCCTCTTTGCCGTCCTCCTTCTTGGCCCCCTTGCCGGCGCCGTCGGCGTCTGCGAGCGCACTGCTGCTGTCGACGTCCATCTTGATCTCCATCTTGCCCTTCTTCGTCGCGTCGTCGCCGCTCGTCTTGCCCTGCAGCTCGTTCAAGATCCACCGCAGACCTTCCGAGGCCATCTCCCGCTCCACTGTTGCACGGTCCTCGTCGTTCTCGGCGCGTGCAAGCTTGGTGAGCCACACAATCTTTTCGCGGTTGTCAATCAGCTTCTGCGTGACCTCGGGGTGTTCGTAGTCGAACAGCTCCATCATCTCGTTCTCGATCTCGTGGAGAGGCTTTTCGCTGCCCTCGGGCTCGTCCGGCTCGCCCGACAGAATGTGCAGCGCCTGCGTCGTCTTGTCGTGCTGGACGTGGGCGTCGGGATACAGGCGGCCAATCTGGCGCTGCAGCCAGTACGCATCAATGTCGCGCGCCGGCACAAACGTCTCGTCCTTGGCCTTGCTCTTGCCCGGTTGCCGGCCGCCACGGCTCGCCGCGGCGGCGGAGGCGGAGGGGTCGATGATCATGGCGTCGCCGTCGACAAAGCCCAGCTCCTCTTCGTCGCGGTCGACGCCTGCCCCGCCAGCATTGGCCTCTTCGGCCAGGCCCGGGCGGTCTTCGTCGTCGCCGGCCTCGTCGTCGTCGCCGTCGTCTTCGTCTTCCGACGACACGTCGCGGACTTCGTTGACGATGGCGTCCTCGTCCTCGTCGTCCTCCTCAAAGTCCACGGCGACGCCCTGGCGCTCGTCAATCTCCTCGTCGTCGTTGGCGCCCGCGTCGGCCATCGCGGCGTCGTCGTCGTCGCCCTGCTCGTCGTAGTCGGTAATCTTCTTGCCGAGGTTGACCAGCTCGTTGAACGCCTTGGGGCTCAGGCTCTCGCCCAAGATGTCGTCAATCTCCTTCTTCTTGTCAAAGTCCTTGAGGTCGTCGTCCTTGAGGTACTCGAGCACGGCGTCGGCGGCACTGCGCACAATCTCGTGCGACACGTCGCCCAAGACGCGCGCCACCAGCGACAGGATCAGCTCGAACGTGGCGCGCGTGGCGCTCGTCCGCGGCCGGTAGCGCAGGCCCTCGACGATCAGGTCGGCGCCCGCCAGGATGGACGTGCCGCGCAAGGCCGTCTGGCCCTGGCGCTTGCGCTGCTCACGCTGCAGCACGGCCTCGCCTTCGCGAAAGTCGCCGCGCTGCACGTCGGGCATGGCCGAGTTCTTTTTCGACTTCGTCTTGGGGGCGGCCTCGCGGGCGATGCGCGAGCCCATGTCCTGGATCTGCAGGCGGCCGGCCATGGACTCTGGGTCGCCTGTCGGCTCGTCCTTCCTCCGGGAGACAAAGCGGCGGTCCGCCTGGAGGACCAGGTTGGACATGGCCGCGTATTTGTACTGGGAGACATCGCGGTCGTAGTTTGCGTTCGACATCGCGACAGTGGGTGGGGGTTGACGGTAGGAATCGGGTATATGTCGGTATCGTTAGGTAGAGGAGGACGCTGGGATCACAGAACAGGTGGTGCTCTGCTCGCTGGAGGTCCTGCTGCGTGGTGCAGTCCTGCTGTTACCGACGATGCAAAAAAAAAGAGAGAACGCAATGCGAACAACACGAGCCTCTCCCAGGCCGTCCCAGCACGCGTTGGATCCGTCGGCGCCGTCCAATTCGGGTTCCAGACCGCTCGCCAGAAGAGGGGATTGTATCAGGTATATTTCGTGTATCGTCTCAAAGTGCGGTGGTGTCGATATGTGGGCGTATTCAGACGCGCATTTGGCGAGGGAGGGGGATGTGGCAAGTGGTGATGTTTTTTCTGCCTGCGAGCCTGCTAAAAATTTCAGAAAACAAAGGGAAGGTGCAGCGACCGGCAAGCCAGGCGACAAGAATTAAATTTATTCAAAACTAAAACGATAAATTCAATTGCTAGCGCTAGCGGCAGTCCACGCAGCCCCGCCACAAGGAGCTCCAGCTGGCGCAGCGCCTATTGGCCGAAGAATTCAGGGGTCAACACCGCTGTAAGGCATATGTCAACGACATTGGAACGCGTTCAGACACGCGACCAAACACGACGGTCGACCATGAACACACCACCTCGGCATAGAAGACCATGAGCGCGCCTGAAGACACGGCACGGAGCATACAGGCGGCGCTCGAGCCGTTTGTGCGGCCTCGTGAGGAGGTGGCGCACATCCGGCGCGTCCTGCGAGCCCATTTGGCGGCATGCCTCAAGAGCGACGACAATGCATTGGACGGCAGCCTGGCGCTGGTTGACCTGTCTCGGGACCCGGAACCGCTGCCCGAGACGCGGGGACTGCAGCGGGCCTATCTGCGAGCGCTGCGGGCCAACCTAGAAGCGCGGAGGGAGTTTGACCAGCGAACACAAGCAGCGTCTTCAGCGTCTTCAGCATCTTCAGCCGCTGCCGCTGGACTGGATGGAGGTCACGATGCAGGGCTGTCGGCATCGTCTGCCGACGGCATCGGTATTCTCAAGGATCATCTGACGACGGTCAAGTTGGGCCGCAAACGGGACCGGCTACAGGTGATCAACCGTTACCTCGATGCGCTGGGCGAGCGGCCCGTGGCTGTCGCTGCGGGCGAGGACTATCTACACCCTGAATTCATCTACGGTGACGCTATCACAACACTGCCGTCCGTGCCCAAGGCCGTCGTGGACGGGCTGGCCGAAGACGAGATGGAGCGTGCGGCAGCGACGTCGAAAGACGCAACGCGTTCGGATTCAGCAAGACAAGTAGCGGCAGCAGATCTCGAACGGCTGGTGGCACGGCTGGAAAAGTCCGCACTGAGGGCACAACTGGTCCTACGACGAGAAGAGAAGCGGCTGGCGGCCGCCAAGGAACGGTCAAGCCGAACGAGCACATCCCCGTCGGCAGCAGCAAAGCTACAGGCGCTTGGCGTGGCGCGAAACGAGCTCATTGCGTGGATGGAGGCGGAGCTGAGCAATGCCGGCGACGAGATTGACGACGAAGATGAGGAGGCCGCCGAGTCGTCACGGCAGCTCCGACAGAGCTTACTGCATGGGCACGAAGTGGTCGGCGGTATGGGTGGTCTTGGCGGCAGCGACAAGAAAGTTCAACTCGAGAACAAACTGGACGACATCCGTGACAAGTACAACCAGTACGTCGAGGCACGGCGTGCTCTGGTGGCCACGGTCGGGACAATGGCGCCAAGCGACGAGGGGCCGACTAAGGCGGCGGTACCCAACCCGCTGTTTGCAAACATGCCGCAGCTGCTGCCAAACTCGGGCGGCGATAGGACCGCCACGGCCGCCACCACGCCAAGTATGCCCACGGCTGCAACATCACAGTCACCATCACCTGCACAAGCGCCAAAACCAGCAGTGTCTGGCGCCGAAAAAGCAGCGGCACTCGGCAACCTATTGCTTGCACCCTACTTTGAACGGTTGCTGGCCGTGGCCCGCGACCAAAAGGCCGACATTGCCCACAAGGCGCACTACAACGTCCTCTTGGCGAAGCGCCTCAAGGACACATGCCAGATGCTCGACCACTTGGCCGACGAGAGCCAGCTTCTTCCGCGGTTCGGTGCCGCCAACAACGGAGGTGGTAGCGGAGGGGCCCGCGGTGGTGCAGCCTTCCTCCGCAAAAAGGCATTGCTCGCCCCGGAACAAGGGACGACTGCTGCAGCGGCAGAAGGAGTTAGTCAACGCGCTGCAGCATGGACGAATGCGGCAGACTCGGCCAAGATTGCCACGTTCGAAGCCGTGTTTGAAAAGGTGGAGGAGGGCCAGGTGGCACTGGAACGGGCCACACAATCCCTGGTCGAGGCTGAGCGTCTGCTCGGAAGGAATCCCGAGGACGAGGGCGAGGGTGACGACGGCAAGAAAGTAGGGACGCGTAAGCCCGGCGCAAGACAAGAACAACAGAGCGGCGACATATGGGCCAAGCTGGACGGCGAGCTGGGACTGCTAAAGGGGGACAGTCGTCGGTAGCGACGACCAGGTACATGCAAACTAGTCACGATCATGATGCGATGAAATACGAAATCAACAGCAAATAATCTCATTCAATGAAAGCCCATGCCATGCCCATTTTGGACCTATGCTGTACAACGCAAGCAAAGAAAAATCAAGTGCACCCAATCCACGCCTGTACACCATCTCACCTCTCACCGCTCGCCCATGATGGCCGAGATCCGCAGTGACAGGTCCAGGATCGACAGGTGCTCGTCGGCGCCGTCCACCAGCCGCTTGTCCACTTCGGAAAACACCAGCATGATCCTGTTCTTGTGCGCGTCCAGCACCGTGTCGTCGTACACAATCGACTGGTACAGCTGCGCCACCACCTGGCCCGCGCTCCACCCGTCCGCCACCAGGTCCTCGACCACCTGTGCCACGGGCTTGTACGTCGCGCCCGTGCCGGCGCTCTTCTTGGGCGGCCGGATCGCCGCCACCAAGCTGTCGATCGTGCTGTCGGGGATGACGCCAGCAATGTCCTCGACAATCCGCACCGTGACAGGCGGCGTCGACGTGGTGCCCACGAGCGTGTCGCCGTCGACGTCGTCCACATCCATGCCGTCGACGTCGACGTCGGGCGCGGCCGCCTTTGTCTTCTTGGCGCCTGTGCTTCCGTGTGCGCTGGTGTTGGCGGTGCCGACCGCCCCCACCAGCCGCGCCGCGCTCTGCAGGAACGTGATGGCCTTGCGCAGGTCGCCCTCGCTGCACCGGATGAGCGCGTCCACAGCGCCGTCGGCCAGCGGCACGCCCTCCTCGGCGGCAATGTACTCCAGGCGCGCGCGCGCGTTGCCCTGGTCCAGGCTCTTGAAGCGGAACTTGCTGCACCGGCTGGCCAGCGGGTCAATAATGCGCGTGACGTAGTTGCAAATCAGGCAGAAGCGCGTGATCTTGCTGTACGTCTCCATGGTCCGGCGCAGCGCGCTCTGGGCGTCCTGCGTCATGGAGTCGGCCTCGTCGAGCACAATGAGCTTAAAGGGGGGGCAGGGGTAGCGGGCCTTGTAGCCCGGCGGCGGGTTGGTCAGCTGCATGCGGGCAAAGTCCTTGACCTTTTCGCGGACAATGGCAATGCCGCGCTCGTCGGAGGCGTTGAGCTCGAGCACGCGGGCCTTTATGAATTCGGGGCCGTACAGCTCCTTGGCGAGGGCGAGAATCGTCGACGTCTTGCCGGTACCGGGCGGGCCGTAGAAGAGCATGTGTGGAAGCTGGAGCTGCGGTCAGTATCGTCCCATGCACTGAGCAGAACGTTTCCCTCCTCGAGATACTCACGTTAGATGCTTGCAGTGTCCGCTGCAGCACGGTGACGGTGTGGTCCTGGGCGGTCACATCGCTGAGCGACTTTGGCCGGCTATGAAAGTCAGCGTCCTCTTCTTTCCTTCAACTGCAGCCTAGCCGATACGTCTGAACGCACTATTTCTCCACCCATGGCTGTGCCCGCGGTGTCTCCGTCGTCTGCTTTTCGTTCTTGCTCGAGGCGCCGCTCGCAGCCGTCTGCTTCCGCGCCTTGAGATCGAAGAAGCTGGCCATCGGTGTGGGTGTTTTTCGTTGAGAACGTGTATGTGTGTGCGTGTGTTTGTCACAGCTCGACTTGTCGGGTGCCGCAACGTCCAGGTGCTGTCAATTCGTGAGCCGTAGTAATACAATCGATGTCAGAGAGGAAGCTCGTGACAAAACCACAGCAAAAAGCACTTAACGCGTCGCGGCGACGCGCTAGGGAAACTCCCAGAAATGGTGGGCAGGTGGGCCCCAGGCACAATACAGTGTATATAGTGGTGCTACAGCGAAAATGGATTACATTCACTGCTTACCGCGTCCAAACCACCGCCCAGCACCATCTCCAACTACATCTTTGACAAAGCTAAAACGGGTCGAATCTAACTATAAGAGAACATAAAACAACCGCACGCTGGATGTTGAAAACCAAGCACACCGTAATATAAGCACAGCTCGCTCTCATAATGAGATATACGCCCGCCTACGCGGAGTCCACTAGCTTGTTGATACTCCTGGTGCCAACCTAAAACAAAACAGCTTCATTACTGTAACTTCGACATCTCTGCGACGTATTGCAGTGCCTTTCCGGCTGTGTTAACAGCTGTCACCACTAAAGCTTAGCGGACCAGGCCGAAGGTGCTGTTTGGCTTGAAAGCGGGGCCTTTAGGACTGCCTGGTCTGCCCTCGGTCGGGGTTTTTCCGGCTTACAACAGCGCCTTCCTCACCGAAATTGCGTCGTAGTGGATGCCACCCCTAGTTCGCCCGCTCTTGCCCCCCGAGAACCCCCCAAAACAATGACCTAATTCGCTGAGGCAAGAGCGACCCACGCGCACGCACATGTTCTCCGTAGGGAAGGAGCAGCCAGACTTGGGGTCTGGCCATTGTCTCCCATCTTCTTTCTTCGACTCGACTATCAAAACAAGTCGCTTTTGACGGCATCACGGACATCTACTTCGCGACCCATCATTCCTTTTCTTTCCTCCTTATCGCTCCTTATTGATACCAGGTTGCTTTACGCTTTCGAATTTTAGTTTTTTAAGTTCTGTTCCACCCACGTCGTCGCCAACTACACCATTCGATCCTCCGTCCTCCTCCGAACTTAATTATCCTTTCCGGCGTCACCATCAAAAACACGACAAACAACCCTCCCCTCCCCGGACCGCGTTTCAACGAAACCATCTTCTTCCTCCTCCAGACCGTGTGTTGCTGTGCTCTCGGAATGTGTCCCTGAACATCATCCCGCTCGCTCCGGCGCAAGTTCATCGATACTCGTCAACTCTTTTTTACTCCGCCGCTGGGGACGGACCCCCTAATCCGACACCCGATCGTCCTCGGCCACAATGAACGCCGACACATTCGACGAGCCGTCCTTTGACGACCCCCACAGTACATCGACACAGACGCAGTTCGTCAACCCACAAAATGGTGGCGCTGTTGCACCCGCCGCCGCCGATGTGGCCAAAAACCTCGAACCGGACACGTGCCGCATCTGCCGCAGTGAGGCCTCTGCACAAGAACCTCTCTTCTACCCGTGCAAATGCAGCGGCAGTATAAAATACGTCCACCAGGACTGCCTCATGGAATGGCTGTCGCACTCGCAAAAGAAGCACTGCGAACTGTGCAAAACGTCTTTCCGCTTCACCAAGCTGTACTCGCCGGCGATGCCGAAACAGCTGCCCGTCCTCGTTTTTGCCCGCCACCTCGCCAAGTACTTCTTGCGCAACATCCTCGTCTGGTTGCGCGTCGTTCTGGTCTTCTTCGTGTGGATGGTGCTTCTGCCCGCCCTGACGCGATGGGAGTGGTCCTTTTTCTTCTGGGTCAGCGAGGAAGGCCTGGTAGCCGCACCACCGAGGACACTGGACGGCATCGACTCCAACGCCACCTCGGCTGCGGCTGCGGCTTCGTCCGTCGCCCTGGCCACGGCCGCTGCCACGTCCGCTGCTGCACATATCGGCCGCGACCTCGTGAACGGATCGATGGCCGCGGCGCGGGCGCCGGTCGCCGACATCTACGGCGTTCTCGACGGCAACCAGACGACACCGTTCTCGATCCTGTCGCTTGCCTTCCGCGTCATCATGGAGTCCATCCGCGCGCCCGCGATCGTGTCCATGCTGACCGCAGACAACGGCACCGAGGACGACTACTTTGCCAACACAGGCCCGCCGACCTTGCTCAGCGACGTCGCGTTTCTGCGCAGGCTGACCCGGTTCCGGTGGCTGAACAGGTGGATTATTTACGCCCTCGAGGGTCAGTTCATCACCTTTCTGGTCATCATCTGCTTTATCCTGATAATATTGGTTCGGGATTACGTGTTGCAGCAGCAGCCAGAAATCAACATGCGTGCAGCGTTCAACGCCGCCGACGATGACGGCATGGGCGGCGACGAGAATGTTGCCGGCGTTCCCGGTGTACCCAATGCTGGTCAGCCGCAAGATGCGCCGCGCCCGGCAAGAGGAGACCGTGCCCGCCACCACCATCATCATCACCATCGCCATAATCACCATAATCAGCATGGCCACGACCATGACCACGACCATGACCACGACCATGGCAACCATCGTGATATGGACGATGCCGGGTTCGATAGTCTGGAATCCGACTCGGAGTGGGAAACCGACTCCAACGCAGAGATTGAGATTGACGCTGCCGAACTTCTGAGGCCGCTGGTCCAGGGCCCGGAACGCAACGGTCTGGACCTTGGCGCAATTTTCGACGACGATTTCCGGCATGGCCCGCCTGTGCCCGACACAGATGGGCTAGCAGCTCGCGATGAGCCCGGCGAGTCGTCGTCGTCCTCTGCAAACGTCCATACAAGCGCAAATGCGAATGCTATGTCAAGCACAGCCAGCAACAGCAACGGCAACAGCAAAAGCAAAAGCAAAAGCAACAGCGCCGCTGCTCTGCCCAACTTCGACCGCAACTTTCCCCTACCCAGTGAAGGAGGCGCGACCGTCCATGAGTATATGCAAATCTACCGTCGCGCGGGTGGCGACCAGCAGAGGATCCTAGAGATTGCTCGTGAAGAGGGTCTCGAGGAGCACCTGCAGTACTGGCTGCGCGTGATGCAAAACGTCGCAGATCGTCGGCAGTCCGACCGCGGCAGCACCGCTAGCACCATAAGCACAACGGCGGCGGCCGACGAAGATACGAGACGCGTCGGCGAGGCCAGCCGGCACCGGGATGGCCAACCTGCCAACGGTGAAGCATCCAATAGCAGTTCCGTCACCGAGTTCGATTACGGCCTGCGGCCGCGGGCCAATACGGACGGTCCCAGTGGCCCCCCGCGGACCAATCCTCTAGGGAACAACAACTGGTCCTTTGGCCCCGTGCCGCCCACGCAGCACTTTACGCCCGAATTCATTCAGCCCCTCTACGGAGACTCCGCCGAACGGCTAGATGGTGTACCCATACGCGGCGATGCTCCCTCGCATCAAAGGGTGACAGAACCGAGAGAAGGCGACCTACGATTGGAAGGTGAACAGAGACGCCGGTCTGTGTCTTCGGCTGCGAGCTCACGACGCAATAGCAATGCCAGCGCCAGCAGCAGAAACGGCACAATGGCAAACATTTCTCAAGACGCAGCCGCCAGCTCGGCATCTGCACACCACGCCCACGATTCGTCGTCCACAGAGGTGTCAGCCGCCATTGCCAGCCCCCCTAGCACAGATTTGAGTCAGCGGAACGACCCTGACGCCCCTCTTCGTCAAACCGGCAACTGGGAAGAACTTGTCCGCATTCCTATTCGCGACAACATCGACGAGGGCGATGCCACCGACTTTGAGGACATGCCCGCCGCTGGTTTGCGCCATGCCAACATTAACGGTGCACCGCGCGAACAAGCTCCCGCTGCTGCCGGACCGGTCGCCGGCCCTGCTACCCTTCCTTTTGATGCTGCAGCTCCTGATGCTGCTCTCGCCGCTCCTGCGACTGTTCCCGCCGCTCCCGCCGCTCCCGCGGCCACCGCAGACTCGGCCGGACCCCCAGCCAGTCTTGTGGACGGAGTGATGAACTTCATGTGGCGTGATCTAGAGAATATCGACCCGGCTGACCTGCCACCAATCGTGCCTGATGTTGATGAAGACGACCATGTGGAGCTTTTCAACGACAATGAAGAGGACGGCCCCATACCACTGGACGAGCAGGATCGCGAAGCCTTCGAGGCAGCAGCCGCCGCTGCAGCGGCGGCGAACATGGAAGCCGAGGCCATCGAAGACGCCGAGGACCTCGAGGGTGTCATGGAGCTCCTTGGCATGCGCGGTCCCATTGCAGGCCTGTTCCAGAACGTCATCTTCTGCGGGTTCCTCGTTTCAGTCAGCCTTCTTGTCGGTATCTTCATGCCCTATAACGTCGGTCGCCTGAGTATCTGGCTGGTTGCCAACCCCATGCGGCCCATCATGATGCTGTTCAGTTTGTCCAAGCTGCTCCAGGACATTGCGGCGTCCGCACTCGGCGGTGCGGCCTACCTCACGCTCCTTGTCCTCAACAACGCGGCGTCCGCCGCCGAACTCGTTTTCGGTCGCACGGTGCCCTATTCCAAGTACATTCTGGCGTCCCTGGCTACCACATGGGACCTCTGTGCAACGTCGGCGGCGCGGGTTGTCGAAAACTTTAGCATTGACCCGCCGTTCCTGTCGACGGGTGAGATTCGGAATTTCTCTGCCATCAGCCACGACGCACTTATCGGAATCAAAGCCAACGTCAGTGCGGTGGCTACCGGCATTGGGCGCGCCATTGTCATGGTCACAAACGGCGAATTCCTCTCCCATGGCACCGAGGCACTCGAACTGGCCAAAAGCGGCGGTGCTGCGGCCTGGGAGCTGCTGCGGTCCCTGCCCGCGGTGCTGTCGAACCCCGGGTCATGGGTCATTACGCTCGACTCGATGGACGCGGTCCAGGTCAACCCAATGCTTGCGTTCTGGGGCGGCGTCGACCGTGGTTTGGCGATTCTGTTCGGATACGCGACGATGTGCCTCGTGGCCGGCCTCTACCTGCACCGCGGCTCGCCGTTCAGCAGCGGTGCAGCCGTGCAAGAGTGGGAGGCGTCGCTGATCGACGGCCTCAACCAAGCGAGCGGTGTTCTGAAAGTGATTCTGATCATCGGCATCGAAATGCTCGTGTTCCCGCTCTACTGCGGCCTGCTGCTGGACGTGGCCCTGCTCCCGCTCTTTGAGAACACGACACTCGTCTCGCGGCTGCAATTCAGCGTCGACTATCCACTGACGGCCATCTTCGTGCATTGGTTCGTGGGCACCGGATACATGTTCCACTTTGCCCTCTTTGTGTCCATGTGCCGGAAGATTATGCGCAAGGGTGTCTTGTACTTTATTCGCGACCCCGACGACCCCGAATTCCATCCGGTGCGCGACGTGCTTGAACGCACCGTAGCGACGCAGCTCTGCAAGATTCTGTTGTCTGCGTTCGTCTACGGCGCGCTTGTCATTATCTGTCTCGGCGGCGTCGTCTGGGGCCTGGCCTATGCCGGTCCCGGCATCCTTCCGATTCACTACTCGTCCAACGAGCCGGTCCTCGAGTTCCCCATCGACCTGCTCTTTTACAATTTCTTGATGCCGCTGGCGATCAAGTTCTTCCGGCCCAGCGACGGCCTGCACAGCATGTACACCTGGTGGTTCCGCAAATCTGCGCGCGGCCTGCGCATCACCTGGTTCCTCTTTGGCGAGCGCCGCATCGACGAGGAAGGCTCCCTCTACCTCGCGTCTGAGTCGCCACACCAGAAGTCGCCGTGGCTGGTGCGGCAGCTGCTCGAGTACGACGAGTCCAAGAACACGGTCGTGCCCATGGCGACGATGAGTGCCAAACCGTCCAAAGGTGTCTATGATGACGGGGAAAATGATAGGACCAGCAGCAATCCGAACAGACCTCCACGGGCCAGCCCAGTTCGCCGCCGCAACCCGGACAAGGACAGCATGAGATTCCTCGCCGACAAGAAACTGAAGCTTGTTGCCTCGGGTCAGCTCGTGCCGAACGGGAAGTTTGTGCGTGCGCCGGCGTCCGATCAGGTTAAGATCCCCAAGAACAAGGACGTGTTTCTGGATGCGAGCAACGAAGCCTCCCTGTCGAAGGAGCTTGGCGAACCGGCCAGGAAGGACCCGTTCCGCGGACCAGACAGGCGGAGTCGCGCTTCGGATGCCGACGACAACAGACCCGAACAGCGCCCGGCGGACATCTACCACAGCAAGCAGTACGAGCTCGTGTACATCCCGCCGTTCTTCCGTGTGCGCATCTTCTTGTTCATTGCCTCGATCTGGATGTTTGCGGCGGTGACGGGTGTCTCGTGCACCATCATCCCTCTCCTCTTTGGACGGCGCCTCTTCCGCCTCCTGCTCCCTGCGGACGTGCGCACCAACGACATTTACGCGTTTAGCATCGGCATGTATGTGCTGGGATCGGCCTCGTACTTTGTGTTCCACGCGCGGCCCATCTTCAAAAAGATGTGGGCGGCAACACGACGCACGATGTCGACGGCATCGGTGCGCAGCGCCGCCCAGACGACGTGGCGCGCCGTGACACGCATCCTGAGCCTGGTGTACGCCTACGTCTTCATCCTGGTCGTGTTCCCGCTGCTCGCCACCGCCCTCGTCGAGCTGTACCTGCTGATGCCGCTGCACACATACATGCACCCGCCTGGCTCGTCGTCGATCAGCGCCGCGTCGCCCTCCGACGGGACCGAATCGCGCCACAATGTCCGCATCATCCAGTCGTGGACGCTGGGTCTGCTCTACCTCAAGGTCAGCGCGCGCGTGATAACGACATGGTACCCCGGGGCCCGGCTGACGTCGGCGATCCGCGCGGTGCTGCGCCGCGGCAACCTGGACCCGGACGTGCGTCTGCTGACGCGCGCCTTTGTGGTGCCCGGGCTCGTGCTCGGGGCCACTACTATTGGCCTGCCACTGCTGCTCGCCAAAGGCTACGTGGCCGCGTCGGCGTCGCTCGACATTGGCGGCCTGTCTGCGCCCGCCGCCCTGCAGTTCGTCTTGCCGGTCACGGTGCCGGAGCCGGCGGTGGCGGACATGCGGCTGGTGTACCGGCTGGCCTTCCCCTTTGTGGCGCTGGTGGGTCTGGCCGCGTGGTCGCTCTGGGGCATGGTCGGCGTGTATGCGTCGTGGAAGCTGCGGATCCGGGACGAGGCGTACCTGATTGGCGAGCGGCTGCACAATTTTGGAGCGACGAACGGCGCACAGGCACCCACTCGCCGTGTCGGTGTCGGTCGGGCCGCCGCTGCCCGTGCGTAAGGAAGGGTTTCATCAGTAGACTGCCAGTTTCGTTACGAGTAAGATGCACAAAAGACAATCTTGACGTGTGAATGGCATGGATTTGCAAGCGGTGGCCTGGTTTGGCCGAGATATCGCTCCCTTTCTGTTCGTAATCTCTTTTCCTCCTTTCCTGATTTTATCCTTTGCCCACGTTACCGAGAGGTAATATGACTGTTACATAGCTAGGCCGGCGTTGTTGGTTGCGTTTTTGTTTTACTTGAATTGCCTCGAGCACAACAGCAAGTACATAACAAGAATTTAATGTTTTCAAAAACAGAGTAACCAGAAAAATTGAATGGACTTGAATGCTTATGTAAATCAACTGGAGTATCATGCAAAGTAGATGTACATGTAACGAAAAAAATAAAAATAAATAAAAAAAATAAAAAAAAATCCACGTCTGCCCAGAATGAACCAGCACCCTCTCACCTAACGCCAGAAGAAGAAGAAGAAGAAAACAGATAAGTAATAAAGAGACAAAGACACTCGCTTACGCCGCCGGCTGTACGCTCTGCGGGTTGTGGAAGACCTGTTTCGGGTCCCACTTGGCCTTGAGCACCTCCAGCGCCGGCAGATTCGTCATGTAGTACTCGGCCTGCGGCGCCGCCAGGGCCGGGTCCACATAGCCCGAGTACGTGCCGACGGTTGTGCCGTTGCCGCCGGGCAGCAGGTTGAGCAGCGTTGTGTGGAAGTTGGTGAGGAACGCGCGGGTTGTGGTCGACAGCGACAGCAGGTCAACGGCGTACGACTGGTAGAACAAGACCTTGTCGCGGTGGGCAAACGCCGTGGCATTTTGTGCGACGTCGGCCACGGCCCCGCCGCTGGCATCAAAGATGATGAACCACAGGAGGGTGCCTTTGTTGGCGGCCGTGACGTAGGTGAAGAGATCGACCACGGCGGCCGGCGCCAGCAGGTCTTCGCGCCGGAACCCGAGCGACTTGGAATAAAAGTTGGTCTGGGTGTTGGACAGATACAACGCCTCGTTCTCGGCCTCTTGGGTCAGCGAGGCCAGCCAGTCGTTGACGACAATCGTCTTGTTGCCCGTTTGCGGTAGGCGCGCGGGGATGCCAGAGGCCGTCCACTCGTCTGCCGTGCCGTAAAAGGTGCCTGTGATAATCGCGCCGAGCGGGTACAAGACAAACTCAGTACCGAAGCGGCGGTCCAGATTCGGATCGGCAATGACGGCCTGCCACGTGGAATACACCTCGGCCAGGTCGGCGGCACTGCCAAACGAGAAATCAAATGAGTACTGCACGACACTGCCGGGCGCCGGGTGTGTGCGCATGACAAACTCCGTGACGATACCAAAGCTGGAGGCAGCGCCCCGGATGGCCCAGAACAGATCCGAATTCTCAGTGGCGCTGGCCCGCACCAGGGTGCCGTCGGCCGTCACGACCTCGGCCTCGACGACGTGGTCCAAGCAAGAGCCCCACATGCGCGACATGGGACCCAGCCCGCCGACCGTGGCGTGGCCGCCGAGGCCGACGCCAGGGCAGACGCCATGGGCGAAAGCTCGGTTTCCGTTGTCGACGAGCTGCGTGGTGATGTCACCGAGCGTGGCACCAGGTCCAATGGTGGCCTGCCAAGTGGAATTGTCCATGCTGAACTGATCGAGGTTGGACAGGTCGATGGCAAGGTCGCCCGGGTTGCTGCCGCCGCCGAGCCCGAAATTGGCGTACGAATGGCCGCCGGACTTGGCCTGCACCGAGACACTGTTGGACACGGCACATTGCACAAAAGCAGCAACATCCGCGGCGTTCTGGGGGCGGACTACGGCGACGGGTGACACGTCAACGGCCAGATTGTACGGCTTGACCCATTCCAGCTGGTACAGCAGATCAGATGGGTAGCCAACACAGCCAGACCGGCCGGCGCAGACAGAGTTGAGGCATGTCTGCAGCGCAGACGGTGTGCTTTGTGAGTGGCCCATGGTGTGTGTGAAGTGAGTAAAGGCGGATGAGTGAGAGAAGATGCCTCGTTTGAACAAATAGCTCAGGCAAATTATGTTGAGGCCGCAGTCAGTGGCCTTGATGACGTCGCGCAGCAAATGGACGCGAACCGAGACGAGGGTAAAGGCAACACGGGAAGGCGTGGTGTTGACGCGGACGACATGCTAGACTCTCATATATAAACGAGGAGGCGAGAGTGGAGTCCAAAAATAATAAGTGTGCAATGAACAACAAACAATAAATAGGTGACTATTGCCATTCCCTCGAAAGTCAGGAGGGACGGGAGGGCGTACTATGTCTTACGTCCTGCGTCTTGCGTCGTATTATTTGCGTTCTGTGTGGGTGACGGAGAAAGGGACATGACAGGGCACAGCAGACCAAGGAACAAGAAGGAGTGGGACGCCACGATGAAGTCGCAGTGGACGAGGGGCCGCGCCCGGCGGCAAAACAAGGGGTCACTGTCTGTTAGCGAACAGCCGTGCAACCAAACAGAGCGCAGAAGAGCATTCAAGGACGAGCCTCTGGAGTGGGCTAGGGATTCCAGTGAATGACAAGTGAGAATGTAACTTGAGACCAGGAAAAAAAAATCTCATTTCACCGCAGGGCACATGAGCCCCAGCGAAGAGGCAATGGCTGGCTCTGGTAGGCGTGCAGTGATGACGAGCAGAGAGCATTGTGGACAGCCAGTGAAATGAGGCTGACGACAATTAAAATGGCGGGATGGTGACCAAAGTAGACTCCTCAAGATGTCGACTTCCGACCGCCAGCTTTCAACCCAATGGTCAATCCAAGCATAAATGGTGGCTCCATAGGCAATATGTCCAGTCCAAATGTAAACAGACGAGACCATTTAACGTTGCAGCGCCGTCTCACTCTAGACTGATACCGATGGATGACGATAATCTGGACGACTGACATAGCCGTAAGAAGGCCACAACGTTTCAACACTTGCGGTCCACTTTCAGGACAGGCGTCCTCTCAATTCAGGCTTTGCAATCGAAGCCCACAAGCGACGTCGTCGGGTGTGTAGTTTTGTTGTATTGCCACCCTCTATCAAAACGCCTCTTTGTGTTGTCGAATTCCTGTTTTGTCACTGAGGGCAATCGAAGAAATGACATAGTAAATCGAATCTGGCCAACGAGGAACCGTTGCGTGTTGAAGAAACAAACGTGTTGCGCAGCCTAGACAGGGGTGTATCCTTCGCCGTCATAGGTCGAAACAGCATCTGTGAAAAGGCCTTTTCTCGTTCGTGGTTGGCTGGCGAGGCTACATTGAGATTGGCCAAGAAAGCAAAGCAACCAGTGAGCATGGATTGCACCACTGGCTTTGCAAAAGGAATGAAAAGGAGGAACCTGGCGTATTTGATGCAGTCGTCGAGTCGGTCAAGAAAAGAATTCAGAAGAAGCATGTTTTCGCTGGTGATATAAAGTTCGTCTGGGAAAGAGAATTCACAAAATGGAAGAACTTAAGAGTAAAAAAGAAGGGAAAGAATGCAAATTTCAAATAAAGAAAAAACAGAAAAGAAAACTAAAAGGCTTGATTAATTGAAACAAATGAACTCCAAAATAAATACCAATTAACATAATCTTGTCGTCCATTTTCGGTTTCAGAAATCATGTCGGAAGAACATATCAAAACCTTACGGCAAATACTTAGCCCTGGTGCTCTTTCTTAGCTGCTTTCATGTCGTCTTGCCACGCCGACTTGATCGATGCAGCAAACTTGTCGTCAGAAAGAACTTTGAGCGCCGTCGCCGCCAAACCGCGACCGCAGGCCACTGCCCGTTGGAACGCATCGTCCGTGCCCGCCGCACCCGTGAAGTCGCCCGTGTGGTTGCCGGCACCCGGCGGTGCATCAATGCCAAATGCGCCCTGAAAGCCAGGACACTCGTAGCACACGTTGCCCATATCCGTCGAGGCGGTCATAAAGTCCGTCGGCGTCGTGTACAGCACCGTGCCCTTGGGCATCGCGTCGACATACGCTTGGCACAGCCCGGGGGACGACCGCTGCTCCGCGTACGTGTCGATGGGCTCGTAGTCGACCGTGCAGCCGGTGGCCGTCGCGGCGCCGTCGAAGCAGTTTTTGACGCGCTGCCACAGCGTCTCGGCGTGCGCCAGCGTGTCGCTGCGCATGTGGTAGACGACGGACGTGTGCGCGGGCGTCACGTTGGCCTGGTCGCCGGCCTCACGGAAGACGCCGTGGATGCGCTCATTTGGGTGGATCTGCTGGCGCAGCATGGAAATGCCGTTGTACGCCAGGCACACCGCGTCGAGCGCGTTGACGCCAGCCCAGGGGGACATGGCCGCGTGTGCCTCGCGGCCCTTAAAGGAGACTGCGTACTTGATGCACGCCAGCAAGCGTATTTTGGCCACCCCAGAGACACCCGACGCATCGTTGCCGTCCAGGGCATCGGCCGCTGCCGCCTGCAAGCTGGACAACGGTGCCGGGTGCACCATCAGACACGCCGCCACGTCCTTGTAGGCGCCACCCTTGATCAGCTTGATCTTACCGCCGCCAGCCTCCTCGGCGGGCGTGCCCATCAGCGTCACGCGGCCCTTGGTGCCGGGACCGGCCTTCTTGAGGGCTGCCACGGCGCCCAGGAAGCCCGCAAACGACGCCGTCGCAATCAGATTGTGGCCGCAGGCGTGGCCGACGCCCGGCAGCGCATCGTACTCGGCGTTGAACACGACCAACCGGCCGCCTTCGCCGTACTCGGCTTTGAAAGACGTATAAACATCGTAGGCGTGAGGAGTGACCTTGACGTCGAGCCTTTTAAGGACCTCGACAAAGTGGTCGTGCGCCTTGACTTCTTTGGAGGAGACTTCGGGGTTGGAGTGGATCTGAAATAGAACGGATATCAGTATAGGAACTCGTTGTAGCAGGAAAAGGGTGGGATGCTGCACACAAAGCTGTTCATCTCTGACAGAACGGACATCTGGGCTTCGATGCCCGCCGCAGAGTCGTTAGCCGAGAGACCCATTATGGGAAAGAGGGAGGACGCAAAGAGGTATGGGAAGGTGCGACGGAGGTTTCCAGAGGATAGGAAGGTGCAGCTGAGAAACAAAGGAAAGACCGTTGGATACTTTAAGAGGAAGGAGCAGAGGAAGACCAACGGCAAGAGCAAGATAAAATGTGAGACGGGAACAGCTCCTGAGAATCGTCCTTCTTTACTTATTTTCTAAATGTTTTCTAGATTCTTGTCGTACGAAGGGACAGTTTCCCACCTATTTTCGGCTCTCCTCTCATGCCGTCCTTGCTGGCCGATGCGAGATGCCCTAGTCACCGATCGGCCGAGACATTCTGTCTAGCATCTGTCGATAATACGTCCCAAAACGGTAATTATGCGTGAACAGCCAAAACGGGCCGTCTTGTAAATACAAAAGGAAAGCACAAAATTCAGGCTATCAATTCGCTGTGGTTATTGAACCAACTTAAAAACAAATAGAGGTATTCCATGATTTTTTTTTTTAATTTTTTTTACAGTCGGTCCTTCAAGACGTCACAATGGCTGCTCCAAAATTCCTTCCTAATCGGCAATCTAGCTACTGATCGCCAGCGTACAGCGAAAATTACAGCGCATAAAGCGCTATAACTTCAGACTTACACATCCATGACGTAATACGGCGAATACACAGCGTGATCTTTACACCAATTTGGTATGCTTCACTACTTCGTACCTACTATGTTCGAAGTTCGAGTAGATTTCAACCCGCGTCTCTTACCTCGTAGCACTTTCCCTATCACATGTTTTGAAACGTCTGACGTGTGGATGGAGTCCGCACAACTAAATGAAATCGATGCGCAGCTCCAAGACCCTGGTCTATCTTTTAATTCCTGCCGGTTCGCTGCTTCGCCGCTATATACAACTGGTGCTGCCAGGATGTAGCCACCATCTTGCTATATTTTGTACACTGTCGTAGCCTCATGACATGTATAGAAAAGTAAGAAGCAAAAGAAAAAGAATGAAAATAAAAAATCCATAGGTGGCTGTTTTGTAGGATGACCCAGAAACAAATGCGATCAAGAGACCGGAATCCAAAGACAACGCCGCTAAAAACAAAGGAAATGGCATGAAAAGCTGGCGAAAAGATTGGACCGACACGACCGACGGTCCGTCATGTGCAATGCAAGACGATGCCTACAGCCGTGTCAGCTTGCGCGTGGACACAGCACCGACCACGGCAAAGATGGCGCCAATAAACAGCGTCACGGCAATCGCGTTCGGCCCGTCCGTGCCGTGATGCTCCGACGGGTGCGCGTCCGTCGCCAGCTCGGGGCTCTTGCCAGGCTCCAGCACCGCAAACACAAACGCGCTCAGCAGGTTGCCCAGCAGCTGGGGAAGCGTCGTGTAGATGTTGAGGATGCCAAAGTAGATGCCGCTCAGCTCGCCCGTCGAAACGGCGGCCGGCTCGCTGCTTTTCCCGCTGTGCTCGAGGCGTCGCGGCGACGGCGAGTCCCGCTTTCCGCGCGTGTTGTCGCCGCTTGTGGTCGACAGCACACCCAGAGGGATGGAGACGGGAGACGCGTTGGACGGACGGCGGTTCAACGGCTTACTGGCAGCCGACGGGCCACCCGTGAGCTTGTTGACCTCGACGCCGAGAAGCGCCGTCGGCGCCCACGTCACCACGGTCCACGGGATGCCGCACAGCGTCACGAGAATCGTCGCGAAACGGAAGCTCCTGGCAAACGGCGCCATGAACATGGAGCATGCAAACATGAGGTGGCCACATGTCCACACGGTCAACAGCTCCGGGCGTGACTTGTCAATCAGCTCGACAAAGCGCGCCATGCTGGCAGGAGGCCGTTTGGTGAACGAATCGGTGTAGGGGCTGCGCACAAACAGTGGCAGGATCGCCGACGCCAGCACGGTCATGGCCGAGTACGTCGTCAGCGCGTAGCTGCCGATTCGGCCCATCTCGCCGACCACGTCCGTCGACGCCGCGCCCTCCGGTGCGTCATACCGGAAGTACGTCTCACCAACCCATGTGCTGCTGTACACCACAAAGGGGAACCAGCCAATCCAGCCCCAGAACACGGCCCAGCAGATCGCCTGGATCCGCGGCGGCAGCGTCAGCAGCGTCGACCAGATCTGCCGGAAGATCTTAATCAGCTTAGCCATGACGCTGTCTGCGGCGCCGTTCGGCCCTCCCAGAGCCGATTTCAGGAGCACGCGCTCCGTCACCGCCCAGCAGGTGATGCCGACCGTCACCAGGATGCTCAGTGCGGCCACGCTGCTCAGCTTCTTGAACTGCGTGTCGCCGTACGCGGGGCCCAGCATCTTCACCAGATCGATCGCACCCGCTGCGTACCCCACCAGATGACCAAAGGCCGCCATGCGGCTGGCCCACGCGGCCCCGTCCTGCTGTTTCTCGAGCGGAAGGGTATCGACCAGGAGACTGCGGTTGCAGGACATGACGGCATTGATTGCAAAGTCGGTGACGTACAGGGCGAGAACGGCGACGCAGATAACCACATTGCCGTGGGCGGTCGTGGGTGAGACGGCATCGACAACGGACGGGGTTGCGTCGCTGTTGCGGCCGGCTCCGAGCAGATAGGATACGATTTCGCGCGTGAAGCTCAAAATGAGCAAGCCGGCAACGACTATGATGGAGCCGATGGCCATAAAAGGCCTCCGCCTGCCCCATTTCGCCGTCGACTGGTCCGACACGACACCGATCACCGGCTGCACGATGAGACCGGATAACGGGCCCGCCAGCCAGATCAGGGATGCCTGGCCCTTGGTGAGGCCGAGCGAGAGGAGGTATGGTGTGCAGTCTAGAGTGTTAAGAGTCGAGAAAGAAATAGAGGAAGGGCAAAAGATATGGAAGAGTCAAGAACGCACAAGTCATCTCCACGCCCCACGTAAAGGCAATGCCCATGCTCGCCGCGGTCAGCAGCATCATCCGTGTCGTCTCCGTCGCGCCCTTCACGGACGGCTGGCCCGACCAGCTCGCCATAGTTTCCGGTGTGCGGCCGACGCCAAAGAACAGGTGGGAGTGGCCGTGGAGTTCGGGGCTCGGAGTGCGGTCGGGTCGCTCGTCGTCGTACTCGGTACCGGAAGGGCTGCCGTTTTCGTAGGGGCAACCGTTCGCCTTGTCGCCGTCGCGCTCGCTGATTGTAATAAAGCTACCTTCGTCGTCGTCGTCGTTGTCGTCGTAGCCGTAGCGGGTGTAGCTGGTGCCAATACCCAGGTGGCCAAACTGTCTCTTCTCGTCCTGGCTGTTGCGCTCCTTCAAGCTCGCCGATGGCAGTCCGCTGTTGCCCACGACAGCCTTCCACCAGAGCGGCGTGCTGTTCGACTCCCGGACGTCGTGGCTTCGGGCAGAAACCAGGGAAAGGATGCCAGGTTTTCGCTTCATGCAGCCGTCGTTGTGTCCCGAATCTTATCTTGACACACGTTAGTCTGGGCCCTTATCTAGACCGTCTTCACGCAGTCCCATCTGATGCAATGCATTAAAGGCACGCGACACTTGGGTTGGGCAAAAGAGAGGGAGATCGAGGTCGTCGAGTTCAAAGGTTTGGGACTGGGGAGAGGGAGGCACGTCGGCTGCCGAGTAAATGGGTCGCGTGGAGGTCGTTCATGTGTGTCGTGTGCGTGGGCCGAGTCCTCCTGGCATGTGCCGATGAGTCCGCCTCGTCGATACGCGTCCCAATCGCTCCTTCTTGTAGAAATTGCCTCGTCTCTGGTCCCTTTCCTGTTTCGAAAGTGTCTCTCGCATCGCTCTTTCCGTCGTGTCGTCTGTGCAAGAGTGCAATGTCTATCGTGGGCGGCACCTACCTCGTCTGTTCATAAAGGAAATCAGCCGAACGTCTCGCTGGAAAAGGAAGTCGCTATTCGATGCTGCGCCTCTCGTCGTTCGCTGGTGAATGATCGCTTCCAACAGAATCCAAAAAGAGAAAAGAAGGAGAAGGAAAGAAGGTCGAACGACCGCAATGCAAAAGGGAGTCTCGTGCAAGCAGAAGCAAAAGGAGAAGCAGAAACAATGGCAGTTGTTACCAGGTTTTGCATCCCCTTGACCCCTGATCATTGGCAAATTAAGCCCAGAGATGGGGTACGGAAGTCGCAAAAGGCCAAGTGGTCAGGGGCCTGCAGCAAAAGTACAGTACGAATGTACGGGCTTCGCGAGAGCAAGCGCGCTGCAGGGCACATGTGGGGCCTCCTTCCCTTGGCTCTTTTGCCTGGGCTGTTGTAAATACGGAGTACAGTGACGTCGCTTGTCCCAGCGGCTCGGCTGTGCTGATCGCGCTTTCCTCGTTAGTGAAAGGAATACGACAAAAGACACGTAGTCACTGCGGCGAGTGCTGTACGTCGTATCTACCCAAGCGCACTAAATCGAGAACAGAGGAAGGATGGCAGATGAATACGTCCTGTGTCTGACTACAGAATGTGAAATGTAAGTGTATATGGCGGGCGCAGCAAAATGCAGTTCGGGGGACACAGTCTACCTTTCAGACTCGAACTCGTCACTCGTCTACCAGCCGCACAGAAGGAGCCATTCGCAAATTAGGGCGGTTTTAATGTCTTACTTGGCGAAGGAAGTAACGACTATCATTTTTGAAGACACATGGAAGGAGCCACAAACACCATAGCACCCACGCCTGCCGTGTAAGTTGCTTGGTGAAATGGACCGGCCTGCCGAGTCGCTCCTTCCCATCTCCTGAATATGCTGCAGACACAAGACTGGGCTACGCCGGGATGCGGCCTAGCGACAACGGCGGGCATTTCAACAGCGAACCAACGAGCGGCAGGAGCCAACGCGCGTGGTGGGAAAGTCCGATCTAGGAACTCGGGGCCCTGAAAACGACACTAAGAAAAAATGGGGAGGCAAGCGCGAGACAGAACCACAGACGAAAAAAATAGTAAAATCGTCAAAGGAAGAGCGGCTGCCCCAAGGACGTCGAGTCATTTTCTACAAAACGCTGAGAGCATCGTCCGCGTCCCATACTCTGGCCGTCTCTTCCCCTCACCAACCCGCCCCACAAGAGGAACGAACCAGAAAGAAGCAGGTTGCAGCATATATCTGGCCGCCCGCCTCGTCGCATTGCGTCCGTCTACCCCGCCTATTATACTGCATCGTCAACTGCGGAGAGCGCATAGCCCATATAAACCCAACGTCGATTCCGTCCCAACGAGCTGCGCAACAGAGACCCGACCTCTTGTCCGAGCTTCGTTTGACTCGGAGCACGTCTCTTCACCTCTACCTCCTCCATTGACGCTTTACCAGCGTCGCACACAGCTCTAGTCACAGCCATGGATTTGGTTCACTCGTGAGTCATGCCAGATGAGCTGCGGTTGTGTGTCGAGCAATCTCGAGCCTGGCTAATCGATTGCTAACAATGTTGGGACTAGATTGGGCGAGCGTCTGCTCTTCGCCATTCCCAAGAGTAAGTGGTGCCCTGTCTCTTCCTTGTGGTTTGTCTGTCCTCCTCCTCAACAACCAAATGCTAACACACCATCTAGAGGGCCGCCTCCAACTTGCCGCGCTCGACCTGCTGAGCGGCGCCGACATCCAGTTCCGCCGCGAGAACCGCCTCGACATTGCCCTCGTCAAGAACCTGCCGATTGCTCTCGTGTTCCTGCCTGCTGCCGACATCCCGACGTTTGTGGGTGAGGGCCAGTGCGACCTCGGCATTACGGGTCTGGACCAGGTCCAGGAGCACGACGCCGGCGTGCGCGCCGTGGCCCGTGCGCGGACACTGTCCGTCGACACGGGCGCGCTCTCAGATGCGGCGGCGGCGGCTGCTGCCGCTGCCGTCGCCGACGGCACAGCAACACCAGCGAGCAAACCCAAGGGCTGCGAGACGGTCATGGAGCTGGGCTTTGGCGCGTGCAAGCTGCAGGTGCAGGTGCCGGAGAAGGGCAGCTACGCCGAGCCCAAGGACCTGATTGGCAAGAACATTGGCACCAGCTTTGTGCACCTCGCCGAGGAGTACTTTGCGCGCCTGGAGCAGGAGCAGGACCAGGACGGCAAGGCCGTGACGCCGCGCAAGCTGCGGACCAAGATCATCGAGCTGAGCGGCAGTGTTGAGGCGGCCTGTGCATTGGGCGTCGCCGACGGCATTGTCGATCTGGTTGAGTCGGGCGAGACAATGCGGGCGGCCGGCCTCAAGCCGATCGACACCGTGGTCGAATCGTCGGCGATCCTGATCAAGTCCAAGTCGCCGAGCAACCCGGAGCTGGTCGAGCTGATTGCGTCGCGCATCGGCGGTGTCATCACGGCGCAAAAGTTCGTCCTGTGCCAGTACAACATCCCGCGCGACCGCCTGCACGATGCTACTGCCATCACGCCCGGCAAGCGCGCGCCGACGGTGACGGCGCTCGACGCGGCCAACTGGGTGGCCGTCAGCGCCATGGTGGAGAAGAAGAAGATTGCGACGGTGATGGACAACCTTGTCAAGGTTGGTGCGACGGACATTCTCGTGCTCTCCATCCAGAACACGCGCAACAGCTAGGAAGCTCCTGCAAGCACGCCTGTGGGATGCAATGAGGGACGAAAGCGCATGCCGCTCCGATGAGGAAGGTCGGCCGAGCCAAACGCAAAACGTATGCGGAGAAAAGGGACAAAAAGACATACAATGGATAAAACACGATAAAACTTATAAACAGCACCAAAGGAGTATGAATATGGATTGTTGGACTGTTGGATCAGCAAAAAATAATGGAGTGGGTGAGTTTCTGGCATGCTTTACATCACGTTTGGCGCTCCAAGTTTAAAAAACAATGAAAAAGCAAAATTAGACAGGTTATCATGTCACTGGTAGCAGTATCAACGGAAATATGAATGTATTTTCTATTTTCTATCTCCGAATAGACGTTAATCTTGCCATGCACAAGTGCGCAGCACATTACGTGTGCCAGATAACAACACGGCCGTCAACGCCGCTCGCTGAAGTAAGTTAGTACACATGACAAGTACACTGTATAACAGAGAATAAGGGATAGGGAAAAGCATACAAGAAAACTTGGTCACGCCGCTGGCCGACGACTCAAAGGGTCGGATCGTGTTGATGGTGTTCTGGTGCGTCGTCTTGAGCTGGGTGTCGTTCTTGGTGCGGCCCATCAGGTCCATCTGGCGGAATTTGTTGAGCGCCGACTCCTCGCGGTCGTCGTCGCCGAACCCCGCCCGGCCGCCCTTGGCCTCAAGCGAGCCCACCAGCGCCCAGCCCTGCACGCCGCCCTGGAAGCGGAAGGCCTCGCAGTCGTAGCCGGCGGCAATGATCTCCGACTCGCCGCTCCAGAAGAGGGACGAGAACGGCAGCAGCTGCGTCGGGATGCTCAGCACGGCCTTGGGCGGCTGGTCGGGGGCGCTCGGGTACACGACCGTGATGCTGCTGTCGTGCGCCGCAAAGGCCAGCGCGTCCCCGCTCGGCGAAAAGGCCACGGCGTGCACCCAGCCGGCGGCGTTGTTCAGATACTCGCCGCACACGGTGTTGAAGGGCAGCCGCTCGCCCCATGCGCTGGGCTCGGGGCGCTGGTCCGTGCCCTTGAGGAAGCTCGAAAAGACGCGGGCGTGCGCGTCCGTCGAGCCGGCCGCCAGAAGCACCGAGTTGGGGTGCCAGGCGACGCTGGTAATGGTGCTGCGGATGGGCTTGCGCAGATGCTTGGAGACCCACCAGTCGTTCTCCTGCTCAAAGTAGCAGACGGCAATGACGCGGTCGCCCGAGCCGACGGCGAACTTTTCCTCCGAGGGCGACCAGCGGGTGACCGTGGCCGCGCGGTTGATGCGCAGCAGCACGAGCGTCGGCTTGTAGCCTGTGGGCGAGGGCTCCCAGACGAGGGCGTTGCGGTCCTGCGAGCAGGTCACGATGCGGCCGCTGTTGGGGGCAATGTCGACGCTGGTGACGGTCTTGTCATGGCCCTTGAGCTCGTCCTTGAGCTTGAAGGCGTTGCCGACGCGTCCGTAGAGGTCGATCGACGTGTCGCGGGCGACGGCCAGCGTCTTGCGATCGGCCGAGAACGAGTGGTCGGCGATGGGGTGGTGGAAGAGGTGGTGGACTTCGGGAGCGGCCATTGTGCCTCGTGACGGGACGATTGTCGGAGGACGGGTGTTCTGTGTCTGTCTGTAGGCGGATGATCCCTTGTGTGATAGGAGTAGCTCTCTACTACCACGACGCCGGGCTGGTGAGGTGAGGCTGTGACGATGGGGTTGTCGAGACGAAGGGCGTTCGGAATGGCTGGAAGCTGATGCGCCGCAATTGCGTAGGCGGCACTCAGCCAAGCTGTGGAATACGGCTACGCAGTGGGGCGCTCTGAAAGGAGGGGCAGTTAGGGCGCCGACTGCGCCTGCCTTGCGTATGGGAACAGCGTTCCTGAAAACCTTATGTAATCAAAAATAAAAGAAAATTAAAATAAAATAGCGAAAAGAGCCAGACGCTGCATAGGCTCAAAGCAAAGCTGCAAAAACGACGCTTTTCAAGACGACGCGAAAAGTACATCTCGCACCACAGGCCACCCACGCCCTCTCCACTCCTGCTTGCACACGGCGTCACTCTCTCTTTGGGACGACTGACAGCACCACGATCGTCTCTGATACTTCAAAGCGGCAATTGGTCCCCTTCCACCTCTCCTCCCTCTTCAATGTCGACCACGATCTCGTCGCGTGGCCCGCCGCCAGGCGCACCCCCAGGCAAGGCTGCGGCCGTGCCGCCCAACCAGACGTGAGTTTGAGGATTCTTGGAGGCAAGGGATGTTACGGGCCTCAGATTTGTGATTTGTATGCTGACCTCGGCAGTCTCTATGTGCACAACCTGCCGTCGGCCAAGATAAAAAAGGACGACCTGCGAACCGCGCTGTACCTGCTCTTCTCTACGTACGGCACCGTGCTTGATGTTGTGGCGCTCCGGACAATGAAGATGCGCGGGCAGGCACATGTTGTCTTTCGGGACGTGCAGGCGGCAACACAGGCCATGCGGTCGCTCGAGGGGTTTGTCTTTTTCGGTCATGATTTGGTACGCTTTTCCTTACGCTCCTTTTGTTTTCTTGCGTCTTTTACGCCGCTCTCTTTCTTGCTAACACGTACGAACAGAAAATCTCCTATGCCAAGTCGAAATCCAATGTCGTGGCACGGCTCGACGGCACCTTCCAGCTGCCCTCGGCAGCGCAGACCGTCGAGGTCACCGACCTTCAGCAGAGCATCTTCAACGCGCCTGCACCAGGCGCAGCGACGACGTCCACACCAGCAGCGGCACCGGCAGCAGCAAACGGCTCTGCACAGACAGGAGAGGCTGCGCCAGCAGCAGCGTCTGGGGCTGAAGCGGCACGTGGCCAGAAGCGGACACGCGACGAGGAGGAAGAGGAAGAGGAGTCGGAAGACAGCGATGTGGCCATGGAGGAAGACAGCGACGACGAATAAGGAGCCACAGTATCGAGGCCGCAATCTCGAGAGGATACACAATAAATGATACCCTACGATACATTTGTATGGCTTGGAGGGTGGAATTCTCATTACACAAAGGGATGACTACCAGATCCGGGGTATATCTCAAAAAACAACTTTTTCGGTCTCTCTCTCTCTCTCTCGGTCTACTCATCGAGCCAAGATGAAGAGACGAGAGGAGGTCGAAACCAGCCGCCACACCAACGCGCCTCTACGACAGCGCCATCTCTTTTGGCACCCAAAGGCCCACACAACCGCCCACGAGACCGAGCCATACCATGAGATAGCTCTTCTTGGTGCAAGCAAAGCCCGACATGGCCTCACCGAGGAGGCACGGATGAACGAAAAAGGACGGAACTCCAGTGATTGGATGGTACTGTCAGGGACATTTGATATTAGCATAGGGATCTTGTCAGGGCGTACGGCGTATTAAATAATACAAGCCCCATCAGGCTTTTCCCCCTTTGTTTTTCTTAATTTGGGAAATCATACTCCCCGTAATACGTACGTCTGCGGATATGCCTCCGACGCTGCCCATGGAACGCAGCCGGTCCTGGAACTGCTCCGGCACAAGGTGCCGAAACACCGTGTCAATGCTCATCGGCGACTCGCCGTTGGGCAGGCCGTGCAGCGAAAACCACAGGCACGGCGCCCGGTACGTCGGGTGCAGATGCACTTCGTATGTCACATAGCCGTAGTGGCCGCTGCTGGCCGTCGCCCCTGCAGAGGGGGCCGCTTTTGTGAGCGCGGCGTCGTCGGCGTCTTCCGACATGGCCATTTCCGCGTCACCGCCCAGGCCGCTGTCGATGTGTTCGCCAAACGAAAACTGCCCCATCACATCCGCCAGCTCGTCGTCGTGCGCGGCGGCGCTGTTCTCGAGCGGCCGGGTGATTTGCAGATACGTCGTGGCGTCGCTGTCCAAATACAAGGACGTGTTGAACGCCGTGCAGACCGACACGCGCCACCGTCGCCGCAGCGGGCCGAGCGTGGCCTGGCGGTAAATGCGGTCAAAGTCGTGGCAGACCTCGGTGAACTCGTCGTGGGCGAGGAACGGGTAATCACGGAATTCGTCGCCGACGGCCGAGATGGACGACGAAGAGGCGGCCATGGTTGCCATGGCTGGCGGGTTCATTTTGCAAACTATGACGACGGCATGCCGTAGGAAGCATTGACGAATAGGACAGTGAGGCTGTGAATTTCGTGAACAAACATTAACATCAGTGCTCAGGCGGATGGGAAAGGCTATAGTGAGAAGGGTAGAACCGTGATATGTGTGTCACGAAAGATGTTGCGAGTTGAAGTTAGGCTCCGCATTTTGACGGCCGGTTTTGCCACGACTATGGTGGGGAAACAAGGCTACGTAAACTACGAGTCGCAACCTCTTCAACCACGGAGTGGACAGAGAACAACCTCCATTTCGCACAATCTTCAAGCACGCCATTTTATATTGCAGACGTTTACGAATGTATTTGTTTATGAAAACGAAATACCCGTATCGTAAATCTAACGCCGTGCCCACAATACATCCAAATCAGAGGGCTGACCAAGTTTTGATGTAAAGATATGGAGAGCAATGAACAATAAGCCAAAAGTCGCAGTAGAAACAAAGCAAAGAAAAAAAAAAAGTAAAGACATGAGATGGCGCAGAAATGGAAACGCAAGTATGTACAGCTTTTGTTGTGTTTGGATCGTTCCTCCCCTTTCACAGGCTTCGCGCCACAACACTACTGCTGCTCCTCGTCGCCGTCCACGTCAATGAGGTTCTTGGCCTGGTACGCCTTCTTGGCCACCTTGGCCAGCGTCTCGTAGTCACCGCTCATGTCGCACATGGACCGGAACACGCCGTCCTTGTTCTTCATCAGCTCCCATGGGTGGCCGTACTCGACGAGCGAGCCACGATCCAGCACCAGCACCTTGTCGTAGTCGGCAATCGTCTGCAGACGGTGCGCAATCGTCACAATCGTCGACGTCAGCTCGCGGAGCGTCTCCTGGATCTTGGAGTCCGTCGCGTAGTCGATCGACGCGGTCGCCTCGTCCATCAGCAGGATCGCCGAGTTCTTGAGCAGCGCCCGCGCAAGACACAGCAGCTGGCGCTGGCCTTGCGACAGGTTCGAGCCAGACTCGGTCACGGGCGACGACAGGTCCAGGAAGATGTTCTTGTTGGTCGCAATCGGCGACGAGGGCGTCGCCGGCTCCTCCGTCGAAGAGGTGGCAGCCACCGTCTCCGTGGCCGTGTTCGGCGTCGGCGTCGGCGTCGTGGCGCGGGCACTCGACGGAATCGACTCGTTGGGACCAATCAGCTGCACGCGGCGGAGAGCAGCAAAAATCTGCTCGTCCGAGAACGTCTTGAAGGGGTCCAGGTTGGTGCGGATGGTGCCCATGAACAGCGTCGGCTCCTGGGGCACAATGGTGATCGACTCGCGCAGGTCGCGTAGGCCAATCATGCCAATGTCTATGCCATCAATCAAGACCTTGCCCGTCTCGGCCTCAAGGGCGCGGAACAGGGCCAGCGCAAGCGAACTCTTACCGGCACCAGTGCGGCCGACAATGCCAACCTTCTCGTGCGGAGCGATGCGGAAGGTCAGGTTGCGCAGCACGGGGTCCAGCTCGGCGCGGTACCGGGTGGTGTAGTCAATGAACTCCACGGAGCCCTGGCTCGGCCAGTTGGCGGGCGGACGGCTGTCTTCAATCACGGCCGCCGCCTCCTGCTCGACGTCGAGGTACTCCTTAATCCGCTCCACTGAGTTCATGTTCTGCTCGTTCATGGCATACAGACGCACAAGCCACAGCATGTTCTCGGCAAAGCCAATGGCGTAGCTGAGAGAGATACCTGCCGAACCGGCATTAATGGTGCCAAGGCTCAGAATGACAAACACGCCGGCGAAGAAAGCAACGAGATCGCCCAAGAGATCCGTGCGGAATGCCAGCCAGCGGTTAGCTGCCCACAGGTAGATAAACGGTCGGATCTGCGCGTTGATACGCGACAGGTTGTCACGGACAAAGCGGCGCTCGTCGCCATACGCACGGATGGTCGTGACGCCCGAGAGCGTCTCGCCAAACTGCTGGAACAGAGGACTGCGCTGGACCGACTCAAGACGCTTCAGGTCGCGCGACGCGCTCAGGTAGAACTTGCCCAGAACGATGTAGAGTGCCGTGATGAAAATACCGGCAACCAGGAAGCCGGGAGTTATGGACGCAATCAGGACTATGGTAATGCAGATGGCCAGGGCACACGACATGACGCTAATGGCCACAGGGGCCACCTCCTGGTCGACAGCCTCGAGATCCTTGCTGAAGCGATTCATCATCTGGCCGAGCGGGGTCACGTCGAAGAACTTGAAGCGGGCAAAAGACACCGAATGCATCAGGCGGTTGTGCAGTTTCCAGGACGCAGTCAGGGAACCGAAGAAGATCCAGAGATCGCGGATGAAGGCAAAGACAGCACCGACAAGACCAATGGCAGCCAGGACGGTAATGTAGTAGTGCGCGTTGACCTCGGGTGCTATGAGGGCCTCGAGGGCAGAGTCAGCCTGGAAGACGGTCGAGTTCTTGGGGACCCACAGCGACCCGACCGACGTGATGTGGCTCACGGTGTTTGGCGAGAAGACGTGCGAGAGGGAGCGGGTGAACAGCGACGTCTGGCCGGCGGGGCCCGAGACGAACGAGCCAAGCGTCGCGTTGAGGTGCGACGAAGCCATGGATGCCATTTCGATGGACTTCTCAGCGTATTGGTTCGACCACTCCTTGATCCACAGGTTTGAGGCGACGAGAGAGAACTGCTGGGAAGAGAAGACGCAGGCAGCAACAACCCAGAACCACCACGGGCCCATGGCACCAAGGTACAGCTTAATAACCGGCCACTTGACGGCGCCTGTAGCCTTGGTCTCCTCGAGAGCATCCTGCTTTTTGTTTACTTTGTTCTTCTTCGTACCAGCGGCACCGGCAGCAGCGGGACCGGCGGCACCGTTCCCATCACTGGGCAGAGACGGATCCGCAGCACCACCGTTGTCAATGAGTGTGGCGCCGTCACCGTTATCAGTCTGTTTGCCGATGCTCGAGGGCACGCGAGACGGGATACGCGAGATGTCGGCAGTGCTTGTTGCAGACTTGAGCTGGACCTCCTCACCGAGCACGCCAGAGGCAATGACCTCCTGGGACGGGCCCTGGCTGGTGATGCGGCCATTGTTCATGACAACAACAAAGTCCGAGAAGGGGACACAGAGCGAGATGTTGTGCGTGACCAGAATGCAAGTGCGGTTGCGCATGAGCGGGCCGCGAATGCAGTTGTTGAAAATCCATTGTGCCGTGTGCGAGTCGACGGCGCTCAGGCAGTCGTCCAGGAGCAGGTGACGGGAGTTGGAGTACAGTGCACGGGCAAGAGAGATACGCTGCTTCTGGCCACCGGACAGGGTAATGCCCTTCTCTCCGACCAGGGTCTCGTCACCGTTGTCCAGCGTCTCGTGCAGATCCCGCTCCAGGGCGCAGGCCACGATGACATCGCGGTACCGCTGCTCGTCAAACGGCGACGAGAAGAGAATGTTCTCCTTGATGGAAGCGTTGACGAGCCAAGCCTGCTGGGCGACGTAGGCGCACGTCTCCGCCAGATTGGTCTCCGGGTCGGGGCGGACATCCTCACGACTGCGGCCGCCAGGGAAGTACACCTTGCCGTTTATGAGAGTCATTTCGCCGAGCAGAGCCATGAGCAGCGAGGTCTTGCCGGAACCGGTGGGGCCAGTGATGACGTTGAGCTTGCCAATATTGAAGTCCACATCCAGGTCGAGAAGGCGGAAGGCCATGGAGCCGTCCTCGGCAACCACGTTCTTGCCACCCCATATGAAGCTGGCGTTGTTGCGGAAACCAATGACGCGTTCGCCGGTGGCTTCGTCGATGTTGTCCAGGCCGAGCTGGTCGAACTTCTCGGTCTCCTCCTCCGTCAGAAACTCCTCGATACGGTCAATGGAGACCTGGGCCTCCTGAACGTGGGCAATCATGTCGCCGAGCTGGTCGAGCGGGTACCGCAGCAGCATGAACAGGGAGATGGCAGTGAAGGCGACAGACGGGTACAAGGGCTTGTTCTCGACCATGGTGTAGATCAGGAAGCAGCAGAATGTAATCAGGATGGGGACCGTGTTCCAGACAGCGACTGCGCATGCCCAGATAATGTAACGCTGACGCAGGGCCTGAAGCTCGGCGCGGCGCTTCTCGTCGACAATGTTGCCGAAGCGGAGCTCCCAGGCGAAGTACTTGACGATGCGGATGTTCTGGAGAATCTCGTTGGTGGCGTGGATGCGCTTGTCGGTAGCGGCCATAATCTTCTTTTGGGTGGTGTTGAAAGCCTTGGCGAAGCCAATGTTGACAGGCAGGAGCAGCGCCATGACGATGAAGCCAGGGATGGCACTCAGGCCCATGACACGGTACAGCAGGACAACGGAGACAAGGAGCTGGGTAGGAGCAGCAGCAACCAAGAAATGCAGGTAGGCTGTGACCTCGGACACCTTGAAGCTGTCAACAGACATGAGGTTGATGATGGTACCAATGTTGGCCTGCTCATCCGACTTGTCGTCGTCTTTCTTCGCATCGTCGCCAGTGGCGGCCGCGGCATCAGAGCTGTCGGCAGTCGCAGCCGTGCCGTTCGCAACACCACCGGTAGCGCCGCCCTGGTCGGCCTTCTTGAGACCAAGCTTGCGCTTGATCGAGGCCATCCAGCCGGTCTCCTTTGCGCTGGGCTCGTTCGTCTTGTCCGACTTGCCACCGAGCACGGTGTCGTTGCCCGCGGCGGCCTTGCGGCGGAGAGCCTTGGCGTAGATCTCGCCCACAAGAACGGCGCGAATGTTGATGCAGATCTTGCGACCAATCCAGAGGGCCTGGTTGTCGCCGAACGAGCGGATCAGATCGGAGACGGGCAGGAGGATGACGTAGAGCCACAAAACGTTGAGAGGGGCCTGATCGGGGTGCTCGACAAACTCCAGGATGGCCTTGAGCAGCATGGTCGGGGCAAAGGTAAAGAAACCAGACATGATGGCCCAGCCGGTCTGGACAAGCAGCGGGCGCTTGAAGTACAGCAGCAAGTGGATGCTCAGCGACAGGGTCTTCTTTACCTTCCGGTAGCGCGCCAGAACGGCACCAGCCTTGTCCTTGGCATTCAGATTCCAAATGCGCTCCATCTCCAGAGGCTCCTTGTAACCCTCCCACATGATGCTGTCGACCCAGGTGAAGGTGAAGTCGGAGAGAATCGAGGCAAGGCCCTCGCGCGAAGGCGGCAGACCATCCTCCCACTCCAGGAGAGCCGTCTTGTTGCCCTTGCGGGTGGTGATGGTCACGGCGAAGAGCAGCGACGTCAGGGAGAACTCGACAATCACGAGGACCTTGGCAAGGGGCGAGGTTGCGTGGATGATGACGGAGCGGAAGATGGCGAGCGAGAAAAGCCACTGTGCCGAGTAGATCATGACGGTATGGTTCCACAGGTGAGGAATCTGCCACCGTGACTTGCCGGAGACGCCAGCGATCAGGCGCAGGTTGACAAAGAGGGCGGCATAGACCCAGGTAAGAAGGCCAACAACGGCGGCCGTGCGGCCCTTGGAAATAAGAACATCGTTGTCGTTGGTTTCGTGTCCGGAAAAGGCGCCCTTGGCGAGGGCAATGACGTTCACGGCAATGAGGCCGGCAATGGCCAGCTCCTCGACGACAACCAAAAGAGTCTGGCCGGTCGGCCGGTCGGCCTGGACAATGGAGCCCTTGGTGGTGGTGCGGGCCAAGTGAATGGGACCGCCACCGATCACGAGGCCGTCATCGGCGTCCTCGTTGCCATTGTTGTCGTCATCGTCGTCGGCCACCGCCGTACTGCTACGGTTCGCAGAAGCACCGTTGCTCTCGTCGTCGCTTTCGAGAGGGCTAGGAGCGGGAAGCTCAGTGCGGCCTACGGCGGACGACTGGCTGTCGAGTCTCTGGCGCACACCCTGGTAGCCGAGGCCGGACTGTTGTTGCCTCCGTTTTAATTTGCGGATGCGGTGGATCGTCTGGAAGGCGGCGACAAGAAAAGAAACGGAAAGGACAATGATCGGGAAGTAAGTTTTGAGGTATCTTTTGGAAAGGTGTTAGCAGCTTCGACAAATTGGGACAGAGAGGTGCATGATGTTGCGCCGGGCATACGAATGAATGCTCAAGCAAACATCACAATAGGCAGAGAGAGAGAAATCTTACTCGCGCTGAAAGCAAACGGTGAAATCGTCAACGCGCCATATCGGCCAGGAGCATGACGCAACGGCCATGCTGATGAACCCCCACGCCGTTTCAGGAGCTCAGGTGTGGGAGCTGAGCTGGGGGTGCGATTGGAGAAGTCGAGCAATTGGCGTCGAGTGAAAAAGCCGGAGAAGGGGATGAGGCGAGAAAGGAGTAGAAAAGACAAGAGGAGGGACGAGGAAGAAGACGGGGAAAAGGGGGAAAGGGAAGAGAAGACGAAAGGCGGAAAGAAAACAGCCAGCAACAGAAACGTGACACTCAATTCCAAGAGACAAAGACGCAAGAAGAAGAAAAAAATAGAACAGGCAAAACAGGTACAAGCAGAATAGCAGGTGAAAGAGATTTCGGTAGCAATGTCTTTCGGGGAAGCTTAATAATTTAAAGACCGCCTTTTGCACTAATTATTGCGTTTTTGGGTGCTGAACTCCAGTAGGCGTGCACTGTAAGCCGCGTCTGGCCAGCCAAGAACACAAGCGCCGTGGCGGTCGAAAGAAGGCCGATGTGTCCGCCGGCAGGAATTATGTGTGGAGGACACGCGCTAGGTTGGCGGCGTTAGTTGAGGGTCGTGAAGAAGAGGCGGCCAAACATTGTCGACGGCTGTAACCGATGTTGGGAGATATCTCGAGATCTGAAGGGCAAAGGAACGAAAAGAAAGAAAAGGAGAAGAGAAGAGGCTAAAGAATCAAAAAGAGGGGGAAAAGAGAAGATTGAGAAGGAGCGCAGAGAACGGCAACAGTAAATAGGGAAAGAGCAATGCCGACGGAGGCAAGGTGACATATGAGGAATTATGTCGACAGCAGAGGCAGCGAGGAAGCGACGCAGCTACGGAGTAGTTACAGTGAGCCGAGAGCAAGCAAGCAAGCATCCCAGGCTCACGCCGAATCCAGGAAAGAGCGAACGGGAAGGCTGCAAGCCTTTCAAGACATAGCAAAAGTCAGGAACGAGGCAAGTGGGGTCGATGTCTTGCACAAACAGACAGAGTAGCTCCTGCTGTGGATCATAAAGGCGCCGTCAATCTGCACGCGCAAAGTCGCATTTCTCCATTCGGAAGGCGCAACGGGACACGAGCCCAGTGGCGCCCCGAGCCAGTGAAGATTGGGTGCAGGGAAGGCTGGATTTTCAATTTGTGCCATCCTAGTATGAACGCATTTTGCGGTGCAAGAAAGACAACCGACCACGGTCTTATTCTCTTATTATTCTCGTATTTTTCTCTTATTTCTCTCTTAGTATGTCTCGTTAAATATTTAGAGTCTTAGCTTTTGTCTGCCAGGTGGGAACTACTTGGCTGTCTCCTCAGACGCTCGATTTGCTCTTCCCAGTCAAGTGGTTCATCGTGGAGTAGGATATGTTCAGTTTAGTCATATTACTGCTTGCTCCATGCAATGTTTTAGGATCATGATGCCCCAGGCTCCCATTTAACAAATATAACAGGCACCAAACAACTTAGAAGGCGCTGGACGGGATGATCACGAAAACAACGTAAAGGGATTGTTGCCTGAGCACCTCATCACGCCGTCGTTCAGGGCCAGACAGGCAACGGCGCCAGGACGACAAGGCTGCCATACAGGCTACAGTAGAATGGGTATGTCTCGATAAATCAGATAACGCTGTGAACGCTGAGAGGCCGCTAGTATTAAGGTCTAATTTGAAATGCTTGCCTGCCCTGAGCTCCTTCCCAATTCGACACAGTCCCAAAGCACCCCGCCACCCTCTATCGCTAAACTAAGACTGTTTTCAGAGCCCAGAGCCCAATGGCAACTGTTTCCAACCCCCCCCCCCCGGTGGAACATGTTGCTTGATTTTGTACTGAATTTTTTCTCGTTTTATTCGTTTTTGCGCCGGGTGACGAACTCTGCGTGTTCAGAAATACGCGGAGTTGATGTGTCGTTCTGCACGCCACTGAAGAATTTGGCTTCGGCACAACGATGCATCGTTCTTACCCGCTGCGATGCCGTCCCGCTCCTTCCTCGAAGGGTCCGTTCAGTCCCCCGCTTTTGGCAACCACAAAAAGAGACAGAGGAGGCTGACACCAGCAGGAGAGGAACGACGACGTAAAAGAGGAGATGGAGACACAAAAGAGGGGGGACGAACAAATGTCTCCATAACTCGCGACATAAAAAGCACATGGCCGTGACAAAATGGTGAATCCTTACTGAAGAACGAATTACCCTATCCGCGCTACCAGTTACACCGCAAGCCAGCCCAATCCATATAAGACCAGGGAAAAGCCATGGCGATCAAAATCCATGTCCACTGTTTACTTACTGTGTGGCGTTTCAACGGCCATGTACGACATACGGAGTACGAACAGGTGTACGACGTGTGTTTGGCGCTCGAGCTCGCTGCATGCCGCAACAAGGGCATTGTCAATGGGAGTGGCATTACCAAACAGGCCCAGCTGGTCATGTCTCACTATTTCCCCGTCCTTTAATTGCTTCCGGCATACAGCATACAGCTACCTATCTCGCCTTTGGTCAGCATTCCAGTGCCAGTCGACACCGGTGAGCGAGGGGCCACTATGTATGTCTTCACAAGAAAAGCAAGACCAGGAACCGAAGTGTACGGAGCGCGAAGAAAGAATAACGCAACCTCGCCTCTTTCTTGTGCATGCGTCCATATGCATGCGACATGCAGCACGGGGTCTCTTAGCATGCTGTGCAGATCGCCTCCAAAATGCAAAAATTAAGTGCCAAGGGTAATCACAATGAGGACAGGTCCAGTTGGTCCGGGCTTGCATATGCTGTGCTCCCCTACCGTGACACACCCTGCATCTTGGAAGAGCACCCCGTAGTGGAGCCATGCAGAAAACGAGGGGAGACACGGCGAAGGGAGTCATCGGCCAGGCAGAAACGACCCTCCAGCCGCCATTTGATTTTTGTTCCTGGAAGCTGATAAGACATATTCAAACGACATACGATGTACATCGTACGGATTCTTTTGTCCCTGTGTATGAAAGCTGGTCTGACCATTTTGATTGTCGGTCGGTACAATAACAAATTATTGTCGAGAGCATGCTGAGCCATGTTTACCCGGCGTGCACCGAACATGTTGCCTTCAGACTGCCGACTTCAACATGTGTGTCCGGACCCCGACTCTGGCTCACACCGCTGAATCCCCTCCTGTGCTGTGCTCTACGTCGTATGCTGTATACTACCTGCAGCCTGCCTCGTGGTTTCTTGTCCCGTGCCAACCAGTCGACCCGCCGCAACCGCGAGGCAAACATATGAAAATAGATTGTTCGATATAAAAATGCGCCGTCTTACGGCGTACGGCATGAGCATCTTTTTGTTCCCATTCACCTATCACACCACCCGCATTAGTATCTTCTTTCTTTGCTTCGCAGCTTCTGCGGCCCTGCCTGGCCATTGCATGTCCATTAAAGGATGTCTGCCGTCAAATTGTATCTTTTTATCAAGGACCGTATTCAGTGTTGCCTTGTCTAATTTTCTGGCTCTTTTGCGGCGTTCCTTTGAAGTAGGTTTAACTCTGCCGTCCCATTTTAGACCTTGCGCAGTGAAAGGTGCAGATCTCCCCAAGAATGGTTCATCGTAGATCATCTTGTCTGCATGTCTTCCTTTGCTTGCTTTTTCTTTGCCGCTCGCCTTCTCCACCATCTCTGCAGCGAAACGTCCTCGTTGTTTTCTGTTCGACCAACGTCTTCGTATACATAAGGCCTGATTGACCTGGAACACAAAGCATGAGAACCCAAGGCATGACACGCTGAACTCGAGCACAATGGAGTACTTGAAAGAAGCAAGACATAACAAGCGAGGAAAACAAGAGAGCGAATTACACAAATCTCCAAAACGAACAACTTTCAATAAAAGCCTGGCCTTAAACCCAGCTCTCTATACTCGGCCATACAAAACAACTAGATTGTTCAGCGCTTACGTAGACGTATGAGCAGACGCCACTTTGAAGAGTTTTGTAACATTAGAAGGGATTGATCGAGGTCACTGGATTGGGAACGAGACGTGTCTCAGATGCTTACGGAAACCAGTGGCCTCGTCCAGTCGAGTTAGCTGAGTAAATTTCATGAGGGTGGGCTCTCACCGTGCCCGACACAAAGATTGGCTGAAGGACATTCAAGAAACAATGTGAATATGGTGTGGCAATTCTACCTTCACCGAAGCCCCTTGCCGAAGCAAAGGAAATCAACGAAAGTTCTTCGTCGCTGGTCGTGGAAAAAAGTAAACAAAAAAAATTAAAGTCGGTTCGTCTTTTATAAACAGTTCGGGTGCCCTTCCGGAAACAACACAAAGAAAAGCCCAGAAAAAGAAACAAGATGTAAAGAAACATAGTCGAGAAAAACTCCACCGTCCAACCATAAGAGTCTTTTTTGTTTTCTAAACCAGTACAAAACACAAAAAATATGTACCCGGTAAACGACGCTTTTATTCTTCTTCCATGCATCTTTTTTTCTTTGTTTTCGGACAAAAACTGTCGGCGCATCCCTTGAAGTATCATACACGCCTCCCCTTCTTTCTCCAATGAAACTGGACGGCGCCTCTCGCGTGTTTGACAGGCGCTTCTCTCTTCACAGTGCTTCTATCTTATAAAAAACACTGCATTCTCTGGGAGGGCATTTAAAACGCGCATTGTGCGTCGTCGAAACATCCTCCCTAGACATAGTCATCGTTGCAAGGCGACAACATCACACGCAATGGTGACAACGGGCATAGACTTAACCCATGACAGCACCCATGCCGGACAGGTCGCCCTCCTTGGCGGCAATCTCAAAGTAACCGTAGATGATCCTGAAAAAACAGTTAGCACTGCTCAAAAGTTCAAAATAGCCGGAGAGTCCCTCGCGGACAAAAACTTACGTGACGGCAAGAAGGGTACCGGTACCCGAGCCGAGTGCGCCCATCAGGTCGCTGGCCACGGACAGAGCACCAATGCAAGCACCACCAAAGGCGGCGGCGGTCGGGATGATGCGCTTGAGCTCCTTGTACATGCTCTGGTCACGATGGCCCGCCATCACGAGGCCCTGGTCCTTGAGCTGCTTGGCAACGTCGCGGGGGCTGGAGCCAGACACCTCAATCCAGGTCTTGGAGAAGATGGCGCAGGCCGTCAGCATGTACGCAATGTACACGACGGTGTGGATGGGGTCCAGGAGCGCGTCCTTGAAGTTGAGCGGGGGCGACATGTAGTAGACCAGACCCGAGGTGGCGGACAGCTGGGCGGTGCCGTCCTTGGCCTCCCAGACACCAAAGAGCTGGACCAGCAGGTTCTCGGAGAAGCGCGAGTACAGCATCTGCGAGATGAGGAAGATGTTGGACGACAGAGCCGACTGCAGCATGATGGGCATGTTGGAGGTGTAGAACAGGCGGACCGGGTACGAGCCGCGGGCACCACGCTGGCGCGACGACTTGACGGGGATCTCGACGCGGAAGCCCTGCAGGTAGATGACGGCCGCAAAGATGGCCAGGGTGGCCAGCAGGTTCATGACGTTGGGCAGGTTCTGGCGGTAGAAAGCCTCCTGCAGCGCGCGCTGCTTGTTCGGCCACGTGAGCAGCAGGTGGAAGAGGGCGATGACGGCACCCTCGTACTCGGGGCCGCGGCCGGTGTTGATGCTGGTGGGCGAGAACGCCTTCCACATGATGGACTCGCAGATGTTGGTGGCAATGAACAGCGAGATACCGCTGCCCAGGCCGTAGCCCTTCTGCAGAAGCTCGTCAAGAAGAATGACAATCATGCCAGCGGTGACGAGCTGCAGGATGAGCAGGCAGACGATGCCGGCGCCGAGCTCCGAGGGAGGACCGTAGAGACCGGTGAAGACGTAGACGGTGGCAGTGCCAATGGACAGGATGACGGCAAAGAGCTTCTGGGCGCTCTGGTACAGCTCGCGGTCCGACTTGAAGTCGAGGTTGACGTCGATCATGTGGGTGCCGGCAAGCAGCTGGAAGACCATGCCAGACGAGATGATGGGGGTAATGCCCAGCTCCATCAGAGTGCCGCGGTTGGAGGCCATCATCATGCGCAGCCAGTAGAGCGGGTCGGAGGTGTCGGACGAGACAATGCCGTACAGGGGCATCTGGCTCATGATCAGGAAGACGAGGAGCGTCAGACCCGTCCACATGAGCTTCTGGTTGAAGGGGATCTTGGTCTCCGGCTGCTGGACCTCGGGGAGGAACGGCACGAACGGTTTGACGAGGTCGAGGAACCGTACTGCAGAGGACGGAGAACACGGTTAGCCGGCAGCACTAGGAGAGGTGGTAGAAGGAAAATAGTCGACAATGGCGCACCACGCGACAGAGCGATCCGGTCTCGCGACACATTGCCGCTGTGGAAGTTTGCGATATCACAACATGCACATCCCCTCATCACCATCACCATCACCATTGCCATCACCAACGGCACCGCGCAATCTCAAAGCACTTACAGCTGCTCATCTTGACGGTTTGTATCGATAGCGGCCCTGGAATGGCTTTGTCGAGAAAGAAAACGGTGTGGAAAAGGAGTGGACGAAGAGAAGGGACGACACGAAAAAAAGGAACGAAGAAAAGAAAGAAAAAAAGACGAGTCGGCCGGATTGCAGCACACCCTTCTCCTATTAAACAATTAAACGAGAAAGGGGGAACGTATACACGAGAAGCAACGGAAACAGCGGAAAAGAGAAGGGGAGAAGGGAAAGGAGAAAAGGGAGAGGTGTTCACAGTGATGGATGCGAATTGAGTGGAGGCTCGAAAGGACACGACAGAAAAGGGGTGGTGCGCTGAAGCTGGGAGAATATGGGAGAAAAATCCCCCCTACAGCATATTAGCGCGGTAGCTCCGCCTGCCACTGCGCGCGCACAAATGCGAACAAGCTGTGATCTGGCTTCAATTGAGCAACCTGGCCTCGCCCAACCACCCATTGTCCAGTGTGTGGAGGTGCACGTGACGCCATGCTTCACATTCCCCTGCCGCTGCCCCATGTCAAGCCCCTTGGCCCCAAGCTTCGACGCGACTTCCCGATACGGATTAGGTCGATAGCTTAAACTTCCCACCTTTTGCGATCTCAGAATTATTCACTTACCCGGACTTCTTTGCGTTCGCTCACGTGCATATCTCGAAATCAGGCAAGGCTCTTACACAAGGTTCGCATCACCTCCCTCACAACAAACGAGACTCATGTCGCGGCCCAGCTTTGCCACTTTTTGTTTGCCTTGCTCATGAGCAGCAGTCTCACATACATTTTTCGCCAGTTTGCACGACATGCGCTGGCCTTGACAAAACCTGCAATGACACGCCCAACCGAGCCGCTGGTCGCTGTCCTCGGCTCGACAGGCACAGGAAAATCTGATGTAAGACAACCGGTTCCTCGTAGCATTACGCTTAATTTCGTATTTATTGGCTTTTTTACTATTTTACTATTATTACTATGATTACTTCCTTTACTAACTACACAGCTTGCGGTCGAGTTGGCCAGCCGCTTTAATGGCGAGATCATAAACGTCGATGCGATGCAAATGTATCGTGGCCTGCCCGTGACGACCAACAAGATCTCCGTCGAGGAGCAGCGAGGCGTGCCGCACCACCTGCTGGGTACCATCGGCCTGCATGAGCCAACGTGGCATGTCGACCGCTTCAAGCGAGAAGCCTCGCAGATTATCCAGGAGATCCGCCGTCGGGGGCGACTTCCCATTGTCGTTGGGGGCTCGCAGTACTACACTGACGGCCTGCTATTTGAAGACCACCTCGTTGAAAGTGCATCTGGGGGTGAAGACGGCGACGGTGCAGCAGGAGAGGACCCCACACTCACGGAAAACGGAAACGATGAGGTGCTCGTGGACAACAGCATACAGTATCCAATTCTCAATGAGCCAACAGAGACCCTGTTGGCTGAGCTCACAAAGGTCGACCCTGTCATGGCTGCGCGCTGGCACCCCAACGATCGGCGCAAGATCCGGCGGTCGCTGGAAATATTCTTGACGACAGGGCGGCGAGCATCAGACATCTACGCCGAGCAAAGAAAGCGCAGAGAGGAAAGAGAACGAGAAAGAAAAGAGGCGACGGCAGCTGCCGCCGAAGGCAAACCCTGGCAGACACTCTTGCTGTGGGTGTACGCCAAGCCCGACATTCTGAACGCACGTCTCGACGCTCGCATTGACACAATGATAGAGCGCGGGCTGGAGCAGGAGGCCAACCAAATGTACGACACGCTCCAGGAAAGCGCCGCGCGGGGCGTGCCGGTCGATCGCACCAGGGGCATCTGGCAATCGATTGGATACAAAGAGATGGAGCCCTACGTGGTGGCCCAGCGGGCACAAAACAACCATGAGGCGGCCACACCATCCGATGCTGGTGCTGCCGGTGATTCTGTTGAGACCACTGCTGGCCAGGCGGCAGCCCCCGACATTGCCAAACTTCGTGAGACCGGCCTTGACGGCATCAAATTTGGCACCCGCCGCTACGCTCGGTACCAGCTGCGCTGGATCAAGCACAAGACGATCCCCTACCTGGCCGATGTGGGAGCCCTCGACCACCTCTATCTGCTGGACAGCACCGACAAGGCGGCGTGGCAGACGAACGTGGCCGAGACGGGTGTTCGCCTTGCCGAGGCTTTCCTGGCAGGTGATGCCGGGGCCCTTCCAGCCCCCGTGGACGTCTCGGAGACGGCGCGCGAGGTACTCACGATGACCATTGCCGCCAGCCGCGGCACACTGAACGATGCACCGGAGAAAATGGCAGCACAGCAGCACACGTGCGCCATCTGCCACGTCACGCTGCAGACCGAGGACCAGTGGAACAGACACCTGCGAAGCTCACGGCACCGGCGAGTGCTGCAGAAGCAGAAGCGGCGTGCGCTGGTTCCCGCGCCGAATGTGCCCGTTCCGGTGATCATAGACGAAGCAGTACCGGCTGAGGGTGCGACTGGTCCTGTTGAGACACCGGATGAGACCGCGTCCCTGGTGGATAAGTCGCCAGTCCCTCAACAGTCATGATGTACCAAACGATATGTGTCATGGTTTATATTTTATATTCTGATTTCCCCTATAATTTATGTTTTGGAATGTGCATAGACGACATAGAACTCATATACCCTTCCCTCCTTGTTGTGCCCTGCCCCCTTTTGTACCTTTTTTTCATCTGGGCCAAACAAATATTCAAACAAAAATCAAACTGATATCCGTTTGATACAATCCACATGACCCCTGCTTTCACCATGTTTTTATTTGGTTTAGGTGTTACTTTTCTTCTCATTTCCTCATCACCCTCAGACGGCAATCTGGTTACCTACGCTGTTGAGAGCTCTATTGTTTACTGTCCAGATTTTACTTTGTAGATACTACCTTGCTTGATTTTACTTAATTTTAACTTTTCAATCTATTTTTATTATATGTATACGTTCAATTCCTTAGTTAAATCATTACTATTTTTTTTTAATAAAAAAACCCCCCCCGAGATTAAATCCACGGAGTACATGGAGTCCAGAAAGAGATGGCATATGTGTTGGCTGGACCTTGTCTGACGTCGTGTGCTCCGCGCGCTGTTCAATTCGCCGATCGGGATCGTCACTTTACATTCGACCGATACTTCGGCCATGTCGACTCTAGACGTGACCAGTGCATGCAGTCATCTCTTTGTCCGTCACAATGACATGCCTTCTTGGTCCACCCAGATGTGTAGAACACCCTGTAAGATGGAGTCCAGGCCCTTGTGGCCTTGACAACGGTCATACAGCTTCGACTTATCTTGCTTAAGCTCAAAGATGCTGACGCTGCTGCGACATACTTGCTGACGCCACCATGCCCGCCGCGTGCACGAAATGAAGCAACCGCCAAGACAATATCAACTGGGGAATGCGAGTGCTGTTCTGAGGAAATGTGAAGAAAGGGGGCCAAAAACATCTCGTCGTAAGCTAGAGGTCCAGACAGGGGAGGCACCCGGCAGGCCAAGTAAGGAGGAGACCTGGCAGGAATTTCCTCCGTAGGTATTTCCGTTGAACATAGTAAGACGTTAGTCTATCAAAGCCTTGTCCCTTCTTTTATTTCATTTGTACTGATAAAAATAGCATGGCCAAGCCACAACACCATCAATATGACGACAAGGAAAGGGGTAGAAGACGACAGAAATAGAAAGAAAGGCGAGAGCAAAACGAGGCAGGAGGACAGGACACAGAAGGACACGAAAAGGGAAAGCGCGGTGCAGGGGACCTACTACTCCGTACAAGCTTACGAAATCCTACTCAGCCCTGGGGCAACTTTATCAGATCCTCAATGCATCAGAATCCAGGAACAGAACAGTCCGGCTACATGTATGCCGTACAATAAAGCACATGAATCCTGCTTCGGACTATGAATTTGCGATCCATACCGTTTGCACTGTGCGAAATGAGGTACGCTATCGTGATCGGAGATTTTTTTTATCAAGGTCACGTGCGTACTTTTGTTAGTGCCCCGCCAAACGGGGACACGGAGGGATCTGTTTCCCGACTGTTATTTGGCACCCGTCAGACTGGCAGCAATTGCCCGAAAGCAGAAAAACTGTGTACAAAGCCAAGACCAGCGCTTTCCCCCGGCGACAGAGGCAGCCGTATCTTGGTGCAAATCGTAGTCTACTTATTTCTGCTGTTCACCATGTTAAATACGCCGTATTTCATGTCATGGTGTATTCCGTATTGGCGTATCCGTATTCGCCGTGCTGCAGCGTACAGAGTAATTACTGTGTAATACGCAGTAACCAGGCTCCGAAGTGAGATGAAAGACATGGGTATTTCCACGGCGGCGGTAAAAGGGTGGCCGTTCCCAGATCGCGCGCGGGAACGAGAATAATAATGCACGCCAGCCTTTGGGAGACAATTCGACAGAAACAGAAGCTACGATTTGCACGAGGGCCAATCGGCCAGATTGGTATCCGTTCGCAGATGGAAAGACCCAAGGGCCAGAGAATGACAAGTAACCATCCACGTAGTCCAGCGCTCCAGGCAGCACATGTGACATAATGTTCTGCAACTTGACTTCGATGCACTTGCCTTTCATTCCTTTTTTCGGATCGCCTTAGTGGGCGCGACATAAACGTATCTTTTTCCATATCCCTTTCCATTACGTCGGATGGTCCCCTGAGTCTGGCCTTCAAGTCGCTCCTGCCTCACGCAAATACTGTACGGCGCCGCTCTTCTCCCATTGCTGCCTCTTTGTACTTCTTTGTGCTTTCCTTTCTGGTCACTCTCACCATCGTTCTTTCCTTTTGCCTGCCAACATTTGGCTTTGGACATCCTTTTGCCGCCGACACCCCTCCCTCGCGCCTTCCCCACCTGACGGTCTCGACTGGCCCGTTGTTCTAGTATCTCGATTTTTTTTATCGTTTGATTTTCTACACTCTTTCTTTCCGACTTCATTCCTCCTTATATAACCTCAACGGAGACATATCGCTTTACCCACCGCGCAGCATTTCTTTTCCAACCCCAACGTGACACGCCCATCCTCGGCCACTTGGACACGGAGGCTTCCAACGTCAACGAAAACCTACACGCTGAAGCAGCTGAATACGTCCCTCCCCCCTCTCCCCCCAAAACACACAATCGAAAGCAACGAAACACAGGAATCAGACAAGCTGTCGATCGCCCCGTCTCACCACCTCGCCACCTACCACGAGGGGTGAGAAAACCTCCCCCCAACCCTCTTCATCCACCTCCCTTTTCTCACGCGATCTCTCGACGACTTCATCCTCAAACGCTTTATCGCCACGTACTTCAATACACCTCAGTATATCTCTCCTGCTCGCTCGGGGTCTTGGCAAGGTCGCACTCTGCTGTCGACCGGCATTGCCGCCATGGCATCCTCATCCACCCCCGGCCCTGCTGCCGGTGGCCATTCATATGGCGGCCCGAAGCCGCCACGCATTCTCGCATGTGTACTTTGCCAACATCGCAAGATCAAGTGTGACCGCACGTTTCCATGCGCCAACTGTACTAAGGTGAGTTCATATTTCCACATTCCACGAGACGCTGAATATGTTGCGTGCGTTCTATTGAACCCTCCATGTTTTTCTCTCTTTCCCTTCCCGCCTCCTGGAGACAGGGGGCACCAGCAGCTCATTCGTGTATTGTGGGGTGGGAGGTGCGGGAGGGCGATAGACAACCTCATTTCACTTCCTTGTATGTTCTAGAATGACTGACAGTTTGTGGATGGAAAGGCCAATGTATCATGTACGCCCAGCACCCCCGCGCCGGCGAGGAAGCGCCGGAGGCCAAACCAGGACCTGCAGGAGCGACTCGCCCGCTGCGAAGAGCTGCTCAAGGTGTACTCGAGTGCGAAGCCCCCCGACGAAGACTCCAGTCCCATGATGGAAACCCCGCAGAGCATGTTCAGCCACGAGTCCGCGCTCAAGTGGAACCCGCCAGGCAAGCTCATTGTCGAGGACGACGGTGGCGTCCGCTTTGTCGACTCGGTTATGCTGAGCACCATCCACGAAGAACTGCGCGCCATGCGCGAGATTATCGACAGTGAAGACAACGAAGACATCACACCCGATACGACGGCAACACCCGACGACAACTCCGACCTCCTCCTGCTCGGCAGCATGCACGGCACCGGTGGTGGTGAATCAGGGAGCCCGGCTGCACCTGCCACGCTTGAACAACTGCAGCCATCGGCTGCGCACATCTTCCGGTTGTGGCAGATCTTCTTGGAGCGCGTCAACCCGCTCACCAAGATTGTCCACGTGCCCACGCTGCAGCCCTATCTGGTCGATGCTACGAGCACGTCACCCAACGTGCCCCCCAGCGTCAGGACGCTTCTGTTTGCCATCTACACACTGTCTACGGTGTCCATGACGCCTGACGAGTGCCTGAACATGCTTGGCTACTCGCGCGAAACGGCCCTGCAGCGCTTCTCGAATGGCGTGCGCCTGTCCCTGATTCGGACCAACTTTATGAAGACCTACGACTTGGAGACGCTCCAAGCGCTGGTCATCTACTTGGTGAGTTCCACTGGCCGACAGCTACCGAATTTGTTTATATGCAAAAAAAAAACAAATGTTGCTAACCAGTGTCTAGATCTCTTTACAGGGACGCTACAATCGTCACGCCGCATGGATTCTCAACGGCGTCGTGCTCCGCATCGCGCAAAAGATGGGTCTGCACCGCGACGGCGAGGTCCTTGGTCTGAGCCCTTTTGAGACTGAAATCCGTCGGCGGGTGTGGTGGCAGATTATCATGGTGGACGCCAAGTATGCGCTCATGTCGGGTCTCAGCCATTCGATGATGCCCCGCGTTTGGGACACAAAGGAGCCCAAGAACGTCAATGATGCCGATCTCTTCCCCGCCGCGACCGAGCCGGTCCAGGATCGTGACGGTCCCACCGAAATGATCATGGTCATGGTGTTCAACCGCATCGCGCGGTTCCTCGCCGATACACCCGGCGTTGAGCCCATGATTCTGCTGAGCGACCACGAGGCGTTCCGGGGTCCGAACGGCCCCTCGAACCTGCATATCGAAATGTACCGTGGGCTGATTGCCAACCTCGCGACCAGCTTGCTGGAAATCACGGACAAGTTCTGCGACCCGACGGCGGGGCCGTTGCACGAGATGGCGGTCGAGGTCAAGGCCGAGATCTTGCAAAAGTTGGAGAACTTGCTGATGCCGGCCCAGGAGCGTGAGTTCAGCGATGAGGTCAAGACGCCCGCGGACAACGTGTTCCAGGTGGCCGTCGAGGCGGCGACGCACGACAACGAGCTCAAGATGAAGGCCAAGAACAATCTGTTTGCGTGGTTCTCGCGCCTCTACTTTCAGGACAACATGTTCATGTTCATTGTCGGCCAGCTGTGCATCCGCACGACGGGCAAGCTGGTCGAGAAGGCGTGGATCGCCGTCGAGAACACCTACGACCACTACCCCGACCTCTACGACGTCACGCAGCGGTCCTACTACCAGATTGCCAGCTTTGTCTTGCGCGCCTGGCGGACACGCGTCGACGTGCTGCGCGCGCGCGCCAACCTGACG